AATCATGGTTGGATGTTTCTATTCATCAACTGTCAGGTTCGCGAAGGGGTGTCCGTTCGCTGTTCCGCTATGCTCGCTCCATTTCAGGCCGCTAACCCGACCTCTCCACCGTTACAGGAAAACAGGGCCTATGTCTGGACACGCTCGATGCCGCGCGACTGGAGAAGATCCGCAGTCTGGAGGCGACGGAGGCGATCCGCCCCGAGGAGGCCGCCCCAGAGATGCAGAAACCAGTCTTCACCACTCCACTCAACAAGTGAGCAGTCGGCAACAAACAGTTGACGGGAACGAGCACCGATACCGGGTGGGGAATCGCGTATTCACGCACAACATCTGTATTATCAATTTGCAGTCCTAAAACAACTGAGTGAACTAACTAAGTGAAGTTCAGTTATTAATTTCTGAGGAAGCGTTGATTGACCTACTGAAAATCGGCAGAAATAGGCATTATCGTGTAATATCATGACAAAACGCATGCTCCTTTATCCTTGACCTTGTCAGTCCCTTTCACGTCATAACAAAATCATACGAAGTTGAGATGTCGCATCTCACACCATCTTCCTTTTCCAGTCTCCACGCATCTCAGACTCTTTCAGCGCATTAGAACTTCAAACTGCCAGCCATGGACCCCCTCCTATTCTTACCACAAACAAACGCATCAGCCTGACACCCAAGTGTACCTGTGTTTATCAACATCCCTGCCGCGCCGTTAAACACAGTGCCGGTTTCCGTTTGGCGCTCGGTGTCCTGACCGGTCACCCCTCCCCAGCCTGGAGAACCTTCAGGAAGGTCAGCACGCTCACCTCGAGTGCCGCCTGGAGCCCATCAACGACCCCAAACTGCGCGTGGAGTGGTTCGTCAATGGAAAGGAAATCCGGACAGGACACAGGTACGAACGGTAATAGGGGGCGGAGGGAGAGAGGAGACGAGAGCAATAAGAGGCCGGTGGCTGAGACGTCAGAGCATTCGCATACAATGCGGTGACATCAATCATTGTGAATTATTCGGGCTAAACTAAATATTACGCTAAAATAAAATCATGCTGCAGATAGGAAACAATACATCGTGGCTGAAAGAACAATAAAGGTGAAGGGACAAAAGGAGATGGGGGCAATCTGAAAAACCGGCCGCACGTGCTCTCCACAGCTGTGCGGAAGTCATATGACCCGCTCCACCTACATCCCTCATTTATTACCCCGTAACCGGCTGGGACGACACGTGATTCTCCAAATCACGTGTTTATCTTTCCTGGCAGCGACCCACCCCCGGGTCGTAACGTCACGGGGTAGGTGCAGCACACCTGTGACGGCGTCACGGGAGGGGAGGGGGTGTCAGAGGTGACGCAATCTGCTGCATCGTCAGCTGCCCCAGCTGCGCCAGAGGGCGATAAGCGATGTGTTGATTTTGCCGGGATTCGAGCCAGGCTGCCACGACGGCAGCCAACCGATTTGGCACAGTGTTGGTGTGTAAATAATACTCCCGTCCCAGGTCTGTTGCTATTCCCGGTGATTGATATATGGAAACGACCGGCAAAATCAGATTAAACAAACGGCGTGCCGTCGGAAAGGGAAACCGTCTTCCCTGATTCATTATTACGCCCTGCAAAATCAGTTCTTCAATATAGACCACTGACCAGCGAACAAAATATGTACCGATGTTTGTTATGAAAAGCTTTCTAAACCTAATCACATTACCCGACACAGAGGTCCACCCATGGCCATGTTTAGCTCAAAATGCCAAATGGACTACGAATTCTGCTGAAAGAGCCATTGTGGTTTTTTTTTTCGTATCTTCCGGCCGATATGCACCATTGCCTTGCCTTCAGGTTCCGGACAAACTCACGACTTCGGCTACTGGCTGCTGGACATTCTATATTCCTACCGGAGGATTCGGGCACCTACATGTGCAAGCCACCAACGATCTTGGGAGGCCGTCAACACATGCACGATTCGGTGTCAACGGTGAGTTTGGGGACAAGAATCCGTGCTCAGGGGCGGGAGAAGGTGTTGGTGCGGTGACGTGAGGAATAAGATGTGCTGTCAGCTAGAAAATTAATACAAAAAGCAAACCGTTATGTCATGGTCATTCAACGCTATGCATGAAGAGATGTCGAAGTAAAACTTAAATTTATCAAGCTGTTTTATCGCATGGTCCTACCTTCAGCTCAACGTTGTACATATTTACTTAACTTAGGACACACACCAACATGTATAATTCACAAGTATAATGATTCACATAAAACCTAACATGCGCAGTGCGCATTCATTACATAACAAGAAAACCATGACAAACAATCGTCCAGTGTTTATGTTGACAATTTACAATGCAGACAACTGTGGTTCCTTGTCTGGTATGGTATGTCCTGGAAGCTTGGTGACTAATTGTTGGTAACAACTGTGCGTTAATGTCCGTTAATGCGTTGTACGTCTAAGCGTTGTTCGCTTCTTCGATTGGTTTTGGCAAAAGACAGCTGAGGAAGATAAAAAAATCATTAATTATCTGTCCTTTTCGTCAGACGAGGTACGAGACAACACAGCAGGTTTGGTTTATGTGCCTTTGTTCACTTGGAGTTCCGCATCGTGTAGATTTCTTTTCTCCCAATATCAACATGCATCTGTTCTGTCCAGAGATTCGTGCAGCTTTAGAGCTGAAAATTGCTCAGAAAATCGTGCTTCTAAGTGACTTTTCGACGTCTCTTAACTTCGTGACAACTGTTTCCCTCTTCCTTTTTGTTCCAACTGTTTTCGATATTTTCTGCGTCTATCAACTTCGATTTGAACTGTTAATGATGCTTTCTTTCACCTCAGGCATCCTTCCGTTAAAAAAAACTTCTCGACATTTCTATGCTGAATGTTGTGCCGTGCTTTTCATTTGTCAAAAGTAAGTGCAATGCCCCATGACGGTCAGCGCACTTATTTGTTTAACCGCCGCGAGCTGTGAATTCGCCAGCGCTCAACTGTGCCTTGCGTGCAGTATGCGATCAGGCGCCTCCACTAGTGTCATCTAGTGGACGATAGCGGAACTGACTGCCAACCGCGCCGCAGGCAGCGAGTGCTGACTTTTGTCATTCTCGCTTTCCGGGCTTCGAGTGGCGAACTTTGCGCAAACATCCACCACTAACAAAAAGGAGCACAAAGGAACAAATAAGAAGCTCTCTGTCAAGATAATTCGCGTCCAAACATAGCCGTTGACTCCAAATTTCATCCTCCCGATTTTAACGACTTGCATGAAGGTGTGAATTTCACGTACTGACCATGACATGCCCGAGCAGCGCCGCTCAATCTATCTGGATACCAGCACCCGGAGGGCTGGCAAGAATCCGCGACCTCGAGTCTCGCGAGACTCAGCGCCCGGAGGAGGCGGAAGAGCCCAAGGAGGCGCCGCGCTTCGTCCAGGAGCGCCGGGTAAGTTCTCACACGATATGTTGAGAGAGCGCTTGACGCAAATGGTTGCTTTGAAGACAGGAACAAGTTGGTTGCGGAAACAGACAATCCCACAAGCCATTGGTCATGGTATGATTACATCGACATCTGAAGGTAATTGGTCAAAAGTTCACGCCCCTCTGCGTCTCACAGGGTCAGATCCAGCTGGCGGAGGGTGGCTCAGCGCACATGGAGGGTCGCATCGAGCCGCTGCACGACTCGGACCTGCGTCGAGTTTCTTCCACAACGGGAAGCCGCTGCAGTCGGCGTCGCGGTTCCACACGACGTTTCGACTTCGGCTACGTGTCGCTGGCATCGGCGGCCTGGTGGAGGGAGGATGCGGCGAGTACACCTGCCGCCCGTCAACAAGGTCGCGAGGCCACATCCAGCCTCACCATACAGGTTCTCGGTACGTATAGCGGAAAACCGACTGGCAACACCGATCCTCATGGACCATGCATCGATCTACGCCGATCTTCTCACTGGTCTTTGTACATTATCATCTTCACAACCACCTTCATCAACTTTCACACAGCTCGCCATTGATCATATCATTTTTTAAAATACTCTGGATCCTAAACTGAGCGCTGTACAATGTACATCGATCAAGGATAGGTTACTAATGACTCTGAAACTCCTTAGATAGACGCGACATTCACCCTAACTCACCTACTCAATCAAGTGGAACGTCATAACCAGCGGCTTCATCGCCATGTCCATTCCCGCAGACAAGAGAAGATCATCTCGTCGACGCAGCACCCGGAGGGTCTGAGGCGATCCGCCAGCTGGAGCAGCGTTCCCCGGAGGTGCGCCAGGAGGAGGCGGCCACCTACCAGAAGCCCATGTTCACCCAGCCCCTGCAGAGCGACAACCGCCTGGACGAGGGACAGGCGGTGCACCTGGAGGCGCGCCTCATCCCCGTGGGCGACCCCAAACTCAAAGTCGACTGGTTCAGGAACGAGCAGCCGCTTCAGTTCGGTGAGTGAAAGCGGAGACGAAGCATCGTGAGGTGATCAGGGACAGTTCTTTTTGAATGAGTTCCGTTTTTACATGACACCCTAATAAGTGTCGATGACATTAACAGGCAAATAATTATGGTGTAACAATTCATCTGGAATAAACCTTTATTGCTATAGCGTCCAATAATATACTAGATGCCGGCAGCGCTGGCGCGTTGCCTTGGGCCAGAATTGGAGGAATGGTATGTCTTGGTATGGAAATGAATTAACCCCTCGTTCTCTAATAACCACAACCTCCTATCGCCCTCTCCTTCCCTCAGGTTCCCGGTTCAAGCCAACGCACGACTTTGGCTACGTGGCGCTGGACATTGCCGGTCTGCGACCCGAGGACGAGGGCGTCTACTCGTGTCGCGCCACCAACGAGCTCGGAGAGGCCGTCACCACCGCCTCCATCCGCATCAAGTGTGAGTTCGCGGGAGAAGACGTCACGTCACAGTGGTCTGCCTGTAGAGCATGTTATCTATGGTTGTCACGTGTCAGGGAGGAGGATGAAAGTTACGTTTTCTATAAGTGACGTTTCATCAAAGGATTAATAAATCGTGTTGAATCGTGGTTAGTTCATCGCGATTTTCAAGTTGTATATCGTTGCAGGACGCAAATTGAAGATACATACCCTAAAACACAAAAAAGGAATATGATATACTTTGCGCAGATAAGAATCGCTAAATAGCGCAATATAACTAGCGCAAGACCTCTGACATGATCGGTGCACATCCCCAGCCGAGGCCAACATCGTGCTGGACACGCAGCACCCGGGCTCGATGGCCAAGCTGGCCGCGCTGGAGCAGAAGGCGCCCGGGGAGCCGGCAGAGACCGAACAGGAGTTCGAGAAGCCCGTGTTCACCATGCCGCTCACCGGGCCCACCGAGCTCATCGAGGGTCAGCACGCGCACTTCCAGGCTCGCTGCGTGCCCGTCGGTGACCCCAGCCTGCGCTTCGAGTGGTACTGCAACGGCGTCGAGCTCAAACTCGGTGAGATCTGGGCAGGTGCATGTAAGACCGTCAGTGGAAAACTTCGATTTTTAGTCATGACAATGGAATTCATGCATGTGTACGAGTACCTACGCTACGTCATTGTATTCCGACTCTCGTAGCATTGGTCAATAATCACTTAGGAAAATGCTTGATTTTTTATTTTCTACTTCGCCTGACTTGTCACTTTACACCTTATTGCATCGGAAATAGACCTTTGTACGTACACGGAGGTCTATGCATCAGCCATATGACATTCTGCCAGCGATGACGCACGAGCCGAGATCACGTTCAGGTGCTTTAATAACAGTAGTAGTCGTAATAAATGACATGTAAATATTAAGAACTTACCAGCCTATGGTCGACCATATAGCGTACGAATATAACACGTTGTGAATATAACCTGAGTCCAAGTTATATGTCAACATCACGAAATTATCAAGGAACATTCCCACTAACTCGTAACAAGTGCCACTAGGTTGATGTCCCTTCACACCTTATATTTTCGTCGGTTGTCCATCACAATCCCATTGTTTTCGTAGCAGTCTCACTGGCCATTCATAATGTTTTGTTGAGTCGTTGTCCGTGCATTATAATTTTCACTTTTTGTTCTGTAGATGTGTTGTGGCTGTGAAGGACGGATTACCACAGACCATCGACAAAATACTAATAGTGTCTACCCTTATTTTGCCAGATGGAGGTAAATTCCAGAGCTGTCAGGTTTGGTTTATTTCAGTGACACTCTTCTGTTTGAAACTGTATCTTCTTCTCATCCATCTATATACCTACTATATTATCTTCTTTGAGTGTTTATATCTGTTAAACAAGCGATTGTTCACATGTATCTCCATGCACAATTGTGAACTACGAAACGAGTAGTTCTAGAGCATAGCATATAAGTAACAGCATGCTACCAAGAAACATGAAGTTCAACGGGCACTTCATGGGTGTGATGTATTCTTTCAGGCACACTTGCGTGACAAATCTACATTTGATGCATTTTTAAGCACAGTCTGCTAGGCTTGACAATCTATATTCAACGGATTGTAAAAATGATCGTATTTCGATTGATACGAACAAAATAAATCCATTTTTCGACACACCCGATTTGTGCTATGCAATCCAACTCGTGCAGTTAGCTGAGCATTAGTTTGACGCATGAAAATAGCTCGTAAAGATGCATGTGTCCCTTTCCTCGAGCTTGGATCTTCCACACACATCCGAACATTTAACAGTTGGACATGTAAGGCGGAACATTTTTAATAAGTTTTCCCTTGATAAGATGTCTCGCTCCCGTTTCCGTCATTGACCCTCCCCACAAGGTTGCAGCTCACATGAAGGCTACCTTTCACGCATGATCTTAGCCAGTAGCATTGAAAGCCCATTAAGAATTTTCCCTCAAGTTTCAACACTTAGTAACCAAAGCCAAGTTACATACGAATCATTGCACTTCATAGTTCATATACTAACGCACAAAAATACAAGGGACAACTTCAAACGATCCTCATGTAACACCACCACGTGTTCTTCATAGGCTCTCGCATCAAGGAGACGCACGACTTTGGCTTCATCACGCTGGACATCATGTCTGTGATCCCCGAGGACGCCGGCATGTACATGTGCAAGGCCATCAACAAGGCCGGCGACGCCGTCACCACCACCTCACTGCACGTGCACGGTAAGTGGTTCATGTCGGCTGGTGATCCGTCACCAGTGGGGGTACCTTGGAACTTTGCGTCCTTACGTGCAAGCCGAGGAGCAATGGTTTGGCTCTTGTGAAAAAGTTGGCGTCCTATTTGTGGTAGCCACGGTAGAATTTTAATCGCAATAATCGCTATTGGAAGTCAGCAGCATACAAAGACAATATAATTTAGCAATTGCCAATGAGTTCCAGGTAGCCTCTTAATTTTCACCTGCCTTTGGATGACGGACGTTTCTCTAACCTTCTCATTCCCTCCCCACGCAGACCGCAGCAGCGTGCTGGGTGACGCCATCCACGCCACGGCCTGGGACAAGATCCAGCTGAAGGAGGCCGAGATGAACCGCGTGCCCGAGATGTACGTGGAGGAGCGACCGCAGCAGGCGCCCGTGTTCACCACACACCTGCAGAGCCACGACCGGCTCACTGAGCAGCAGAGCGTCCACCTGGAGGCCACCGTCGAGCCCAAGACCGACCCCAACCTGCGCGTCGAGTGGAGCAAGAACGGCGTGCCGCTCATGACCGGTCAGTGCGGCAACACATTTCTCCATTTACCGTAATTGTCATTAATTCTACGGCAGTTCACAAGGTTCGATTCTAGCGGTCCATTCTTCCTTCCCTGTAATGCCGTTGGTTTAGCGCAGCTGACGCGTCTTCCTCTGATGCACAGGCGCGCGTCTGAGGAGCACGTTCGACTTTGGCCTAGTGACGCTGGACATCATGAGCCTGCGAGGCGACGACTCGGGCATCTACACGTGCCGAGCCGTCAACCAGATGGGAGACGCCGTCTCCACATGCACACTCAAGGTCGAAGGTAAGCCACATCGCTAGATGCTTGGAAAAGAGGCTTAAAGCGCAAATCCGGATGCAGCCGTTTGCAGCCGTTTGCCGATCACAAACCTATCAGAGCTGCTTCTAGCATTAAATACCTATGCGTTGCTAGCGTTCCTATTATTTCGGAGAATAAGCTTTGGGCAGAAGTTCCAGTTCCTTCATCCTTCTCCACTATTCCATGACTGAACTCCAAACATTGTCACTCTAAAATTTCTGATGGTTTGCAGACAAACACTGGCTGCTGGGTCAGTCTCAGAGGCCCGAGGGTACTCCACCCTACACCCACCACAAAACACACCACCTCTGACCCTGACCTCTGACCGACAGACAAGCACTGGCTGCTGGGTCAGTCTCAGAGACCCGAGGCGCTGCCGGCCATCGCTCAGCTGGAGCTGGGACGTGGCCCGGCCGAAGCGACCTCGCCCGATGTCACCTTCGAGCTGCCCGTCTTCGTGTCACATCTCAACGACGTGCAGTGCAACGAGAACGAGCGCGCCTGCTTCGAGTGCCGCGTCGAGCCGGCCAAGGACCCCAACATGAAGATCGGTAAGCGAGAAAAAAAACATCTGCTTCGCCGCATTATTATATTTGATGTAGTTAATCGGGATAAAACCCAAGTTTTTTGTTTGTTTTACGAGTCTCCTAAAGTTTTAATTTTACATCCAGTGTTTGGCGGAAACTTTCAGCTTAGCAACGTTAGAAAGTGAAGAGGCCCAGGAGACTTAATACGACAATTGGAAATACGAGACAATTGAAAATACGGAACTTTTGCGTCTCGCTTCAGAATGGTTCCTGAACGGCGAGCCGATGAAGAGCGGCTCCCGTTTCACGACCCACTACGACTTCGGCCTGGTACAGCTGGAGATCGCCGACACCCTGTCGGAGGACGCCGGACTCATCGTCTGCAAGGCCACCAACCAGAAGGGCTCGGCGCAGACCACCGGCACACTCCGGGTCAAGAGTAAGTTACAGCTGGAGGCACTTCGACTAGGACGGCTTGTGGGACAATGAACGAACTGTCGCATGTAAAAATGTTGAGCGGACGGATGCTACGAATTACGATACGGATCGATGCAGCTTCAGAAATCAATCATGCTGGTGCATTGTAATTCCGTGAACGAAAAGGTTTCTATTGACGCACGATGTCTTCGCAGGCTCATCCGAAATCTTCAAGGAGACTGGAGAAAAGCCACGCTTCGTTACACAGATACAGGTAATAAGCCGTGATAAGGTAGCTGTGAGTGAACGGACATCTTGAAAAAAACACATTGTTCGTAACATTACTGCTAACGCATTCTTGTGACATTTAGGTGTCCACAAACAGTTCTATTCGATCTATAAAATCACATTTGCCTCTTCCTCAGAGCGTGGAGAACCTGCAGGACGGCGACTCGGCGCACTTCGAGTGTCAGCTGGAGCCCGTCGGAGACCCCGACATGAAGGTGGAATGGTTCCACAACGGCGCGCCTCTGCGCCACTCCTCGCGCATCAAGGCCGTCTCCGACTTCGGCTACGTCCTTCTCGACATCGCCTACGGCCAGACGGAGGACTCTGGCGAGTACGAGTGCCGCGCCACCAACAAGCACGGCTCGGACAGCACGCGCGCCACGCTGCGCTGCCAGGGCCGGGGCGGCGTATTCCTCGACTCGCTGCAGCCGCAGGCGCTGAGACACATCTCCGAGCTGGAGATGACGCCAGAGGTGGACGGAAAGCCCCCGGCGCCCGGCTCGCAGGCGCCCAAATTCACCAAACACGTCACCGAGATCACCAACATGGTGGAGGGCCACTCGGCGCACTTCGAGGCGCGCCTGACGCCCGTACACGATCCTGACCTGACGGTAAGAAAGGGGAAGGCTAAAATGCATTGAAATTTATGAACGAAAATTGTGATTACGTAATGTGCGAATTGGCTGCTGAGTTTTTCCTCAAATCACTCTCCAATAATTTTAAAGTATGGTTTTTAAAGTGTTGTTCAATCATGTCGAGATGTTCACAGCAATCGCATGGCAATCCATTAACTCATTTGACGCTACCTTCAACAGGTGGAATGGTACCGCAACGGCGAGAAGCTGCCGAGCGGCCACCGTTTCCGGACGTTCCACGACTTCGGTATCGTCATCCTGGACATCCTCTACTGCTACGAGGAGGACTCTGGGGAGTACGAGTGCCGCGCCGTCAACAAGGCCGGCTCAGACGTCACCAAGGCCACGCTCAAGTGTGTGTCGAAGGAGAGCCTGATCTTGACTCCACAGATACCCAAGGTGACTGCGGAAAAAATTGTGTGCGTTTTATTGATAACTTCCATGACCGAATATCGAACACCCCTAAGGCCATATCAGCGCTGATTTACCCGTTAAATAAAAGTAAATGATGAGCTGACTAACAATTCGCTTCATCAAATACCGAAAGTCTGCGTAGCCAAACGCATCAGTATAGGGCATTTGACTTACGCTACTTCACTTTTCACCCCAGGAAATGAGCGGTGGCCTGGAGAAGATCCAGACCCTGGAGGACTCCACGCGGTTGACGCGCGAGGAGAAGGAGGACGTGACGACGCGCGTGGCGCCGCGCTTCACGGTGCCCTTCAACAACATCGACGACCTGCGCGAGGGAGAGAACGCCCACTTTGAGGCGCGACTCACCCCCGTGGATGACCCCAAACTGAAGGTGAGGCCAACACGACCTTCGGTAATACTGACGACCTCTTGCCGTTTGAAACGGTACCATATCAACGCTGAGTCCTGACCTTGATAAGGACATAATAGTGGCGTTTATCCGTCCCGATGCGCTTGCAAAGACATGCCTGGGCGCAGCAAATACATTTGTGTTCTTAAAAAAGGGGCAGATCTTCTCGAACCATTCTCCGTTGATCAAGGACAAGCGAAAATCCTTACCATCTCACACTGTGCCGATTTATCAGACGGAATGGTACCACAACGGCAAGCCGATGAAGGCGTCCAGCCGGTACCGCACCTTCTGCGACTTCGGCTTCGTGATCCTGGAGATCTCTCCGGTGTACCCGGAGGACAGTGGCGAGTTCACGTGCCGAGCGTTCAACGAGGTCGGCGAGGCCACCAGCACCGCCGTCATGAAGTGTTCCGGTGAGTGGGACAGCGGGCGACGCGACGGCGGAAGGGGGACGGGACTGGGGACAGATGGCCGAGAGAAAAGGAGGCTGGGGGCAGGATAGATAACTTAGCCTCGAATTTATGTCATGGGTACATCGATAGTCATTATCATGTATTTGAAACCAATGAGTATCGGTAGCCGTCCGCAAAGCACGTCAAGTAGCGTGTGGTCATACGGTATCTAAGCTCTGTTCACTGCAACAATGCAAGTTCGAAACAAAGTAATTTGTCTGATCTGAGCTCGGTAAAAGGTGAGAACCGGCATTCATGTGATGCGAATATTTGATATTTTTACTGTTCCATTTCGCCAGGTCCAGGTAAGCCAAGCAAGCCAACAGGTTTGGTATCACGGTAATGCCACGTGTTTATGCCCTTGGCTTTATGAGCCCAACGCATTATTCTTCGCTGTATCTATCTCGCACAGAGAAGAAACAAACTTCGTCTTCGACCTGTGCTGAGGCGCTGAGTGTTTTTCAGAGCGTGTTTGGGGAGGGTTTGGAGCCGCCACAGCTTGTGTTTGACGGCAGAAGAAAAGCTACATTTTGAAAAGGAAAGGCTTTGAGGTTGAACGATTTTGAGGTTGATACATGCAATTTTTGCATTAAAAAGTAGATATAGCTTTATAGTGTGTAATAGCGCGTGCTTCTTCATTGCCACTGTCCATCTATTCCTGAGAAGGTACTTGAACCATCGCTCATAATGAACAGCGATTTTGTAACACAACGATTTTACTATCGAGTAGCTGTTTAATAATCCCGGCGGGTAGCGACAGTACCAGTTGACCCGCTTACAAATATCTTTCATTATTTTCGGTGCGCCCGCGAACGTTTAAAAACTTGTGTCGAACTCAGCAGGCGGGTTTTGCAGTCTCGATCAGTACTTGATGTCTATTCACTGCTGAAAGCTCACATAAGCACATGCTAATTAAAAACATACGAAAAAAAGAAGCCATAGCAAGCTGTTGAATGGTACGTACAACCTAGTTGAGATCACTCGCTTGTAATTGTGTTGCAGGCAAGAGGAACATCATTCTTGAGAGCCAGCTGCCCAAGGGCATGGAAACGATGCAGAAGATTGCTGACCTGGAGAATCTGGGCATCAAGCCGGTCATGCCGGGCGAAACTGAGGAGGTAAGAGTGGTCTATACCCAAGTGTCAGCAAGACGTAGAAACGACTATACGACACAATTGCTGAAGTTACGTCTGATGGCAGCGCCACAGTGGGAGGAGTGTTGCCTGCCGAATTCATGATCGTTTACTTCCTCAAGCTTCCCCGGTACCTAACTCGTTTGCTCTATACTCGTCGCAGGGCGCTCCACCGCAGTTCCTGACGCAGCCGGCCGACGTCAGTCTGGTGGAGAACCAGCTGGCGCACTTTGAGTGCCGCCTCACCCCGGTCGGAGACCCTACCATGAGGGTCGAGTGGTTCCACAACGGACGGCCCCTGTCAGCAGGATCGCGCGTCCGCACCATCAACGACTTCGGGTGGGTGCTCGATGGGAGCATTCCTAGATCCAATCGGGGTGTTCACGCACAAGTAGAGATAATCTCTCCTTTTGCTACGTTAAGCTATTACGCCTACGAATCAAATGAACATCGATTCGAGAAATAGCATTGACATCGATATCTTGTAGAGTGTTAGTTGTTACGAAGTAAATGCTATTACGATGTCACCCTCATCGTACCCAGTATCCAACCTTCAAGTGCCACAGACGTCAAGAAATAATGTGATGTCCCGAGGAGGATCTGAGGAGTGACATCCCGCACCATCGTTTCAGCTACGTCATTCTGGAGATCGGCGGCATCTACCAGCGCGACGCCGGTCTGTACACCTGCAAGGCCGTCAACAGGCACGGCGAGGCGTCAGTCTCCTGCTCCCTCACCGTCAAGGTAAGGAGCGACGGGAGAACCGAATGGGTTAGAAGATCGCACTTACAGCAGATATCCAGCGTCCTAAGAATAGCGAAATCTGCATTTAAAAGGACAAACCAAGAAAAATACAACGAGCCACGGGCTCTATGCGAAATCGAAGGACGCTCTCCGCTGGAATATAATTGTGATTAGCCTCATACCTCATTTCACACCGCGTTCTCCCTCCTTTATCCGCAGGGCCGCCAGGGCGTCGTGTTGGAGCCGCAGATGCCACACGGCATGGAAGGTATCCGCAAGCTGGAGGAGTCGCTCTACCACTCAGAGCAGGTGCCGGTGGAGGACGCCGCGCCGCAGCCGCCGCGCTTCGTCACAGAGATCAAGAACCTCGAGTCTCTGTTCGAGGGCCAGCCGGCGCACTTTGACTGCCGCGTGGAGCCGGTCGGCGACCCCAGCATGCGCATTGAGTGGTTCCACAACGGACGGCCCATCGACGTCGGATCCAGGTCAGTCGGGAGCGGATGATGCGGTAAGATTACAACATAGACCTGTCGTTTGCTTCATAGCTTTCGGAAACGTCAAGGAACTTTAGGAAACTAGGGGATGTGCTCGTAGGAAACGCAAGAGGGTGGATACGTTTGGTCATGATTCGATCATATAAGTCCCTCCTAGGAAACGAATGTGTCATGATGTCCCTTCACCACGGAATCGCTGACGACGTCACAGGGTTCACTTCCTTGACGACTTCGGCTTCATCGTGCTGGACCTGGACTGGACGTTCCCGCGCGACTCGGGAGAGTACGTGTGCCGTGCCACCAACAAGTGGGGCACCGCCACCACCAAGGCCACCCTCATCTGCAAAGGTAAGGACGTCCCGACCAGCCTCGACAGTACGCAGCTGGCCCACGCAGACACAGGGGACTGACGCAACGCTCCAGTTAACATGGTGTGCCGTCTTGCGTGCAACTTAGAGAGGAAAATGTTACTATTTTGATTCAACAACAGCATTTTCCCTTTCAGCGGTTTAGTTGTATTTTTCCCCCAGCTAGATACTTATGATAGTTTGCTTCATGTTCGTGGACCCGTTAAATACATGGTTGCATGGCAATACCTCTGGTCGCAAGGCAGCATATTATTTCCCTAAATAAACCATAGGGTCGTTTTTAACGCTATACCTACCTTTGTTGTGCTGTTTTCCACCCACCCCGCATACACCGAGGGTCCAATTGTCACATGTTGTCTCGTCCCGTATTTGCCCTAGCATTTCTATCGGTGAATTTTATTTTCTCATCTAACCTCTCCGTGCATGCTCAGCTAATCGGCTTGGTGAAGTGTTGTGCTGTCCCTTATTTTCTCTCACACCGCGCGTTACAGACGAATTCCAGCGATATCTGGAGCATTACAACCTGGATCACCTCGCCCGGCTACCAGCGAGGAGGCTCTCACAGATACTTTGTAGGTCAAGTGGTGGACAGGAGTCGTGGTAACATGAAACCAATGCTTGTTTTCCGCGGACCTTGGATGGTATATGGCTTTGAACCATTTCGACTTAGCTCTTAAATTCGCTTGGATCGGTACCGAAATAAAATGACCTAAAAACAAATGTTTTATTTTCGTACCAGATTTAAGCCCAGCCAATTACAAATGCACGCAATAAATCGGGCTGCGGTGTCGGACATCTCTTTATCGTTTCAGCTACCTGACAAATATAAATTAAGAATAAACCATATAATCTATTCCTTTTTGCACCGTACTGTCGTTGTTCTGACCTTTCCAAATGTGTGACCTAATTTCTAGCCAAGCGGGACGTGGTGCTCGAGTCTCAGCTGCCCAAGGGCATGTCTGGTGACCGTCTGCGAACCCTCGAGGAGGGGCCCAAGATGGGCGAGCCGATGGCACCGGAGGCGGAGGCAGAGCCGCCGCGCTTCGTCAAGGAGGTGAGGAACTGGGATCGAAATGCAATCTATCGACAGGCCACACTAATGTGACTTGCGACGATTTGCTTGATGTCATTGTAAGATGTTGCTGTTAAAACTTATTTGACCAACAAATCACACGGACACGTCCGTTCCAGATTGGCAACGTGGACGTTGGCGAGGGTGAGACGGCCTTCTTCGACTGCAAGGTGGAGCCCAAGAGCGACCCCAACCTGCGGGTGGAGTGGTTCAGGAACGGCGTCCAGGTCCAGACGGGCCACAGGTACGGACAGTCAACGTCTCCGTGGCGAGCAATACAGCGGTTGGCGACAAGCCAACATGTGCTCATAGCAATGTCCTTTAGTGTTGAGGGTTGTGGGAGTGTAGTAAATTTTGAAGGGCTATGCACTTGCAATATCTGAGCTGATAACGAAAACCCTCGTGAGGCGAATGATTTGACAAAAAGTTGAACGCCTAATCCATTAACTCCCGATCATGGTGACCCCTCCAGCCCTTCTCGCTGCTGACGTGCCTCTCCTGCCCGCCAGGTTCCGGACTACGTTCGACTTCGGGTACGCGTCGCTGCAGATTCTGGGAGTATACCCAGAGGACGGCGGCGAGTACACCTGCAGGGCCGTCAACAAGGTCGGACAGGCCACCTGCAAGAGTGCACTGACCTGCCGAGGTAGGTCTTCGTCCACACACATCGTATCACAGCAGATGTTGAAGACAGTTTACTCACCCGTGGTGACTTTTCCAGGAGACTGTCGCCGTAGTTATGATTGAAATCCTGAAACAGAGAACGAAATCAGTTGTAAAAACAGAAGGTCGTTCTGGTGCCATCATGCCTGAATAATAAGCTCAGCGTGGCGTTCTTTGTTAAGCATCACATTCGTTACCATGCCAGCTATATCATAGCACTTTTCATGTTCACAACTAACATCACTGCGTTTTCCGGCAGCCATTTCGTCGGTGATCATGCTGACCCAGGTGCCGAAGGGCATGAAGCCCGCCGACTACCTGATGCAGATGGAGGCCACCCTGAAGCAATACACCTCGGAGATCCACCTCACTGAGGAGGATATCTACGACGCCGACCGCAAACAGCCGCCGAGGTACAGTGATCATCCTTCAACTGAACGGGGAATGGCACTAAACTAGATCGGGGCACCTGTTAAAATATCGACGTTACAAACTCGATTACGCTTATATCCAATGTCGGTCCATTAAAAAGAGCTACTGAAGAAGACAGGTATAAAGATGAGCTGCTGTTCCTACTAAGTTTGAAAGCTGTCTGACCATGTGTTCGCCTCGTACACAGGTTCGTCACCCAGATCCAGAGCCAGCCGAACTTGGTGGAGATGGAACAGACCAAGTTTGAGTGCCAGCTGGCGCCCGTTGGAGACCCCAACATGAAGGTCGAGTGGTTCTTCAACGGCAGACCACTGCCATACAGTGAGTTGATGCGTTAAAACCAGATGGGTAAAACCGCAAGAAGCACGACCTTGATCTCATAGAGTATTCTGTCGATGGTCTGAATAGGAGGGCAAACGGCATTCGGGGTATCTTCATAACAAGTACTCATTCATCAATTTGCGTTGCTGGCAAATGAAGTACGGGGTCTTACATATCAGATGTATGACCATCGACCTCCATGAAACCCCAATCAGCCGCTGACATTCCACGTATGTGACGTTGCAGAGAACCGCTTCACACCGATCTACGACTTTGGTTACGTGGCGATGAACTTTGGCTGGGTGTACCCGGAGGACTCTGGGGAGTACCTGTGCCGCGCCACCAACCTGTACGGCATGGACGAGACCAAGGCCATCATCAAGACTAAGGTCAGTAGAGGAGAGTGAACCGAAGGCAGGGTAGCGCAAGGGTTGGGAATGTCACGGAAGGAAATTGGTCCTATCATGGAAGGATAGGCTGCATCTTATTTGGCGATAGCACTAAGAAAACGACAACTTATCGAATCAAACCGTTCAGCATTCTCCGTCTTCCGCTCAACGGGTTGGACGCTTAGACCATCATTCAGAGGTCTCCGTTCTGTAGTTACGAAAATTTAAATGTAACCATTACCACCCCTACGTGACGGCCTCTTCCTTCCATCAGGGCAAGCCGGGTATCGTGTACGAGTCCCAGCTGCCGAAGGGCATGGAATCTGTCAAGAAGATCCAGGAGATGGAGTCCCACTGGAACCGGGCGCCCGACGCGCCCCTGGAGGAGGAGCGCGCCCGCGAGGCGCCCGTGTTTGTCACCAAGCCGGAGCCGGTGACGGTGAACGAGGGCGACTGGGCGCGCTTCTGCTGCCGAGTCACCGGCCATCCGCGACCCCGCGTCATGTGGCTCATCAACGGACACACCATCGTCAACGTGAGTGCCGAAAGCTGGTATGCTCGGTGGTATACAGCGTAAAAATAGTATCAGGAGATGGCGAATGAGCTCCGGAAGGTAGGCTTTTCGGTTGTGTTTTAATATCCATTTAGATGGAATATAACTATTGGCGGCCGGCCTAGGGGCGTAGCCGGCCTAGCCGCCGGCTACGCCATCACACCAAAAGCGATCGAAGCACGATACGAGCCAGGTAGTAACTTGTAATAAACCGTCCACAGGGCACACGCTACAAGCTGACCTACGACGGTATGTGGCGACTGGACATCCCCAAAACTCGTCAGTACGACCACGGCAAGATCGAGGTCGTCGCCCGCAACTCTGCCGGCGAGGCCTACTGCTCCTGCGAGATCAACATCAACGCTCGGCAGGACGACTACCGTGCCGTCCTCAAGAACTCGCCGAAACGTGAGTGGGCCGGGCGGCACGCCGCGCGCGCCATCCGACGGCGACCTGGGTTACCAGAGCCTCCCAGGTGGCCGTTTGTATATCGGGAGTAAGGGGAAGCAGAGACCAGCACATAAACAGCACGACTAACGCCGCTGGGCATCTCACACACTACACTTCCGTCACAGCGCTGGCCGCAAAACTGCCGCCGCCGCTCACTGACTTATTATAGCCAATAACACCGCCGTCTTATTGCTCAGCAGCGTTTGGAAGTGAACAGGTAAGGAGCCGTTTCAGGTGCATGAGTTTCCGTTTGCGCATAAACCTATTTGGCGGTTTGAAGTGATTTTTTCCTAGGCTTTGCTTTGTTTTTATTTGCTTTCTTCGAGCCTCTGTCGCCTGATAGAATGTGCGTCCTAACCCGTAACCGAGGTGTCATCCTCATAAAACTTTGCAGCTGGTTATGCTTACCTGCGTGAAATGCAATCAATGTGTGACCACATTGGGGCCGAGAAGACAACGGATTGCCATAACCGTTAGCGAATTTTTGGTGTCAGTTGATTGCAGAGTAGTGTTCTACGTGCGACTTGATGCTTTTAGACAGTGCCTCGTGATTTTAGCCATGTTACCCGACTAATGTCACTGTCCTCGTCTTTATATGTGACCACACCCAGCATTTGTGCCTTGTCCTTGAGCGTTGCCCCGCATGTGACATCAGCACCGTGCTGCCACCTGCCGCTGCCCGCGATAACTTGCAGTTCCTCTTTTAGCCTGGTATGACTATGACCTGCGACAATACCAGAGCGAGCGCCAAGAGGTGGAGACCGAGCGGGTCTTCGAAGAGAAAGTGCGGCCCGGCATATCTGTTCTCTATCAGGGAGAACACAGCAAAGTTGTGGAGGAGCCCGAGGCGCCCAGGCGGTCCAAGCGGGGCTCTGACGCTTCAGACGTCGGCAAACAGGTACGAGCGTTTTGTGCCAACTGCCAGCACATATCTAGCCATGCATTCAGCAGTGTGTTGCAATGCAATGAATATTATGAAGGGCTATCATGAAGCGTAGATGCTGCGATATCAGTTCAATCTCAGTAACATAAAAATAGCTCCGACTTTGAATGTGAAAGTACAAGATAAAAGCTTTACGAGAGCTTTACACGTTAATTATCGTTGAATGTGATTGTGGCTGGGGTGATGGAGTTCATGTCTAGAACGGGGATTGACGGCAATTTCACTCTGCAGCTGCCGCAAGAAAGAACCCCGCTCGGCTCTGTGGCCAAGGGCATGGCGGCTATCTACGTCCAGAAACTGTGAGTCGACCAACATGGGCTTCCACGATCACCGGTGGAAATTTAATTCATTTTGATTAATGTATCTTATATCAATCAGCATCAAATCAATTAACTCATATTGATATAACCATTGCAAATAATAACAGCTTACAATAGGTGCACAGCAAAACTTAGAATGCTGTCTAAACCACAGTGGTCTATGAGACGAGATGTGTTCATCTCAAACAATGAAGAGTATACCACCCTTAAATAGCATGGTATGTTTTCTCGCATATACCACTGTACTGATCACGCTTTCATGTTTGTTTTGTCCAGGGCTGAGGCAGGACAGAAGCCGGGAGCAGCCCGACCTGGCACAGCCTCAGCGCCCACTGAACCCGCAGCACCCGGAAAGGAGGTGAGCTAATCACATAAAAGGCGCCTGGTAAGAGTCGGACTGCAACAACGATCGTCATTACTGAAATCGAACACATTCCAGTAATAATGAAACTGTATTTTAGGCATCACGCAAACCACTTACGTCTCGTGTGTCTTCCAGGCGCCAGGCCGTGCACCGATCTTCACCCGTAAGATGCAGCCGAGCCGGGCTTTCGAGACGAACGGGGCCCGGTTCGACGTGGACTTTGTGGGCGTGCCACCGCCCGAGATCACGTGGTTCCGAGAGGACTTCCCGATCACGCCCAGCCACGACTTCAAGGTAAGTTGGTCGAAATATGGATTGTGTATCGCCACATTCATATGCCATCTGTGATCTGGCACTAGTCACAATGAGCAAAGGCGAACATGCAAGCAATTATCTATGCAGTAATGAACAATGAATATGCTACGATGTCATCTCACACTTTGCTGTCTTCGTCGTCCCCGCAGGTCACCACCACCGGTCGGCACTCGACGCTCGAGATCCGGGAGGTGTACAGCGAGGACTCGGGTCAGTTCTCGTGCGTGGCCTCTAACGAGCACGGCCAGGTGCGCTGCTCCGCAAACCTGGTGGTGGAGGAACGTCCACTGCCGCACGGTGTCCAGGTGCCGCCCAACTTCACCCAGACCCCGCGCGACGTGCAGCTCTGGCCCGGCACCAAGGTTGTCACGTTCGAGGCCAAGCTGGCCGGAACGAAACCGGTCGACGTCTACTGGCTGAAGGTGAGAGAGAAAATTGGCAGATTAGTGGAAGGTTGAAACGATTATGAAAGGTAGATGAACAAATACATTTATGAGAGTAATCTGAAAACCTTAGAAGAAACTAGAAAGACACATAATATAAATGAGCGATGAGACGTAAACAAAAGGAGATTGAAATGTCGGTAAGGATTAGAATCGCATCTCTGTCAGCTTCTCGCAATTTCCACCCTTCCTTTTGACACCACATTGCCCTCCCGTCTGTTCAGAGCGGAGACCACGTGGAACCTGACGGTCGCCACAAGGTGGCCAGCGACCGGGACACCTACACGCTCACTGTGCTGGAGCCGACTGCCGACGACTGCGGGCCGATCGAGTGTGTGGCCATCAACGCGTCCGGGGAGGCGCGCTGCCAGGCTGAGGTGGGTGGGCCGTGCGCACGTTTAGAGGAGGTTCGGTCAACGACGCAGGCATGTGTCGCTTTTGCTTGTCTGGGTGTGTTTTTCTTCTTTTACTCAGTTTCGTTGAAATGACATCACTTCGCACGAAGTCGGATAAATGGTTCTTTGATGCGTTTAATCAGTCCTTGAACAGCAATGTTGTTGTCATCAGGAATCGAGCATCATTTTCTATCTTCGAATGAAACCACTCGCTGATGTCAAAGAACACCTTTAGTCGGCGTTTGACTGAACCTAAAGAGTCGAACTAACTCCATTTAGAGGTGATTCACACATGTGAATCGATTTGCTGAATTGCTGATGCCCAATTTCTCTTTTCAGCTGCGAGTCGCTGAGGGTCCAGAGGACACCACGCAGCCGAAACCCAAAGCCCAGGGGAAGGAGGTTCCGCCAAAGATAACCGTGCCCATGAAGGGCGTCACGGTGCAGGAGGGACACCCTGCCACACTGCGGTGTCGCTTCTCCGGGCAGCCAGGTTAGTTAGACGTGGTGTTAAATAGTGGGAGGAAATATTAAAATTCAGCTGCAGGTGACACTTGGTAAAAGACGGCTTTATGGATTAGATTCAATGTAGCAATTCCTCAGCCCTTTTCTCTTATTTCATCAAGCCATCAATCAATTCCATCATAGACCACTATATAGGTATATAGTGGTCTATGATTCCATCAATTTCACTGATCAATACAACATTTCACCGTGCGATTTTTTCACTGAAGTTAAGCATTCCACCAGCTGTAACGATCATTAGCCTCTGACATGCCTTCACACTTCGCCTCCAGCTCCGACGCCGCAATGGCTGAAGGATGGACAACCGGTAAAGCCGTCCAAATACTTCAAAATCGAGCAGGACGGCGACACGTTCGTGCTGAAGATCTCCGAGTGTTTCAAGGAGGACGAGGGAATATACACCTGTGTGGCGACCAACTCGGCAGGCAAATCAACCATGAAGGCGCCGCTGAAAGTCACAGGTGAGTGAAGCTGAAAGTGGGAAATGACGTATGTTTTATTCGTAAGCATTTAGAGTAGTCTGTAGTTATATGGTAAAGCCGGCACAATGTGTTAACGGACCGTGATCATGGATCGGTGTCTAATATGTGGATTATTTCTATTTTCAGCTCCGAAGCAGGAGATCGTCCCCACTGTGTCCCCGATGAAGGACGTCATCTGTATGGAGGGTGAGCCCGCCCGGTTTGTGGCCAAAATCACCGGCAAGCCCACCCCTACGGCGACGTGGCTGCGCGAGGGCCAGATCATCCCGCAGAGCGGGGAGTTCAAGGTAGGTTCAGAGGCGAGAACTTGACACACATGATTTCGGATCGTGTTTTATGACGGAAAAAATGCTATGGGGCATTCCACGTCAAATCGAACAAAAATCGGCTGTTTTGCACCTTACCATCAGCGATTTCATTATAAATTTGTGAGCGAGTTCCTGTGTCGCCCCGGACATTACATTGATGTTTTTTGCACATTCTGACCACAGGTCTTCTAAATATAGGGCATCAAATTTTTACAAAATGTTGCATCTTTATATTTTTGAACGACCATAACTTTGGTTGTACTTGTTTGATTTGAATGAAATAAACCTTACTGTTAAGGTAATTTCTTAAGCATTTGTTTAGAATTGCATCGACTTAAATATATGACCTTGAAATTTGCTTAACTCTGTTCTTAAGCACAAAAATTGAAATAGCAAAAAACACGCCACCTTCGATTTGGCTCATTTTCATATATTTTATTGCCTACCATATTCTTAACAACCTGTGAAAAAATTAGAGTGGGCCATTCATAAGTTTTGAAGAAAATGGCACATATGCAAACGTATGTTAGCACGTGCAGTGGAGGGGGAAGAGTGAATTTCGCCCCACCCCTCCTGTTTTTCGCCAGTATCTCATAATATTGATGCGAAATTACTTATGGCTACCTGTCCAGAATTGAATTGCACATCTCATCGTGCAAGCAATAAGAAAATCGGTTCACAACTGTTCTAGTAATAGCGGTGTAAAGTGAACATCCTGTGGCCGCGGCGACGCGGCGACTCGGCAGCCGGCGCCGACCGCTACGCGCCGCCTGAGTTGTAGACTGTGCCGGGACGGAACGGAACGGTTCCGTCTTTACATCGCGCTCCTTACCGCTGATTACGTTCGATTCGCGTCAAATTTTGTGAGAAGACTAAGAAATGTACAGGCAATCTTATGGTGAAAGAATTCTGAAAATAGGTTGGTAAACAATTGAAATATGAACGTGTAAACACAAAATTGTGACTGCTGCGTTTCCCGCGTCGGCCGATCCCGCCTCAGCCGGCGACATGTTACTCTTAGCAGGACTCTAACTGCCATATTTATTATCGGATTAACTAGAAATTCCCCATACATACTCAAAAATGTATGCTCTTTCGTATAGTGAAGATCAAAAGACGTGAAGATATCGTTGCGTGATAATGTTTTCGTTGAATTTATTTCATGATGCATTTCCACACGGCTCAAAATTCACCGCAAAATACCGTTTGCCTGAGACACTTTTACGATGGAACGTGAATGCTTGACTACGATGACTATGCATTTCCATTCTCGCAGAGTTTGGGATATCACTAATCAGCAATCATTCATTTCAGAAAGTGTACACAAGCAATCATGTCTTGACTCTGTCTTTCAAGGTCACGCGCGGTTGCGTGATGTTGATGCATGAAAACGGCGTTTGCCGCGAAAGTTATGAATGGCCCACTCCAATTTTTTCACAGATGGTTAGGAACATTGTGACGGACATAATATGTAAAAATTACTCAAATCGAAGGTGGCGTGTTTTTTGCTATTTAAATTTTTCTGTTGTAACTCAAGGTCAAATGCATTTCAAGGTCACTTCAATTTAATTTTATAATTAAAAATCAAAGCCTTATCAATTGCCTACAAGACCCTGTTAATATCATTTTGATACCAGAAAAGGAACCAGAGTTATAAGCATTTAAAAAAATGATGTGTGGCATTTTTGGCTATATTTGATGACCTATATCTCGGCGATACGTTATCAAATTTCGAAAATATGACACGTAACTCAGTTTTGAACCATGCCCAGTCTGCCTACAAATTTTCAGAAAAATCGAAGGGGATGACGGATTTCGGTGTTTGATTTGACGTGGAATGCCCCTATGCTGTATTAGACTGATAAGTGTCGAACAAACTTCAAATTTCTCAATTGACGAGATCATGTTTTCGAAGCCTGACATTTATGTATCAAAATGTATTTTATCAAACGGCTGAGCATAGAAGCATTACACTATTTATCGCTCACAAAGACTGCAAACTTATGCATTCTAAAGGTTGCGTGTTGTAAAAATATTTCGTAAGAAGACCATATCCCACCAAATTTATTGCCTGCGCATCGCTGCCAAGGCTAGAGTACAATTCAGCTCTGTCTGGAATGCTGGCGCCAGAAGACACACAGCCCTATGCCAGGCACGTTCCTGGCACCGGGCCGGTTCTGGCATCTAAATCCACCTCACACGGGCCGGCAAAGACCTCTGGCTGGACGGGTGTTTATGGCGGCCATTGGGGCGGCTGTTTGGACGCCGCGGTGACAGTTGGCACAGGGAGACCGCAGACTTATGGGACACCCTGCAGCGGGATCTGAGAGAATTCTCACATCTGGTGCAGAGTTGGCAACCGAGCTGGTCACGCGAGGCATTCGTGGTAGCTTTTTGCAATGTTTTAATTATTTAAATTTCGCAATTCGGAAAATTCGCTCCCCTTCCACGCCACTCTCTGCGACGTTTCCCGTTATGCAAGCGTGCCGGAAACACATGAAGTTCCTTTCAGGGTGAGCTGGTGCAAATGCAAACGACCACGCACCGGATCATTTTTCTTGTAATTTTTGTTTTGTTTTGTTGGGTTAGGCCCTTTCGGTCCAATGAGACCATTTCAGAGCCGGGAGGATGATAGGATGTAGGGGGAGACATTGGTCTGGGCAGGCACCCTAGTGAGTCGCCGGGGCTGAGCCCGTCCAGAGGACAGGCCACCCGGCCCCAAGGCACTCACTGCACCCGGCTACGGGGTGCGCTCCCTCGGGAGCAGCGGTGCCGCTCCAAGGGAGCAGCCCGCATGAGATAAAGTTGCCTGTCCAGCCCGGAGAGGGGTTGCGGCTTGGAGGAGAAGGATTTCAGTATCCTGAGGATAGAAGCACGGAACGGTCCCAATTCTTGTAAAATACCTATGTCAAATGAATCTATAAGGATGGAGTGTTAATTATCTTTGTATGAACCTTTCATCCATTTTTCATGGATACAACTTTTTCACAACCGTACATTCATGGGCAACTGATAAAAATCATTGACATTATCGAATAACTAAAATAACAAATGCAAGCAAATCGATTCAAAACAGTGCCAATTGACAATATTCTGTAGCGTTATCAATCAATGCGACACCTTATCTTTAACCTCATATTTTCATCGCCGTCATCCTCGTCGCCACCAGATGACACTGACGGGCGGCACGGCCGTGCTGGAGATCTGCGAGACGTACTCGGACGACACGGGCACCATCACGTGCCGCGCCACCAACGGCGCCGGAACCAGCGAGGCTTCCGCGCGGCTCACGGTCCAAAGTGAGTCAGAGTCAGAGTCGGAGTCCGAGTTGGATGACTCCGGTGAGAAATGAGCGGCGACGACCGGCGGCGGGATCCGCCGGGTCGGAGCGCTCAGGTAGCTGTCCCAGTCGTTTGTTGTTTAGACCCTGCCCCGGGATCTGTCCCAAAGGTATACCAATCGGTAGCGGTGGTAGTGGTGGCGGTTGTGGTGACTGGTGCTGCCTGGTGATGCTATAGGGAGGTACTGGTGACGGTATCCTTTCATCCGAAAGCTGCCCGTGCGATGCACATAATGCAAATCACCCAAACCGTTCCTGCCGGTTCCCACCGGCCGCACACAGACAATCACATGCTAACTCGACATTAATGAGTATCCAGTATTCAATGATTATCCTGTAAGATGTCCTTTTATCGCATCCCATACATGTACATATGTTCCACGTCCACTAATGCAGAAACGGAGTGTCTTATCGATTCGATTTTTTACGTCGATCGTTTTTCTAATACCAACGGGTGCTTTTGATAACTGACCTAACACGAGGTTTTTGTATTCAGTACGACTCACCTGGCGATAATAAATGTGTACTGTTCTTGTTTTGACGAAATGTGACTCTTTTTGTCGCAGACATACTTTGCCTAACATCATTTTTTTAACATCATGCCGACGAATGGATATTTGAGACGTTTATTTTTGGAGATAGCTTCATTTGGCTGCGTAAGCACATTTAAACCACTAAATTAACGGACTAATTAACCTTGGTGCGGATAGAAACAAGGTACCGCAGTAAATAACCACATGCTCACTAGATACTCGATTTATTTTACACCGCTAACGACATTCGGCAACACTAACCACGGCGATAGATTTGACAACTGGCCGGCAATCGTAGCGTTACTACTCCTGTGCAGAAAACGGGTATGTTGACCATAAATATCATCATATATTTAAAAGTAGCCTTCCAACACCTCACAAAATAAGCTCTAACGAGATTGAGATCGCAACCATGCACTTCATTTCTCAATAGATCTGTCACAAAAAAAGAAAATCAGAGGATAACGCACACATCGCGGCAAATTCACCAAGACATTACTCAAGAGGTTCATTAGCATTCGGCAATACAAACCGTGATATGGATTATGAAGGCGGTGGCCGCGGAGCGCTGCGGAGGGGAACGATCGTAGAGGGACGGACAGGGAGGGGTCGGAGGGGAGGGTGGCCGGGGAGGGATCGTCGCGGAACGAGCGGGGAGGGGTCGCCCAAGACTGGACGGTAATTTAACACCGTCGCGGTGCCAGCTGCTGTCGCCCCAGGTCGCCGCGACAGCCCCGAACAGCGTCAGCAGATGACCTCGGGGCCCTGGCCGCAGCTCGCCGCTTCCAACGCGGGAAAGACAAATAAATGGGAGCGACTGCGGCCAGCGTCAGCTCGGCCGGGTGTTAGCAAACTCAGCGGGAGTCCGGGCGCAGAGATTCGCGGAACACGCTAAAACATCGGTTACGCAGAACCCGAGAGCTGCTTGACAGGAGAGCATACGACTAGCATGATCAAATGGAGCCAAAACGTTTTAGCCATCTTGGTTTCTACAAAATGTATGACTACGTGAAAACGCATAAGCTTTCCCTTCAGCGTAACAAATAGCACATCTCAAACACCTTCGGCTGATCGAGCCGACTGGCACATACGCACTATGTAAACACAGATCTATAAATAGTGGGTAGCCCACCTCCTGCTACGCAAAGCAGGAGGGAAGCGGGATTTGTATACTCGCACGCACGCAGAATAACGACTTCCAACGTAACTGCGCGGGTTCTGTGGTTGGGACAGTCCGCCAGCCCGCCACATGCTATCTCTGGCACGCACGTCTTTGCGCGGAACATCACCCTCGCAGTTCAGTAAACAGGGGCGCGGATCGTAGGAGATATGCAGCGTGGCCGACGGCCCACGGCAATCGCCACTCTCATCGACGCGCGACGCACGAGCGACGACCACGCGGCGACGGCGGCGACGCAGCTGGCCAGCGAGACGGGGGTGAATGAACCGGGCGGTGAAAAGCCGTCTCGACGGACAAAAACGGGTCTTGGAGGGCGGACACAGGACGCGTGCCAGCGGACAGTAGGGTGGGCGCTCAGGACAGAAATAGACTTCCACCGGACACATTGCACGGTGCGCAGCCAAGCCGCGGCGGAATGGGCGTGCAGGAGCTACGGCCGACTCCAATAAAATTAAAAATTGTGGCGAAATGCTACAAGAAATGGCGAGTGACTGGGTCAGAAGCGAGGCTTCACTTTCGGAGGAAGGCAGACGAGCGATAGATCCAACAGATAAGGTAGCGTTTGGTAACAATAATGGAGTGCATAACACAAATTCAAATCCAATCTTCACATTTTACACCAAGAACTCTCAACTATGTCCAGTCCAACAATTAATTTCACTTTCAACAATTGCATCAATTCAACCATACCCAATCCTCCCCCTTTCAATTGCCAATCAGAGCCATTTTTCTCATATACATTTTCATTGCATACTACTCACACCCGTCCTTCACTACGCCATTTATCAGCCTTTACGTTCCACTTTACACGCCCGCAGAAATCACCATTCACCACACATCGCCAAGCTCAAGTCCTCACCAATCGTTCACTTTCTCTCTGGTAACAGGCTCATTCTTCCCCAGCCATCGTCCTTTCCCACAGGCCAGGTCAGGTAGTCGTTGAAATGCTCAGGACTTCGTCGTGTCACATTCCGGTAGTTGATGTGCCATGACGTCCTCGGTTTCATCAGCCTGAGCCTGCCTGCATCGTTAACCTTACAGCAGCAGGGGCTCTTCCGTCCTGTTTTGAAGCTCTCTTCTGGCTTTATGTTCTCGTACCCCGTGCAGTTATGTATGTTGACAGTCCAACCTAATCACCCGCATCGTCACTAACATTACCGTCACGATACCACCTCAGCCATCGCACCACTGTCTCAGTCGCACCACTTCCGCCACTACCTCACCCCTTCTCCACGCCGTCACCACAACTGCCACCGTCGCCAATTCCAGCCCCGTCGTCCCCACGTCGCCGCCGCCGAGCTACTGGCTCCTCCCGCGCTGGGGGCGGCACGGCAGCGTGAGCGCCGATTGGTCGACCCGCCCGCTCCCCCCTCCCTGTCCCCGCCCCACAGTCTGGGGAGGGGATGCTGGCGGCGTCGGTGTCTCGACCGTCGCCTGAGCCGAGCACGAACCCTGGTATAATTAGCGACGCAACCTTTCACCCGGGAGGACAAATTGCACGACAAGGGACGGGAAGTCAGGCACCGTATCTGTGTTTGCCTGAGCTGGCTTGTTGATGACGTGCTTTTTCTTGAATGAATGAAAGAATGAATGAATGAATGACTCTGGAGTGTTAGGTAGGTAGATATGTCCTTTCAATTAAAGATGGTGCCTAGAAGTGCTCATGAACAGTTCAAAATGAGCCAGTAGTTTTAGTACAGTAGGAAATGTACCAAACGGCATTCGCTGAAAGCTGGAACACGATGTTCCAGTATCACGTAGATTTTGCTGTTCCGCTGTTGAGTGTCGGGGAGCATGGTCATCTAAAAGAACGCACCCTGCAGTAGATCCTACTGACATTTATGCGTTGTCTGATGCATTTTCAGAACAAAAGCCCGTGCTGCCAGAGACCAAAGAGGGCAAGGCAGCTCAGCCAACACAGTCAGCACAGCCGGGTCAACCGGACAAACCAGTGTGGCCGCCTTCTCGTATCGAGGTCCCCGTACTGGTCACTCCCAAGACTCCGTCGCCCACGCCGGAGGATGACGAATCTCAGCGTGAGAAGAAGGTGAACACCGCCAAACGGTGGTGGGGTGCGGCGCCGCTCAAGAAGGCACCGCCCAAAAAGCGATCTACTCCGAAGAAGAGCGAGAAACCCGAGACAGTGCCATGGGCCAACGCCAAGAAGACGCTGAAGCGCGCAGAGCGCATCGTTCACAAGCCGACCAAATTCCAGCTGGAGCGTCCAGAGCTTCACCACGTGGAAGACGACGACGATTGGAGCGATACGATGAGCGTCAGTTCGCACATCAGTATCAGCGAGGACGACCGCGGTCGGCGCTACTCGTTCCTGATGCCCGAGGAAGGCCTGCCGGGCAGCCGGCGCGGCTCGACGGACCGCGCTCGCTCGGCTTCACCGATGGGCCGCCGTCCGTCTGAGATCGTGTGCCTCCGTCCCACGGAGCGCCAGCAGCCCAAGCCAGTGGAGAAACCTCGCATCGAACAGGTGCCGCTCAAACCGGCCTTCGAACAGCCTCCTCTGTCACAAACACAGCAGCCACAGCAGTCACAGCAGGTTCCGTGGCAGCAGCTATGGCAGAAGCCGCAAGTTGAGCAGCCGCAACAGCCTCAGGAACAGCATGACGAGCAACAACAGCCGCAGCAGCCGTGGCAACAGCAGCCTCAGCAACCCCAACAACCGTGGCAACAGCAGCCTCAGGAACCTCAACAACCATGGCAACAGCAGCCACAACAACCCCGGCGGCCATGGCAACAGCAGCCCGAGCAGCCTCAGCATCCTCAGCAGCCTCAGCAGCCGTGGCAAGAGCAACCTCAGCAACCTCAACAACCGTGGCAACAGCAGCCTCAGCAACCCCAACAACCGTGGCAACAGCCTCAGCAACCTCAACAACCGTGGCAACAGCAGCCTCAGCAGCTCCAACAACCGTGGCAACAGCCTCAGCAACCTCAACAACCGTGGCAACAGCAGCCTCAACAACCCCAACAACCGTGGCAACAGCCTCAGCAACCTCAACAACCGTGGCAACAGCCTCAGCAACCTCAACAACCGTGGCAACAGCAGCCTCAGCAACCCCAACAACCGTGGCAACAGCAGCAGCCTCAGCAACCCCAACAACCCTGGCAACAGCAGCCTCAGCAGAAACAGCAGCCTGAGGAGCCGTTACAACAGGCCCAACAACCTTGGCAGCAGGTTAAGCCTGAGGAGCAGCGACCATGGCTAAGACAAAAACAGCAACCACAGCAGCGACCGCAAGAGCAGCCGATGGCCGCCGAGGACGGACGCATATCACCCACAGAAGAAGAGCTAGTAGAAGCTTCTCCGTGGGCACGTGGCCTCGTGCGCCAACGGGTACAGTACACGAGTGATACGGCACCATGGGCTACCGGCAGCGTACAGTTGAAAGCCGTCGAGACCGTCGAAAAGAAGGTGTTGGAGAAACCGCAGCTGGCCACGGTGGAACTCCGACCGGTGCCTGACCAGGCTGATACTCTGCGCCGACGGTCCATGGACGCACGCGGTGAGACATCAGAGCTCCCACAAGATGCGTCCCTCCAACCTGAAGCAGAGCAGCAGGTGCCTTGGGCTCGCGCAAAAGAGCAACTGCGCACAGCAGAAAAGCCAGAAAAGAAAAGGCCGGAGAAACCTAAACTAGAACCGGTAGAACTAAAACCAGTTCCGAAACTCGAGGAAATGCCTGTGCCAGAACGTGCGGTGGAAACAGGCGTTGACGACGAGGACGAAACGAAAAGCGACTCCGCAAAGCCACCATGGGCGAGACGCAAGGCAGAACTAAAGCCAACTGTGACAGAAAGTAAGCCAGTCGAGAAACCCAAACTCAGCAAGGTAGACCTCAAGCCATTAAGAAAGGCCGAGGAAGCAGCGGACGGACAAGAAGCTGAAGAAACTGAAAACATCAGTGAGATGCTTAAAGATACAGAGGTCAAGGCGCATCCAGTTCCCTGGGCACGTGAAAATGTTCAGCTTAAGCCGACCAAACAGGAAGAAAAGGTATTTGAAAAGCAAAAACTAGAGACGGTGCAGCTGAAGCCTACGCAGCCTGTAAAAACATCGCAAAGCGTTGCAGATGAACAAGGCTATGAAGTCGTAAAGAGCAGCAGCGAATCATCATTTGAAAAGATTGACGTTGTGAAAAGCTCAAGTGCTGAATCTTTTGAGATGGTGGAAAAGGCAACAATTCCTCAACAGCAGGATATCGAGCAGACAACCACTGGACCCGAAGCCGACACCCAGCCTGCCTGGAGAGCTCCCAAGAAGCAAAAAGAGAAAGCACAACCAGAGAAGACGGATGAAGCTGACACACCACGAGCAAGTCCCGCCAAACCGGAAGAGACGACTCGGCCAAGAGGAATAAAACCTCAAAAGCCAGCAGCTACGGACTTGCCAGAAGATGAACTAGCACGCGAAGAGGAAGGCAAAGCGCCAGAAGAAACCGCATCACCTACCCAAAAGCAGGAACCAAAGGGGGTTCCATGGGCGCACCCTAAACCACAAGAACCGAAGGAAGTTCCGTGGGCTCACCCCAAACTGAAAGCTACGCCACGTGCTGAGCCTACAGAGGAGCAGCCATTGGGCCAACAACCGCAGCAGCGCACCCCGGACGACAGGTCGGAGCAAGATCTTCATCCATCGGAACCTGCTGATGAAAAGAAAGAGGAGCCCGAAAAGGAGCCATGGCCAAGAGGTAGAAAGCACAAGAAGGGCACAAGACCAGAAAAGGGTGTGACTGAGGTGCCAGCTGAATGTGCTCAGTCACCTGAAGATTGGGTGTCGTTGGATGCACCAACTGACGAAGAAATCACACAGAAACGAGATGAGGCTGCTGTCAAGAAACCAAAACAAAGGCAAACTGAAGTTGTTCTGCAGAAACCAGAGGAACAGCAAGCGGCTGTACCTCCCAACACAGAGGCCAAGGATCATCCTGAGGACGTAAAATTAAAAAAGAGACCAGCGCCAGTAAAATTACAGGAGCCAGAGGAAGTTCCTTGGGCACATCCCAAGCTGAAACCTTCCGCACGGAAGGATTATGAGCCTGAACATGTGACAATGGAAGACGTTAGTCTAAAGAAGCTTCCGGAACAAGAGGAAGCTGAAATACCGACTGAGGAAAAGGAACATAAGATCATAGAAGTAGAGCCATTCGCACCAACTGATGTGCCTACGCATGACGACGTTGAACTTGATGAGCTTGAATTGGATATGCCCGATCAGCCAAAGAAAGACAAAACTCCCAAGACTTTAAAGAAAGCTCCAAAAGCTGAAGGTCCCAAAAAGCAAAAGGATAAGTCTCCAGAGAAAGGAAGGTGGGTAAGAGGGCAGAAACCGGACCAGGAGACACCTGAAGACGAGGAAGGTCTGAGAATCGGAAAAGGGAAACTTCCTGAAGATGATAAGCCTTTAGAATATAGGCTTAAGCCTGGTAAGCCTGGACCTCGTGGCGAAGAGCCACAAGAAGAAATAACCCTTAAGCCATTTGCTAAAGCACCAGCAGACGAAACACCAAAAGAGGCAGATGGTCAAATAAAGCCAGATTACGTTCCAACACTGCCTGAAAGAGAGCCAGTAGAGCTTCAACCGTATGACAAGACTCCCAAAGATACAGACACACAGAAGGAGGATCTTCCAGAAACAGAAGAGAAGCCAGTGCCAAAAGACAAGGAAGATATTCCAAGCGAGGTTCCAACGGAACCCGAAAAGCTTGGTGAAGAGTCACCGAAACCAAAGGATGGAAGAGAGACGGGTGCCATTCCCAAGGTTCGACGAGCTAAGCCGACCCAAAGGGCGACCGAAGAGGACGTCAGTGAGGTCTCTTCAGAAACATGGACAACCGAAGACTTTGAAATTGTTTCCAAGGAAGCCGTTGAAGTCGATTCAACAATGGAGAAACCTGTGAGAAAACGATCAGATAAAAAGAAAGTAAAGCCTCGTAAAATGAGGCCTGAAAGCCAAGAAAAGCCCGATCAACAAGAAAAGCCTGAGAGTGTTACTACTGAGGAAGTTTTCACTCATGAAATGGAAGAAAAGGATGAATTCGAGGAGGTAATTGAATACAGTGCTGAAGATGTTCCTGATCAGGGAGATGTTCAAGTGGAAGAAGTCCCAGGCGAAGATGTTCCAACTGAGAAGCCGAAGACAAAGAAAAGTCGCATGGTATTCTTCCCAGCCCCTGGCGCACAGAAAATCAAGCCTCCTCGCTTTACTAGAAAGATGCAGCCCGTGGTCGCTAACAGAGGCGATGTTGTTACCTTTGAGGTAGAGTTTGAGGGCAATCCGGCGCCTACGGTATCGTGGTTCCTGAATAATGTTGACTTGAAAACGACTAAGCATACTACGAGCTGGAGCACCGAGTCCACAGCTGTGCTCGAGATCACCAAGGTGACGCGCAAGCACGTCGGACACTACACCTGCAAAGTGACCAATCCCGGAGGCTCGGCCACATCAACGGCTAGCCTGGTGGTACAAGGTAGATTGCATCTCTCAGTTCTGCTGATTTCGTTTTCTGTTTTCCTTTTTCGTTTGTTTGTTAAATAAAGCATGCTTGCGTGTGTTTACTCACATGTTCTTGTCGTTTCAGGCAAGCGACAACATTACGATTATTTTATGCCAACGTGATTGAGTCGTGACATTTTCATTGATCCCGCTTTATTTCTTTCAGTTTCTAGTGTCATTTACTTTAATGAGTCTTAACGATATCTTAGCAATTGTGATGTGTGTTAATAAAATATAACTAATCATTTTTTTTTCGCCAAGTTTTCTCCGTTTTGATGTTTTGCCAAGGATACCAATGCATCAAGCAAAATGTTAATAACCGCTTCAGTGTTTGAAACGTGTCTTTACTTAACAATAATTTAACATAATGAAACCTCGTGACATAACATTAACATAACATTAACAATCATGAATCATAAAATTAACAACGCAATGATCTGTAATGTCGAAAAATGCCAGTGCAAATTGTATCGCACTTAGGCTGAGTAAGCCAGCTAAATAAGGATACGCTTAGGTATGTATATAAATATGAGGAACTTCAAAGACGATTTTCACATTGCCCCATATCTTTTGTCATTTGAAAATGCTGACCATTTTATCAGTAACATTGCATAACAATGATTGTTGCAACGTGCAATTAAAAACAAAAAAAGACCAAGCTGACCCTGTTTTCACCCATTTTTGCAGAGAAACCAAAAGAAGGAGCACCGGCTCAGATTGTGGAGCCACTCAACCCTCGCCAAGTGCGACCCGGTCAAACCTTGGCCTGGGAGGTCAAGGTCATCGGCTCGCCACCGCCGCAAATCACTTGGTTCCACGAAGGACAGCCGGTGAGTCTTAAAAAAATAATCTGTTTAATTCATTGTAGATGCTACTGGAACGTTCTTCGTCGCAGGTGTCTAAATATATCGTTTTTCATCATCACTATCCACAATCATTGCATTGACAACATTCAGTATTCACTAGATGTTGTGATGTGTCAGTTGACAATCGAGTCAGGAGAGCAAGATTCATTTATAGACATTCCGTCGTGTTCTCACTCCACAGATCCGTCCCTCGGACGACTTTGTTCCGTCCTTCAACCCCGACACGGGCGTGGCGCGGCTGACGGTACCCACCGTGATGCCGGAAGACGTCGGCAACTACACCGTTCTGGCAGAGAACCCCTTCGGTCGGGATCAGAATACCGCCAACCTCATCATTGTCGAAGGTTCGTTCATTACAGCTGTAATGGCTTGCTCTTGACCCAAAGATGTGATGAATGTTCAAGCCTTTGTTTTCACCTTTAGATGCATCCATCCGCGATAATATCTATGGACCAATATATTTTTCAAAGAGCTAATACATGTTTAAGAAAGTCGACAACCGTGAACCTTTTGCCACAGGAACCGATTTGGAGAGTCTGCCCGAGGGTAGCCAGCCGCCAGCGCTGGTGGTTCCCCTTCGAGCGGTGGTCGCCAGGCCGGGAGCCGATGTCACCTACCATACGGCCTTCGAGGGCCTGCCGCCACCGGTCATCACCTGGTTCCACAACGGCAAGCCTGTCGACGAGACCGAGGGCTACACGGTCATCACCGACGACCGCGAGTCGCGACTGGTGCTGTCCCGCGCCTCCACGCCCGATGAGGGTGTCGTTGAGGTGGTGGCCACCAACGCGGCCGGCGAGGCGCGGTCACGTGCCACGCTGGTCGTTTCGCCGGAGCTGCCTGACGAGGCAGAGCTGCAAGCTCCCAGTTTCGTGCGTCCAGTCCGACCTCAGCATGTCCCGCTGGGAGAAACAGTGGTCATCGAGGCAGAGGTGACCGCAAAGCCTGAGGTCACCTTCACTTGGATGCGCGATAACAAGAGGCTCAAGAACACCAAGAACATTCACATTACCAGTGACGGCAACAAAACTGTGCTCGTTATTAGTGAGATGCGACCGAAGGATGTTGGAGAGTACACATGTGTTGCAGAGAATGAGGCGGGCATGACGTCCTCAGCGGCGTCCATCCAGCCGCGGTCTTCGCCGGAGAAGGCGCCTCGTGAGCCTTCTGTCACCCAGCCAGCCCCAGAGCAGCCGTCCGAGACTAGCGTGGGAGCTGATCGATCCAGCCCAGTCTCCGTGACCAAATCCGAGTCCCCAGAGCAGGTGGTGACAGACGAAAAGACGGTGCCAGAAGAGACTCCGAAGAAAACGCCAAAGAAGGCGCATAAGAAGAAGCCAGAGATATCCGAAGAAAACCCTGAAGAAAGACCTGATGAAGCACCTGAAGAGGTGCCAGATAAGCCAGCGGCTCCTAAAAAGGAGCCGGTACCTGAGGAGCAGGTTCCGACTGAGGAACTTCCTGAAGAGGAGGAAGTATCTTCTGACTTACCGAAGGTAACGAGCCTGACACCTGTTATCAAGCTGATGGACGGCGAAGAGCTCAAGGTGTCCTGTAAGATCGTCTCACCCACTCCGACCCGCGTCGCCTGGCTGCACGAAGGCCAGCCGATGGACGAGCACCGTGACGTCGAGGTGACCATGTCGCCCGACGGCGTGTGCACGCTCTACATCAGCGAGGTGTACCCGGAGGACGCCGGCACCTTCACCTGCCGCGTCACCAACGCCGTCGGTCCCGGCGAGGCCACGTCTCACGTCAGCGTCGAGCCGTACGAGTACGTGCAGGACTCTGAGATCGCCTCAATGACGGTGGGCACCCTGCTCAGCGTGGACGACCACAGTGAGGAGGACCTGCTGGACGCACCCGATGAGCTCGGACCGCGCTTCGTGCGCCGGCTGCCGCGAACGACCAGTGTGCCGGAAGGCAGCCCCATCACGTGAGTAAAGCTAAGAACGAAAATTGTTTTCAACTAAGGAAGTTTTATCGAGCTGTTCAAAAAGTAATCTACTGCAGTCCAGCAAAAGAGATAATTTAAGAAATACTGTCAATGTATTCTAATGGGGAACTTCCTGGGGCCACAAACAATGCCAAGCATAGCGAGTGGCGCAGATTTTGACAACAGGGCGAGGATCAGGATAGTTCAGCCTGACTTGTTGATTGTTGATCTACTTATGCTGCATGCTCCCGACGCACACGCGGCATGCATTACCAGGGCCACCACTGAAATCCTACTCCCGCTCTGGACGGCAGTTTCGAGTGCCGCCTGGCGCCCGAGGCACCGTGTGAGGTCACCTGGTACCTCAACGAGCGAGCGATCCAGCCGGGCCGTGACTTTGATGTGGAGACGCTGGAGGACGGCACGCAGCGCCTGACTGTGCTGCAGGCGTTCCCTGACGACGCCGGCGTGCTGACCTGTGAGGCCGAGAGCGAACGGGGTGTGGCCACCACCAGTACCCAGCTGCTGGTAGAGTCCGCGCCCAGTGAGTACCGCATTGGCGGCCGGTACCGGTGCCAGTACCCGTAAGCAGCTCGGTCTGTCACGGCGAGGCGTTGTATTTTTAGTAAATGTTCACACTTTTCATAATTCATTGTGTTGCTTAGTCCGAGAATTCGAACACAAGTGTTAAAACGTCTCGTTTCTCATTTTACATCGAACCGTACTTTTTAAATGATGCTCAGTGTCACGCAAACATCACTAAAATGGGATCAGGTGCTGGTTCACATATTATCTCATGCTGATGCGTTTGTTGATACTCGTTCAATTTTTCGTCCTTATAATGTGTTGCATGCAGTGAAGGGCTACTCGTTTATTTGATGCTAACATGACTGAACATTACCTTCATTGAGAGGTGCGTTGTGCTTGATGTAACTCAACGTACTAACTCTGTTTCAGATATTTTGCTTCTTGGCTCTTTGCCTTGACAAAGGCACGGCTCTGGGACGATTACCTACTCAGTTTTCCTTTCCAGGGGTTTCAGCAAACCTACATAAATACTGATACATAGGATATTAACACGGTAATCATGCATCGACCAGTGAGTGAATTTGTTACAAGTAAATGTGTTTCAGAAAGAGTCGACACAATCAAATAAAACAAAAAATAGATTCACTGAAACCTATATTTTTGTCTCATTTTAAGCCAGAAATATCACTTAAAACACTTTGCAGATTCATCAAAGAGGGTATCGTCATTACTATTGTTATCACTCACTGGTCGATGTCGAGCTCATACTGACCACTAAGTACACTTTGGTTTGGTTTCATGCGCTGGTCTCTGCTTCAATTGGTTTATTCTTGTGGTATTGTCTTCTTTATACCTTCCGCCTTCCATCTCTTCTTGACTCTTGCTATTTTACTGCGTAGCACAAGTAACGCAAGAATAGGTCCCATAAGCTTAACGTATCGATCATGAAACAAACGCTGTCACACGAACTTCCCTCAGCCTGCTGACCGCACTCCCCGCATCCAGGTCACGACGAGGACTCTCCCAGCTACCGGAAGCCGGACTGGGTGGTGCAGATGGAGGAGACGAAGGCGGCAATCCGAGGTAACGACTCCGGCCGCGCCGCCGATCCCGCGTGCGGTGAATCACTAACCCAGCATGGTGTGCCGCCTCCGATGGATACCTCCACGGTCAGCATCGCAGAAATGTCCATGGGCGACGACAGTGTGTTTGCCTCTGACATGGAAGCCGCCAGCGAGGTGCAGCGGAAGCGCAGCCTCCTGCTGGAGCTTCGCGCGGCCAACAGCGAGACTGCGGACGATGATAGCCTGATGAACGACTACCTCAGCCGCCATCGCGGCTCCATCTCTGCGGCCATCGAGATGCTCAGTCTGTTCACGGATGATGACATCCCGACATGGCATGGTGCCGATGCCGAGGGAGACTGCAGCTCCCGCGTTGATGATAGCCTGTCACTTCACGGGGCAGACTACACTGACATCATACCTGCCATGCTGCGAGGTATGAGTGGCTGGCAGGATGGCGATGTAGGTCATCGAGGCCCACGTGACGCCGGAGACGGAGCGGAGGATCCCATCAGCACCACATGTCGTCAGCCAGTCACAAGCGCTGTATTCAAGAGCATGAGTGACCCTTGTGTGCCAGCTAGCCGGGTCTCAATTACTGAGGTCGCTCATGATACGCAGGCACCGACAGTCACATCGCCAACTCCGACTGATGATACATCACGCACCTCCGAAGTCCACACCAAGATGGAGGACGTAACCGAAGTGACACAAATCGACTCTGGAGAAAGCATCGACGAGTTTCTCAGGCTGGAATCTACACTTGCCAGAGAGGCCTCAGAGGCTAACAGTGGAACTCTTGACAAAAGCCTTGGCTTGGAGACCAGTGGCAACGAGCATGAGACAGCACAAGAGCGCGAGCGCAATGTAAGCATCTGCTCCGTTATGTCTGAAGATGATCCTGCCTTGTTCCTGCGTGCCCTGTTAACCAAGGGTCGCCAGGACAGCGTAGCCTCTACCTCGTCCGACGGGGTTCGGGTGATGGAGGTCACCTCACCACACTCTGTCCTGCACGAGCACAGCTACGACGTCGAGGAGCCCGAGACTACTGACGCAGAGGATTCCCAGGATGAGGACGATGATGAACAGACGCTGGCTGGAAGTGAAGGAGAGGAAGATCTCCTGGAGGAGGCTGAAGAAGACGACGAGGAACCATCTCCAGAGGAGGAAGGGTTTCCGTCCATCCTGTCTCCAATCAGTGAACGCAGTGAGCCAGGGAGTTCAGAGTCGCGAACGCCCAGCCCTGATGAGGTCAATCCCGTGGGCGAGAAGCTACCGCGCGGCTACAGCGCGTCTCAGTCTCTACATGGCACCATGCGCTCACTGCTGGACAAGCTGAAGATGCCGCGCTGGTCGGCTGTGGAACGACTAGCGGCCCTACCACCACCCTCCGCGCATCAAAGAGCTCTGGCTGCCACCCTGGCCGTATCAGAGTACAGTCCGCGGCCGTCATTAGCAAGCTCCGGAGATGAGAGTGATGACACGCTCGGAGAAAGAGTTGTGGAAGGCTCTGAAGGAAGCGGAAGTCTACGAGCAGCCCGTTCGGGGAGTTTGGATGAGTTGTCGTCCTCGAGGAGCTCAATCGAGCGATCTCGAAAGATTTCCCGAGATCTAGAGACACATGAGCTTGAAGAGTCAAAGCGTGCAGGTGCTGAAAGGAGGGCTTTCCCTTTGCGACGTAGCTGCAGCACCGAGGAGCTCGATGAACTTAATGAGTTTCTGCAGCTTGAGAGGCAGATCATGTCAGAGACAGAGGGCGAATGTGAAATGAGGTGATGCGTTTTTGGAAATTAACAACATCGAAGTCAAAGTGTCTCGCTACAAACTTTGTGTTGTGACATGCAAGAGCATAACGATGTAATGATTGATACTAACTGCAGTGAGAGTCCGGGAGCTGTAGCTAGCAGTGTGCTGTGTTTTCATTTATTTATTGAGCTAACTACGCGTGAAGATTATTTTGCAGCCGCATGTCCCAATGCATGCGTATTTTGCAGCTAGCCGATGCTTATCAAGGGGACCAAACAAGACAACGGCCCTGTTTAACCAGTAGTGGTAAGTCATGGCCTCAACAACGATGATAAAAAGTTGATCAGCATTCTTCTACAGGCTAATATGATGGAGTTCGAGAAAAAGTTTAGTTGTAAGTAATAATACTACGTTTTAAATAATACCAGCCGTAAGGAACTGATGTTTTAACCTCTTGTTCCAAACAGCATTAGTGAAGTAACTAAAAATAGTTTGCGAACACACTTACGAAAACACACTTACTTTTAACGAAAAAATACTATCAGACGACATGAAGTGCAGGCGCTGAGTAAAAAAAAAAACGGTCTGATAAACTGTCTCCCTGTTTTAGCCCGCCAGCAGCCGCCCAAGTTCACCACGGAGCTCACCGACCAGAAGGCGAAGGAGAACTCGAGCGAAGTGGAGTTCAAGTGTGCCGTCTCGGGTGTACCGAGACCAGGTCAGACAGCAACGCTGCTTCGTTTGCCAGCGAACCTCATTCCCTCCCGAACACAATCGCAGCTGTCTAGCTTAATTCCTCATAGAAAATTAGAATATTATCTATGTAGACACATATCAAGCAATTTCATAAAACTACAGTACGGTTCCACAATAAAGCACAAAATAGTAAAAACAAATAGTGAAAAACAAACAAAAACAAATGTACTACTGCTATTTTACACGATGCTCCTCATAATCAAAATGCTAATGAGACATGCAAGAGCAGCGAATGGGATGAGAAATTCACGCTCTCACTTGCCGATCTCGTTCACCACCAGCCCGTTCTCCCCACAGAGGTGACGCTGTTCCACAACGACCTACGACTGTCGCTCTCTCGCTTCGTGCGTATCCTGTACGTGGACGACCGCGTCAGTCTGGTGCTGTGCGATGTCACTCCAGACATGGCCGGCCAGTACACGGTGCGCGCCGTCAACCCGGCCGGAGAGGCCACCTCCACCGCCACGCTGGAGGTGCAGGGTGAGTCGACGCCCGCGCACGGCCGTCGCTCCACGGTCGACAACCGAACGCCATCTCCTCGGCACGGATGGCGTTCGGTTGTCTGACAATTTGAGTGAATGGTTGGGGTTCGATGAAATGCCGAGAAAACACAGACAAGCGTTAGGATGGGTATTGTGATGTGTAGTATTTGGTAAGTGATATCACAGAGATATGGCTTGTAAGTGTTTGGCGGATGTCATGATTGTGAAACATTGTGAAACACGGTGATCAAGGTTGTATGTGACCGAAAGCTTTTTTTATTTTGTAATCTTGAGTTTCTTGAGTTGTCGTTATTCAACGCACATCTTATTGTCATTTGAGTTGTGTATAACAACCCTTGAACACACGATGAAGCGTAGTAGCTGTCGTTTTGTATGTAACTGTAACGGCGACTCGGTACGTCGACAGAGTTGTCTGAAGAGGAGCGCGAGGAACTGATCAAGGAGCGTCAGGAGGCCGTCGAAAAGCGGAAAAAGCGCGAACAGGAGCGCATCCGACGCATGGAAGAGAAGAAACGAATCCAGGAGGAGACGGCGAGGAAGATCCGGGAGAAGAAGTGAGTTCAGGCCTCTGCCACGTATCTATGCAATATCGACAATCCAGTGAAGTTCTAATACCATTGTTCTATGGTATATGCGCTGATATTTTAATCAAATAATGTCGCAGCGTCTTTTCTTTACGAAAGGGGGTTTAAAGGTGTTGGCAAGTGGTACGTTATCAACATTCTCCCCAAGTCGTCACCATGGACTTACAGCTGTCTCCCCAATATGTGTATCTTATAAACGTGTAATGTGCATTTACATGCGCTTAACCCATGTATCTCCTTTCCAGGGAGCTTCTGAAGCCTATAAAAATAAAGGTATAGTTACTGCGTGATAAACATCTTAACGCTTTAACAGTTCATTCTGATGAATAAGCGCCTAACAACATACGCTTAAACGTTTCTTTTAACGCGGCCACGCATTGCATTGCCAGCTTGGTTTCAACAGAAATGCTTACTTCGCTTTGCTTCGCTTCTAATGCTTGTGCCGTTTACATATGCTTATTTCGTGCCTGATAAATCTTCTCTGGTACGCTTTTACATTTGTGTGCTTCTTGCCAGCATATATGAAGTCAACGCTTTATTCAATCGCTTTCCCAATAGCTTTGCTTATTTGCGCATGAGCCAGCCCAATGCGAGCCCTATCCGCGATATGGCTGTTCATGAGCGTAACAAACTAACACACTGCCTCTTCACAGTCGGAGGCAGGTCAAAGGCCGAGCGGCGCAGGTGGAAGTCAGACGAATGAGGATCTTCCAAATTGGACCAGTGTGCGACTGAAGCCCACCCAGCCCGACTCTCAGTCAGCGACAGAAGACAGCGCGGATGTACAGCTAAGGCCGGTCTCGCCACAAGAGTCGCACCCACCAGTCGATGGTGATGACATTATTCTTAGGCCCGTTCCAGAGAAGGAGACAGAACTCCCTCACAAGGACCAGGTTAAGTTGAAGCAAGTTCATTTCAAGGGACTAGATATGTTGGAAGAAGGAGAAGACATTGACTTGAGATCAGTCCCAGCTAAGGAAATTGAGGTGCCTCATAAAGACCAAGTGCAGTTGAAACAAGTTCACTCCAAAGAGCTGACAACACTTGAAGAAGGAGAAGATATACAACTGAAGTCAGCATCGGAAACACAGCCCCAGGTTCCACATAAGGGACAAGTGACGCTGAAACCAGTACCTCCAAAGGAGCCAAAGCGATTGGAAGACGCCGAGAGCATCCGTCTTAAGCCTGTTCCTCTAAAACACGTGGACCCCCAAGATGGACCGGAAAACATTGAGCTTAAGACAGTTATGCAAAGCGAAATTGAAGTGCCACACAAAGAACAAATCAAGCTGAAACCAATCCCACCAAAGCCTGCAAAAACCATTGAAGAAAAGGAGAGTGTCAAGTTAAAGCCGGTTCCTCTGAAGCAGTCAAAGGTAACGGACAAAGAGGCCCACAAATTGAAACCGATAGCTCAACAACAACAACCATCAGTACCACATAAGCAGCAGACATCGCTGAAACCAATCCCACCCAAGGAACCAAAAGCAAAGCCAGAAAGAGAAAGTGTTAAGCTCAAACCAGTACCTAAGAAAGCTGCAGCTCAGAAAGGTGAAGCTGAACTCAACGCAAAAACTCAAGCATCACCTGAGCAAAGTAGGCTTCAAGATCTAGAGCTGGAGATAAGCGAGGAAGACGGGATCCCGAAAACCGAACCAAAACAACAAATGGATGACAGTGAAAAACGGTTGGAAGATGTGGCGGACCAAGAGGTTGGTATGGAACAAACAGGTAATGCATCTCTGAACCTCACACCAAACAAGGAGCCAGACGACGTCCAAGTGGATCAAGATGATGCGTTAAAGCCGATTCCACCCAAACCTACAGAGGATGAAACAGACAGGGAGGAGGCCGCACCTAAATCTGTACCACCAAAGGAGGTTGAAATTCCTCAGGAAGAGCAGGTTTCTCTCAAACCTGTACCAGGCAAAGTACCAAAGGAGACACAGGATAAGGAAGAAGTACAACTGAAACCTATTCCACCAAAGCCTGAGAAAGAAAAGGAAACTAAAGAAGAAGTGAAACTAAAGCCTGTTCCACCAAAGGAAGTCGAGATCCCTCACAAGGAGCAGGTGTCTCTCAAGCCCGTCCCTGGCAAAGTACCAAAGGAGGCTGAAGAAAAGGAAGAAGTACACTTGAAACCAATTCCACCGAAGCCTGAAAAAGAACAGGAAACTAAAGAGGAAGTAAAACTAAAACCTGTACCACCAAAGGAAGTCAAGATCCCTCGCAAGGAGCAGGTGTCTCTCAAGCCGGTTCCTGGCAAAGTACCACAAGAGGCTGAAGAAAAGGAAAAAGTCCACTTGAAACCAATTCCACCGAAGCCCGAGAAAGAAAAGGAAATTAAAGAAGAAGTAAAACTAAAACCTGTACCACCAAAGGAAGTCGAGCTTCCTCACAAGGAGCAGGTGTCTCTCAAGCCGGTTCCTGGCAAAGTACCACAAGAGGCTGAAGAAAAGGAAGAAGTACACTTGAAACCAATTCCACCGAAGCCTGAAAAAGAAAAGGAAACTAAAGAAGAAGTAAAACTAAAACCTGTACCAACAAAGGAAGTCGAGATCCCTCACAAGGAGCAGGTGTCTCTCAAGCCGGTTCCTGGCAAAGTACCACAAGAGGCTGAAGAAAAGGAAAAAGTCCACTTGAAACCAATTCCACCGAAGCCCGAGAAAGAAAAGGAAATTAAAGAAGAAGTAAAACTAAAACCTGTACCACCAAAGGAAGTCGAGCTTCCTCACAAGGAGCAGGTGTCTCTCAAGCCGGTTCCTGGCAAAGTACCACAAGAGGCTGAAGAAAAGGAAGAAGTACACTTAAAACCAATTCCACCGAAGCCTGAAAAAGAAAAGGAAACTAAAGAAGAAGTAAAACTAAAACCTGTATCACCAAAGGAAGTCGAGATCCCTCACAAGGAGCAGGTTTCTCTCAAACCTGTTCCAGGCAAAGTAACAAAGGAGACTGAGGACAAGGAAGAAGTACACCTGAAACCAGCTCCATCGAAACCTAAGAAAGAAAAGGAAACTAAAGAGGAGATAAAACTGAAGCCCGTCCCAACAAAAAAGCCCAAGGAGTCGGAAGAGAAGAAACAAGTTCAAATGAATGCAGTTCAAGAAACAAGTACTCTCTCAACGGGAGATCAATCAAGCGAACCCCCAAAGAAAAAAGGGACCAAGAAGAAAGCAAAGCCAAAGGAAGCTCAAGAAACACAAGAGGTTATCGTCGAGGAACTCATTGAATCCATAAAAGGGGAAGAAGCCCATATGGAGGTATCCGTCAGCAATAGCATGTTCATATTTTTTCGTAGTTTTAATTTTGCATGCGTCAATAGTGATGAGATACTAAACAAATGAAGGTAAGCTTACAGCAGCGTTGTAGATATACTTAAAACATTTAATTCGGTCGTTTTCATTGTTGTCCTTTTTCTTTTCTTTTTCTTTTTTGGTAGCTCCTTTTAAGGTGACTTCGCTTCATTGGCTCATGTTTTGTGACATCTATCAGTTTCACCGTGCCGAATCGTTATGTATTTAGAACTACGGTGTTCCACTTTCATGCATCTCCATCAAGCTAACCATAGACCAATGTAGCTTCTTCTCTGTACGTTGTAGAGAAGCCCATGACCTTCCCTCACAATATTGTAAAGCTGTCTTCGGGGAAAAACAGATTGAACAATAATGACAGTAGTACAGTGAAAATAGCTATTAATCTTAGTCTTAACTAGCAAGAAATCCTCTTGAATTCAGAAGTCAAAGTACAATACTTAGTTACATTGATGTGCAATGTGCATTGAGCAATTAATTACCTAATATAATTACCCAAGTTACCTAGCCTAAGCACCAACTTATAGGTCGCATGGTGATTCAAAATGTCGTATATGACCTGCTTATGAAGATGTTTCGATGAGATCTTAAGATGCTTCTATTATTCGCATATGAATGGGATAGCATCCCCATCTTCCAAGCAATTATGAATGGCATCACTGTCTTCCAGAAGCTTTTAGCTTATATCACTGTTATCGAGCTCCATCAATATCTCCCCGACATATCTATCATCGACATCTAACACATCATCCACTCGTCTCCCCGATCCGTGCCTGACCGAAGCCACTATCTTCCCGACCCGTGTGTGACCGAAACCACTATCTTCCCAACAACAGAAGGTGCAGCCGATCATTGAGGAGCAGACCGCCCTGGAGACAGAGGAGACTCTGAGTGAGTCACAAACGGAGCCTCTACCGGAGGAGCGGCCCTCGCAACAGGTCAGTCGGACGCCACCAGTCCCCCGCTAACCCCACCCCACAGAACTACGGCCGTGTGTAAATATCATGCGACTGACTGTGTACAGGGAGATAGGAACATCAGAGTAAAATGCGTCTTTGACTGTGTGCTTGTATCGACGTAATGACTATAACCACTGAATATATGAAATAAAATGAGATGTCAGCAGTGTGTTTTTCTACAATAAACTGCAATGAGATGTGTCTAGATCTAACAAGTCAATTGAACATTTTTGTTCGTTTTTATTTTTGTTTTTGTAACAGTGGTATGGCCGCGGAAGTGGCCGACATTTTCGCGCGGTTATCACAAGACTTGAATAACCTTTTGAGTGCGTTTAAGTTGAGTTGGTTGCCTAAGTTGTGACTTGGTTCACCAGCGACTCATCTTTTGTGTCGCGTAGCGCGTCGGGTTTTCTTTCTTTGGGCAGAGTAACTCCTTCCCTCTGCTCTTCTGGACAATCTGTTTTTAAACATGATACTTTTGTGTAAACATGTGGTGAGTTATTGGTAAGTTTTTAGTTTTTATCATTTTTGCATGACGAAAATCAACCGCATGTGCGTGAGGCTGTAACCAAGTATGTGCTATTCGCAAATCCTCTGCGGTCGCATGCCTTTCTTCTCGCTGATACCTACACATCTACAATTTATTGTTGTGCTTCATCAGACATACAGGCCGTTTTCACGACGGAATAGCAGGCATCTATTTGATACCAATATAATCCTTTGGTTCCTCAGGAATTTTAGTAGTTCTTTTTAGTAGGTTTACCAGCTTTCGAATGAATGGCGCGTTAGTTTGCTATTTTTCTATTAAATATCACATCGATTTACTTTATCTAAGGATTTATCACTAACATCAACATAAAGCGTAAGCACAATTACAAAATTATGAAATTAGTAAATACTAGTACAATAGTTAAAAAAAGATACTGAGTTGCCAGGCTACAAAGAATATATTCATTTATGGCGCACGACAGACATTTAGAAAGCAGCGCCCTGTTTTATTGCACGCTGCTAGCCGCTTCCATTGGGTTTTGCAGGCCGACGTCATTGGTCGTTACACGTATGATGTCACGCGACTTGTGGCCTGTCACGGCTCTTTAATGATCTCCACTAAATGAATGCAACAATGGCCTTTTAAGTTGATCTCTGTGGCCATCTGTCTATGGAGCGACCAATATGAAAGTTGGGTGAATTTACCGGGGTTACATGACTATGAGCAAGCAAATGTGTATCAGGAATGGATTTAGGTGGAGAATTGCGCTGGACCATGAGTGCTCGAACGCTCCCAATTCCACGCCGGTTTGGCTTTGGAGCCGAGACAGACGATGCGGGTCAAGGTCACCGCTGGGGTAACGGTGGATTGGCTGCGCCCGAGCACCCGTAACGCGGCACAATTCTCCATCTATGGATTTTCCTATTCGCTCAGCATTGTGATAGGCGTTCGTAATAGCATTTACTCTGCTCATGTACCTATCCCCGGTTATCTAAAAGAAGTTTTTGTGGGGGAATATCACGGCTTTAGGTACTCGGTGGCCCTATTCACGACTTTCAAAGAATGCTCCGATAACTAAACACCGCACAGACCTACTGCATTAGTGAATCTGACAGAAGGTCTGTGGAATTACATCCCCCCTCACCACACCCCTAAAAACTCATCCAGTGTCCAAAACCACTTTTATCGACTCGCCAAAAAAAACAACAAAAAAAAACACACACACATACACACAAAGCATGGGGCATGTCAGCTCTCAGTTCATTTATCATTGTCTTTACCATGGTTCAATTGCATTGCGCGATTTAAAGCACGTGAGTGCCTATATAGTATACAGGGTGTTTCTGAAAATGCTGACACATTTATTTCTCCTATATCTCTCATGTTTATTGACGCACACACATTGTCATTGGCTACAACTAATCAGCCATCATTGGAAATTCACATCCATCGTCAATGATCACTATTTGATCCCCTTCCCAGAACCTAGAGCAGGTGCTCGAAGTGACCACCACTTCAAGCCAAACAGAGTTTGGCCCGACGGCGCACTGCTTCCAGAACTCGGCGGCGCTCCTGGGGCGTCACCGCCCTCAAGCACGCGCAGACCGCAGCCTTCAGCTCGGGAATGTTTCGGGGTTCACTCTTGTAGGCTCTTTCCTTGACATGACCCCAGAGGTAGAAGTCCGCCGGCGTGAGGTCCGGAGACCTCGGTGGCCACCTGGTGGGGGTGCCTCGGGAGATGAGTCCCCCCCCTCCCCCCGAAGCGCTCCTGTAGCCACTGTAGGGTCACAGTGGCTGCATGAGCGGGGGTCACCATCCTGCTACTCGTTGATGGTGTCCACACACCCGCTGGAGCGCAGTCCAGAACTTCTTGAGCACCTGCAGATAGCGCTCTGCCGTCACTGTGAGGAAGTCGCCCGCGTAATCTTCGATCCAGATTGGGCTGATAATTGCCCGTGCTGCTCACAGCGCACCATCCAGTGCATCGGGGCGGGTGCAGCTGATCTTCTGCGACCTCGTCCTGGGCCTTCTCACTCCAGATCCGGTTGTCCAAATCAGATCCAGATCCAGATCCAGATCCAGATCAGCGTCATTGTGTCAAAACAACTGAATTGGTTTCGAAGTAGAAATGCACTATCTTAGCCTTTTCCTTCGTGTCAGTAATACGGCGTGATGAATGAAAGCACCGATGCTGTCAAACAAATTTCCAAAAACTATTCTTTCGTCTCGTGTATTGAACACGTGCCTTTAAATGCAGTAAATTCTTCCAAATATCAAAACAAATGTGTCAGCATTTTCAGAAACACCCTGTATATGTAGAAAATAATATCTACAGCAAAACATCCAAAATTACAAAGGCTACAATGCTTAAAAAGTAGGTTCATCAAGGAAGCCCATTTTTACTTGCGTTGTGTTGCCAACCATGCGATTCCAACGCGGGCTATTCGCAACGTCTGTTAAGGCACGTTAACAACTGACAAGCCGCCACCGCTGCCACTTATTCATAGATGGTTGATATCGCAGCTTGGGCGTCAGCAGCGCGGCCCACAACGCGTCGGCGCCAGCGCACGCAGCTGTTGGCACTCGGCAGCCGGTGTTGCGACTTAACGGCCGGCCGGCTCCATGAAGGAGAAGCTCTTGGTGAAGCTTTGTGATCGCCTCATAGCCGCCTTGGATGTCATCTTTCTTGGCAGATCCATCCGTTCAGATGGTACGGTGCAGTCTGGATAAAGGACGAAGTCCAACGCCGCTAACCCCGCGACCGCCACCCCACAACGTGGCCGCAGACCGAACGGGCGTGAGGGCCGTAAGGGCCACCCGCCATCCGGTAGGTGGCTGAGCAGCCGGGCGCAGCGGCGCCTGGGCGGCGGCCGCGCTGAGATGAAGTCCCAAACCGCCATGTCGCCATCACCGCCATCACCATTGCTGCAGCTGTTCCCAACCGCCTCAATCGCCGCCGTTTTGCCAGCAGTCGCGCCGCGGAATGGCAGAAGCTCCAGAGTAGCCTCCAGCGCCCCTCTCCGCAGGTGTGCAGGTGCACTGCGGCCGCCGGGTCCGACGTCCAGGCAGAACATGATATTTCCATGCTGCTCCGACGGTGGGCTGGTCTTGTTTGGGCGTTCCTCCACTGTGACGTCGGTCACGCCTGCCCCGGCCAGGGCGCAGAGGACGACGTGTCACCATCCGGTTGCGGTCCTCAGTCGGGTCGCAACGTGTACCTCTTCCGCAGCGTGGAGCGCGCTCCCGCTGGGCAGCGATACAGCCAAAAGTAGCATGCGGGCGGCCAGCGCTGCGCCGGACAGCGGACCCATGCCGGGGGTATGCCGGTCTCGGCCATTAGCGGGGTCGTCGGGGCCGAGGCTGTACATACAGCTGGTGACCGCGTGAGCCGCCAATCGAAGCTCACGGCTTATAAGCTCGACGCGGGCATCACACGCCGTCCCGATGGGAGCTCCACGACGCCGCCGCGAACTCCAGCGCGGCTCGCAGCGCGAAGACCAGTACGGACGGCCGGGGCAAACGGCGTGCGGGAGTCGCAGGCGACGTTCTGCGGACAGAAAGGGTTGGGCATAAGCTGGTCGGCAGGACACTCTTGAGCCGAGCCTTTGATGTAATTACAGATGATCCAGAAGCATGCACAAAAATTCATGACACACTATTCTCATTTATGTATTTGCTACATATGATATGATATACCAGCTCATGATCAGTGACGCATTCTGGGCAATATGTTCTAAAGTGAAGTAACTGAAGTTACAGCTTAAAAGCTTAAAAAAACAGCTTAAAAAAACACACACACACATTCGATAGCTTATGAGAATAACATGCCTTGTGTGCTTAATGCAGGAAAATATTTTTTTCACTTTTTTAGAAACAGCAAAAGAGTTGTCAACAAGCCATGTCAACTATCTAAACAATTTTTATGGAAACTGCTCTAGCTAGCTTAAAGTTCCACAACGTTTCCGGAGCACCGTACCCAAACTCAGTTCATGTTACAAGAAAAAACAGTAATAATGCCTCCTAATTTTGAATGAAATATAGGTATGAGTAATTTGATTTGGAAAGCAACAAATTTCCGCACATCATTTTAGCAAAATTACTATTTTCTTCAGCCATCAGGTTACACAAAACTATAGTAAACTTTATGATCTAGTTTACACAAAACCAAAGCCCCGATTTTAACAAATGTAGATTAAATTTAAACAATTTTAAAAAATGTATCGTGGAGAAAATGAAAAGTGTAGATTTGTAAAGCCGGGATATTTCACGGATTAGGCACTTAAAGAAATATCTTCACCTTTCTTTGAGCCACCAGCCTTCACCCAAGTTTTACACGAATGTAGTGAAGCAGACAATGTGGCAACTCAAAATTGTGATGGTTTGAGATAATTATGACGGTAAAAGAAAAAGCAACACAAGGTTCCTTACCCTCGTTTTTTCACATGGGTTCAGATGAGGCTTCAACTGTTGCCGACCTGAGGAGCTATAGGGACTTGAGCTTTCCAAAACTCAATTTCTAAGGGCACTGAGCAGTGTTTGGCTTTCACACGAATGCGATAGTAAGTTATATGAAGTTGACAAAGCAAGCAAAGCAAAGCATGATGCCCCGCGCGTCCGCCCGCGACCACGCCCCGCGTCCGACTCCCGACCGCCGCGTGACCCGAGGCGCCCGGCGGTCACGTGACCTACCGGCCGGGACTGCAAACGGCCTTCACCACCATTCTTGTATGACGTCATATCCTACTGAGGTGCTGATTGGTCGGAATTAGATACCTGAAGGTAATTATCTGCCGTAGTTATTTTTGTTTCATTGTTTTGCGTGTTTTCTTATATGAAATGTAATTAAAAAATTTGCCATATTTTAATCACCATTAAAACATAACTGAATAGGTATGAAAGAGAACTCGATATATACTTTCCTTGTTTTTAAGAATTCCGGAATTAGATACCCGAGGGAGCAAAGAGGGAGCAAGTTGCCACGCTGATTTGATACCTCATAGTCGAAAGGTGGGCTACTAGAACCGAAAATTGCTGTGTTTGTAAATAAATAAGTGATTTGAGGGCAAAGAATGCCCGGATTTAAACTTCTAAAATTATTTTGAACATAAAATATTTCAGTTTGAGGGATGTTAAGGCCTCAAAGAGTAGGTACTTTTTAGGTATCAAATAAGTTCCTCTGCGAAAGTTCCGTCGTGAAAACGGCTACAATACATCAATGTCCAGGTTGTGTGTTCCAAGCGACTGAGCAATGAACGTAGATGCATTTGCAATTCACAAGCTAGTAAACAGTCACTTGACTGTTCAGCTATGGATGCCGTGATACGAGTCATGTTCTGTGTTTGATCACCCTGTGTCGGCAAGCTCGCACCGTGCGCCTAGCCCTGATGCCGCGTTTGTGTGCCTTGATGTCTGTGATGCATTCCACTTGCTTGATCACTGCACCAATGCATGTGTTCTGGAGAAAACATCCCCTACCCTTCCCTGCTCCTGCCAAATATCCCATCACAGCCCAGCCCAATTTCGACTCCCGGTGATGGGCGGCCGTCCACCGTATTCCTCTCAAGCTCCGTACCTGTGTGCCGGGCACCGGTCGACGTCGCGGGCTTGGTAGACCCCGCCGCAGCGCCGCGGTGCTGACGGGCGTCATTTTACAGCCGCCAGTAGATGTAGGGGCGGTCCGCGACCGGCCTGAGGACACGGCTCCGGCACACCGGCCGCCAGGGACGACGTCCCCGCCGGCTGAGACCGCAGAGCGAGAGGTCAGCCACGGTCATCGAGATGGCCGGCTAACAACCTAAATAAACGGCTCAGCACGCTCCACAGGACACCGACGAGGGATTAAAGCAGCCGCTCACACTTCATCTTGAACATGCTGCACTTAAATAAATTTACAAAACACCAATATATATTAAATGGTTTGACGCGATGTTTAAACGTCATGCCCTATTAAAAAGATGCTAAATATGTAAAATAAAATAGGTAGCACGTTTGGCTCAGAGTAAAAGGTACCATTGCGCAAGAAAAAATAAAATATCGGCAAAGTTAAGCACGATCCTTGAAATCTGGCTTAGTTCTTGCTTGAACTTTGAAGCGTTCCAGGTTTCCCAATTGGATCATATTACTTACATGACACACATTGGATCTTAAGTCATCACTGTGGACGGTAATAAGTTAAGGATTCATCTTTCTTTTCCTAAATTATCACATCACTGACCTTAGCACACCATACATCATTCAAACGCAGACATACAAAAACACACGGTAAACTCCTACTAACCAAAACATTTGTATGTGCTTAGATCATAGTCTCTCATGTTCGCCCCTTTCAAATTGGTGGAGAAACAAACCCTACATTTTTGAAAGCAGTCTCTAGGAACCTTGGTACTTAATTTACTGCAAATCCAGCCGAATCAAGCTCAGGCTATCCTAAACGTTTATATAAGTAGTATATATATTTTCCGTCCTATTTGGGACGTTTAACAACTTAAACCTGCCAACATAGACAATCGCAATTTGACGCAATGCAATACTTCCAGGACAAAACACCCGAATGGCGCGCAGCCAAACCCCTGCATGAAGAAACCGAACAACCGAAGGACACAGTCTCTGAGACTTCAACGCCTATGGAACACCCAGCCACGGAGCAAAAACCAGACACATCAATTATAGATGATGCCATTTCTAATATCCCAGGTGCAAAACATATTTCCGAGACAACAAAAACCGAAGTGCAGGAAGCTGATGATGAGGTGATTAAACTGGTTACTACGACCAAACGTATCCAGAGGGAGAAACCTGAAGACATCGAAGAGACTCCAGAGGAAGTGCTTCCTGAGGTGCCCATCGAAGCTGAACCTACCGTTACTGTCGTTGAGTCGGACGACTTTGTTGAGGTAACAGAGGTCACAACCACAAAGGAAGTGCAGCCTGGGCCAGACAACAAGGAGGAGATTATTGTAAAAACAAAGACAAAGAAAACAAAGAGACCCCAAGAAAAAACAGTTGAAAGTACAAAGCCAGACACAACAACAAAGACACCTTTGGATATGGAGATTGAGGACATTCCCGGTGTCAAGGAGGTCTCTGAGTCAACGGTTATTGAAGTAACTGAAGAAGACGACCAGCCAGTTGAGGTAGTAACAACGACAAAGAAAATCAAACGAACAAAACCAAAACGGCCGGAGGACGAGACTGACCAGGCACTGCCTTCGATTCCGCATGTTCCCGAGACCACAGTAACTACAGAGGAAGACGATGATCATGTTACTATCGTAGAGACTACAACTGTCAAGGACATCACCCCGAAACCCGACAACGAAGAAGAAATAACAGTCGTTACAACCACCAAGAAAATACACAAACCCATTGAAGGGGATGCCACACCAAAGAAGAAGCCAAAGAAAGACAAACCTAAACGACGAAGGCCCGAGGAAACTCCAATCGAGAAGGCTATATCCGAATTGCCGGGAGTGACAGATATTTCCGAGACAACAAAAACCGAGGTAGAAGAACCTGATGATGAGGTGATAGAGCTAGTAACTACAACAAAACGTATCCAGAGGAACAAACCTGAAGAAATCGAGGGGACTCCAGAGGAAGTGCTTCCTGAGGTGCCCATCGAAGCTGAACCTACCGTTACTGTTGTTGAGTCGGGCGAATTTGTTGAAGTAACAGAGGTCACAACCACAAAGGAAGTGCAGCCTGGGCCAGACAACAAGGAGGATATTATTGTAAAAACAAAGACAAAGAAAACAAAGAGACCCAAAGATAAACCAACCAAAGGTCCAAAGCAAGACACAACAAAGACACCTTTGGATATGGAGATTGAGGACATTCCTGGTGTCAAGGAGGTCTCTGAGTCAACGGTTACTGAAGTAACTGAAGAAGACGACCAGCCAGTTGAGGTCATCACAACGACAAAGAAAATCAAACGAACAAAACCAAAACGGCCGGAGGACGAGATTGACCAGGTACTGCCTTCGATTCCGCATGTTCCCGAGACCACAATAGCTACAGAGGAAGGCGATGATCATGTTACTGTCGTAGAGACTACAACTGTCAAGGACATCACCCCGAAACCCGACAACGAAGAAGAGATAACAGTCGTCACAACCACCAAGAAAATACACAAACCTATTGAAAAGGATACCACACCAAAGAAGAAGCCAAAGAAAGACAAACCCAAACGGCGAAGGCCCGAGGAAATTCCTATCGACAAAGCTATATCCGAATTGCCGGGAGTAACAGATATTTCCGAGACGACAAAAACCGAGGTAGAAGAAGCTGATGATGAGGTGATAGAGCTAGTAACTACAACAAAACGTATCCAGAGGGAGAAACCTGAGGACATCGAGGGGACTCCAGAGGAAGTGCTTCCTGAGGTGCCCATCGAAGCTGAACCTACCGATACTGTCGTTGAGTCGGACGACTTTGTTGAGGTAACAGAAGTGACAACCACAAAGGAAGTGCAGCCTGGGCCAGACAACAAAGAGGAGATTATTGTAAAAACAAAGACAAAGAAAACAAAGAGACCCAAAGACAAATCAACCGAAGGTACAAAGCAAGACACAAAAACAAAGACACCTTTGGATATGGAGATTGAGGACATTCCTGGTGTCAAGGAGGTCTCTGAGTCAACGGTTACTGAAGTAACTGAAGAAGACGACCAGCCAGTTGAGGTCGTCACAACGACAAAGAAAATCAAACGAACAAGACCAAAACGGCCGGAGGACGACATTGACCAGATACTGCCTTCGATTCCGCATGTTCCCGAGACCACCGTAACGACAGAGGAAGGCGACGATCATGTTACTGTCGTAGAGACTACAACTGTCAAGGACATCACCCCGAAACCCGACAACGAAGAAGAGATAACAGTCGTCACAACCACCAAGAAAACACGCAAACCCGTTGAAGGGGATACCACACCAAAGAAGAAACCAAAGAAAGACAAACCTAAACGGCGAAGGCCTGAGGAAACTCCAATCGAGAAGGCTATATCCGAATTGCCGGGAGTGACAGATATTTCCGAGGCAACACAAACCGAGGTAGAAGAAGCTGATGATGAGGTGATAGAGCTAGTAACTACAACAAAACGTATCCAGAGGGAGAAACCTGAAGACATCGAGGGGACTCCAGAGGAAGTGCTTCTTGAGGTGCCCATCGAAGCTGAACCTACCGTTACTGTTGTTGAGTCGGGAGACTTTGTTGAGGTAACAGAGGTCACAACCACAAAGGAAGTGCAGCCTGGGCCAGACAACAAGGAGGATATTATTGTAAAAACAAAGACAAAGAAAACAAAGAGACCCAAAGATAAACCAACCGAAGGTCCAAAGCAAGACACAAGAAAGACACCTTTGGATATGGAGATTGACAACATTTCTGGTGTCAAGGAGGTCTCTGAGTCAACGGTTACTGAAGTAACTGAAGAAGACGACCAGCCAGTTGAGGTCGTCACAACGACAGAGAAAATCAAACGAACAAAACCAAAACGGCCGGAGGACGAGACTGACCAGATATTGCCTTCGATTCCGCATGTTCCCGAGACCACAGTATCTACAGAGGAAGGCGATGATCATGTTACTGTCGTAGAGACTACAACTGTCAAGGACATCACCCCGAAACCCGACAACGAAGAAGAGATAACAGTCGTCACAACCACCAAGAAAATACACAAACCCGTTGAAGGGGATACCACACCAAAGAAGAAACCAAAGAAAGACAAACCCAAACGACAAAGGCCTGAGGAAGCTCCCATCGACAAAGCTATAGCCGAATTGCCGGGGGTGACAGATATTTCCGAGACAACAAAAACCGAGGTAGAAGAAGCTGATGATGAGGTGATAGAGCTAGTAACTACAACAAAACGTATCCAGAGGGAGAAACCTGAAGACATCGAGGGGACTCCAGAGGAAGTGCTTCCTGAGGTGCCCATCGAAGCTGAACCTACCGTTACTGTTGTTGAGTCGGGCGACTTTGTTGAGGTAACAGAGGTCACAACCACAAAGGAAGTGCAGCCTGGGCCAGACAACAAAGAGGAGATTATTGTAAAAACAAAGACAAAGAAAACAAAGAGACCCAAAGATAAACCAACCGAAGGTCCAAAGCAAGACACAAAAACAAAGACACCTTTGGATATGGAGACTGAGGACATTCCTGGTGTCAAGGAGGTTTCTGAGTCAACAGTTACTGAAGTAACTAAAGAAGACGACCTGCCAGTTGAGGTCGTCACAACGACAAAGAAAATCAAACGAACAAAACCAAAACGGCCGGAGGACGAGATTGACCAGGTACTGCCTTCGATTCCGCATGTTCCCGAGACCACCGTAACTACAGAGGAAGGCGATGATCATGTTACTGTCGTAGAGACTACAACTGTCAAGGACATCACCCCGAAACCCGACAACGAAGAAGAAATAACAGTCGTCACAACCACCAAGAAAATACACAAACCTATTGAAAAGGATACCACACCAAAGAAGAAGCCAAAGAAAGACAAACCCAAACGGCGAAGGCCCGAGGAAATTCCTATCGACAAAGCTATATCCGAATTGCCGGGGGTGACAGATATTTCCGAGACAACAAAAACCGAGGTAGAAGAAGCTGATGATGAGGTGATAGAGCTAGTAACTACAACAAAACGTATCCAGAGGGAGAAACCTGAAGACATCGAGGGGACTCCAGAGGAAGTGCTTCCTGAGGTGCCCATCGAAGCTGAACCTACCGTTACTGTTGTTGAGTCGGGAGACTTTGTTGAGGTAACAGAGGTCACAACCATAAAGGAAGTGCAGCCTGGGCCAGACAACAAAGAGGAGATTATTGTAAAAACAGAGACAAAGAAAACAAAGAGACCCAAAGAAAAATCAACCGAAGGTCCAAAGCAAGACACAAAAACAAAGACACCTTTGGATATGGAGATTGAGGACATTTCTGGTGTCAAGGAGGTCTCTCAGTCAACGGTTACTGAAGTAACTGAAGAAGACGACCAGCCAGTTGAGGTCGTCACAACGACAAAGAAAATCAAACGAACAAGACCAAAACGGCCGGAAGACGACATTGACCAGATACTGCCTTCGATTCCGCATGTTCCCGAGACCACCGTAACAACAGAAGAAGGCGACGATCATGTTACTGTCGTAGAGACTACAACTGTCAAGGACATCACCCCGAAACCCGACAACGAAGAAGAGATAACAGTCGTCACAACCACCAAGAAAACACGCAAACCCGTTGAAGGGGATACCACACCAAAGAAGAAACCAAAGAAAGACAAACCTAAACGGCGAAGGCCTGAGGAAACTCCAATCGACAAAGCTATAGCCGAATTGCCGGGGGTGACAGATATTTCCGAGACAACAAAAACCGAGGTAGACGAAGCTGATGATAAGGTGATAGAGCTAGTTACTACAACAAAACGTATCCAGAGGGAGAAACCTGATGACATCGAGGAGACTCAAGAGGAAGTGCTTCCTGAGGTGCCCATCGAAGCTGAACCTACCGTTACTGTTGTTGAGTCGGGAGACTTTGTTGAGGTAACAGAGGTCACAACCACAAAGGAAGTGCAGCCTGGGCCAGACAACAAGGAGGAGATTATTGTAAAAACAAAGACAAAGAAAACAAAGAGACCCAAAGATAAACCAACCGAAGGTCCAAAGCAAGACACAAGAAAGACACCTTTGGATATGGAGATTGACAACATTCCTGGTGTCAAGGAGGTCTCTGAGTCAACGGTTACTGAAGTAACTGAAGAAGACGACCAGCCAGTTGAGGTCGTCACAACGACAAAGAAAATCAAACGAACAAAACCAAAACGGCCAGAAGACGACATTGACCAGATACTGCCTTCGATTCCGCATGTTCCCGAGACCACCGTAACAACAGAGGAAGGCGACGATCATGTTACTGTCGTAGAGACTACAACTGTCAAGGACATCACCCCGAAACCCGACAACGAAGAAGAGATAACAGTCGTCACAACCACCAAGAAAACACGCAAACCCGTTGAAGGGGATACCACACCAAAGAAGAAACCAAAGAAAGACAAACCTAAACGGCGAAGGCCTGAGGAAACTCCAATCGACAAAGCTATATCCGAATTGCCGGGGGTGACAGATATTTCCGAGACAACAAAAACCGAGGTAGAAGAAGCTGATGATGAGGTGACAGAATTAGTTACTACGACAAAACATATCCAGAGGGAGAAACCTGAAGACATCGAAGAGACTCCAGAGGAAGTGCTTCCTGAGGTGCCCATTGAAGCTGAACCTACCGTTACTGTCGTTGAGTCGGGAGACTTTGTTGAGGTAACAGAGGTCACAACCACAAAGGAAGTGCAGCCTGGGCCAGACAACAAAGAGGAGATTATTGTAAAAACAAAGACAAAGAAAACAAAGAGGCCCAAAGATAAACCAACCGAAGGTCCAAAGCCAGACACAACAACAAAGACACCTTTGGATATGGAGATTGAGGACATTCCTGGTGTCAAGGAGGTCTCTGAGTCAACGGTTACTGAAGTAACTGAAGAAGACGACCAGCCAGTTGAGGTCGTAACAACAACAAAGAAAATCAAACGAACAAGACCAAAACGGCCGGAAGACGACATTGACCAGATACTGCCTTCGATTCCGCATGTTCCCGAGACCACCGTAACAACAGAAGAAGGCGACGATCATGTTACTGTCGTAGAGACTACAACTGTCAAGGACATCACCCCGAAACCCGACAACGAAGAAGAGATAACAGTCGTCACAACCACCAAGAAAATACACAAACCCGTTGAAGGGGATACCACACCAAAGAAGAAACCAAAGAAAGACAAACCCAAACGACGAAGGCCTGAGGAAGCTCCCATCGACAAAGCTATAGCCGAATTGCCGGGGGTGACAGATATTTCCGAGACAACAAAAACCGAGGTAGAAGAAGCTGATGATGAGGTGATAGAGCTAGTAACTACAACAAAACGTATCCAGAGGGAGAAACCTGAAGACATCGAGGGGACTCCAGAGGAAGTGCTTCCTGAGGTGCCCATCGAAGCTGAACCTACCGTTACTGTTGTTGAGTCGGGCGACTTTGTTGAGGTAACAGAGGTCACAACCACAAAGGAAGTGCAGCCTGGGCCAGACAACAAGGAGGAGATTATTGTAAAAACAAAGACAAAGAAAACAAAGAGACCCAAAGATAAACCAACCGAAGGTCCAAAGCAAGACACAAGAAAGACACCTTTGGATATGGAGATTGAGGACATTCCTGGTGTCAAGGAGGTCTCTGAGTCAACGGTTACTGAAGTAACTGAAGAAGACGACCAGCCAGTTGAGGTCGTCACAACAACAAAGAAAATCAAACGAACAAGACCAAAACGGCCGGAGGACGAGACTGACCAGATATTGCCTTCGATTCCGCATGTTCCCGAGACCACAGTATCTACAGAGGAAGGCGACGATCATGTTACTGTCGTAGAGACTACAATTGTCAAGGACATCACCCCGAAACCCGACAACGAAGAAGAAATAACAGTCGTCACAACCACCAAGAAAATACACAAACCCATTGAAGGGGATACCATACCAAAGAAGAAACCAAAGAAAGACAAACCTAAACGGCGAAGGCCTGAGGAAGCTCCAATCGACAAAGCTATATCCGAATTGCCGGGGTTGACAGGTATTTCCGAGACGACAAAAACCGAGGTAGAGGAAGCTGATAATGAGGTGACAGAATTAGTTACTACGACAAAACGTATCCATAGGGAGAAACCTGACGACATCGAAGAGACTCCAGAGGAAGTGCTTCCTGAGGTGCCCATCGAAGCTGAACCTACCGTTACTGTTGTTGAGTCGGGAGACTTTGTTGAGGTAACAGAGGTCACAACCACAAAGGAAGTGCAGCCTGGGCCAGACAACAAGGAGGAGATTATTGTAAAAACAAAGACAAAGAAAACAAAGAGACCCAAAGATAAACCAACCGAAGGTCCAAAGCAAGAGACAACAACAAAGACACCTTTGGATATGGAGATTGACAACATTCCTGGTGTCAAGGAGGTCTCTGAGTCAACGGTTACTGAAGTAACTGAAGAAGACGACCAGCCAGTTGAGGTCATCACAACGACAAAGAAAATCAAACGAACAAAACCAAAACGGCCGGAGGACGACATTGACCAGATACTGCCTTCGATTCCGCATGTTCCCGAGACCACAGTAACTACAGAGGAAGGCGATGATCATGCTACTGTCGTAGAGACTACAACTGTCAAGGACATCACCCCGAAACCCGACAACGAAGAAGAGATAACAGTCGTCACAACTACAAAGAAAACTCGAAAGCCTATAGAGAACTTGCCTGAAGAAGCACAAAGCCCAGTTCAAGAAACCACCGCTGATACAAGCATCCCCAAACAACGCAGAAGTGACGTGCCTGAGGTAACTAAAATGACGTTTTTCGAGCTTATTTTTACTGGCTTAAATATCAATTATTCTTATTTCAGCCAACAAAACTGTGTATTATGTTAATAACCGCCAGCGTTTACCATCCATTAATATGGAAATAATACCACTTTATGTTATCGCTTCGTTATTCATATTAAAAATCCTTCCTTAATGTATAACGCATTTCACAAAACTTTTAACAAAAACTGAAATTGAAGAAATAGGCAAGTAAGTTTAGCGTGAAACATTCTTCTTGGTAAATAAATTATATTTCATACCATTTATAATGCAAAAGAACGTAAAAACACTAATTGGTTCAAGTAATATCAGCATTTTCCAATAACGCTTTTTAATCGTGTCTTTGGCAACCTATTAATTTCGGAAAAAAGTAGGCAACCAGCGAAACAGAGCTCTGTTTAAGGCAGCATCACACGTATTTATTTTCCTATGGTTCTCGAAACGGCAGGTACCTATGTATAATTTAATATTTAGTACGCAGCTTGGAGATCGAGTTTCGACGAAAGATCAATAAACTATTTAGAACGTATGCCAGTTTTTTTTAATCATTTTCATTGCCAGCCATATCCATTATCCATGAACACCCGTCGCCTCAGATTGAATTAATGTTTCTTCTCAATCCAAGCATGCTAGTACGTAAAATGCATGGATAACAATGCATCGAATCCGTCCCAGGATGTGCTTACCACTTAACATGTCACCAATGGTTACGCTGTGCCGTCATCAATCATCATGTTGTCGGGTTGTTCCATTGTCATGTTAGCATGGGAGTCATGTGTCTCGTCAGTGAACACCGTCCGTACACGTGTACAATAATTACGGAACAGATGATCTCAGCACGCCACACGCTACACGCAGGGTTCACTTCCACGCCCGGACGCGGCGCGGCCCGACCGCCGGGGGTCGCCTTCCGTCGCCGACAGCGATGCGACAATGCCTTCTGACGCCGAGGTTTGTGCAGGCCCTCGCAGCAGCCTCGCCTGATCACTTCTTCTTCGCTCTGTCAATGGCTTTTTTCTTTTTTCTTTTTCGCTCGCGGGGCTGTTCGCCCATCGCTTTACCACCGTGTTGCCGTACTGGAGCGAGACCTTTACTTGAAACGCTGATGTTCACGCAAGTTTGACTTCCCGCGTATCAATGCATAACGCCTTCGCTATGTGTGACAACGCAACTGTCAGATTTAGAGCCAGGTTGGTACTTATTTTCTTCGTTGCTCTTTATTCCTCTAATGGTGACTAGTTACTTGTTAATGAACTTGAACTTTGTGCCCGTTAAGCAGCTATGATTTCATTTAAGGTTGTTGATTCCCTAAATAAAACGTTGCATATTCTTTCCTATGGGGAAACAGGGCGCAAACTGTTTCCTTCTTCCCCTACGAACTGTTTTGATTTGTATAATAACATTTTAACCTTTTAAATGATGTTAATGAATAATGTTGTAAAAAATGGCGAACAAAATAAACGAACTAACCATCAATCGACCCAAGATCATACTAGTACAAAATGAGATGTTGTGTAAGTTGATAGTTGTTTGTTGTTTTTTTTACTGTTACGTAATGATAATTTGTAAAAAATATTACGCGATGCTTCAAATTGAAGAACATCATTAAATCTTCACTGAGCCGATGCGTAGTGACGCTTCATGGAGGTGAAAATCCTGCAAATTTATATACCAAGATATATTCTTGAAAAAACGTGGTACTTGAAATTAGTATAAACTTCAACCCGCGCACCAACGGGGGGCGGATATCCGCCCCCCTCCCCCAGAGGTTTTCGTAAATAGCGGGAAACGTAGCGACTTTTTGCAACTTTGTCACCGTGTAAGAGCTACAGTAGATGACGGAGGCCTTTGAAAGTCGCAGGATAAAATGAGGTCATTGGTAGCTACAAGTTGTTTATCTCGGAATTTTGATATCGATGACCAAAGGTCAGGTTGACCAAACCTTGACCTCCCCATTATAAGTCAATGGGGGGTTGGGAAATTAACTTGTTTTTTCACTAAAATGCGTCGGAAAATGACTTCATATGCGATTGACCTTGACTACCTTCAGGCTTGTTTTGCTATTGGGCAGCTGTAGGGTCATGTGACGTCATCAAAGGTTACCAAAGGTTTTTTTTTTGCAAAAACTCCTTACAGAAGCAAGATGCAGTCGCGCGGATGGTCTCAATGTGTTAAGCTCGTCAAGGCGCACTTGATGATATGCATGATGACCTTGAGGTTACGTGACCTGAGGTCAAACTTTGACCTTGACCTTTCGAGGTCAACATATTAATGAATTGATGCGGATTGACGAGAGGATCACGATGGTGTCATTAGCTTGTTCTTAGCTTGGCTACTTCCAAAGTTATTCGAGAAAAACTTCAAAACTCTAGTCTGTTCCACATCAAGCTTGCCGTCGGAGTTTCTTCAACAGGTCGCTCCTTTGCTCAAGAATTTGCTTCCTTAAATGTAAGACCTGTATATACAGAAATCACACACTGCTTTCAGCATGACACTTCGTCCGCAAGCTTGAAACGGAACAGAGTATAGTTCCGCCATTTTGACTTTTTTCCCCTTTGACGTTATCTTTGACCTGAGTCTGACCTGAAAATGACTAGTAAAAACTGTAGATCTTGTCCGTGCGTACCCCATGCCGTTTACCGCTTGTCACTATCTTGCTTCGTTCTCGAGATATCAGGTGGCCGTCATCCGCCCCTCCCCCCCCCCCCCCTCCGCTGTCGGTGCGAAGTTCACGCGGACGGCGGACCCCAGTCGGTGCGCGAGTTAAGGACAAAGTTATATTTATAAAGAAAAAGCATATGAATGTCAAAACTTCATGAGAGCAGACGAACGTTTTGTGCGCTGCACACATTTTTTTGTGACACGGCCATACTCAGATACCATAAATACCATAAATGCCATGTATGAGCAGCAAAGCTGAGCTTCGTGGATACTAGATCCTCTACGAATCAGAAAACTTTGTCACATAAGAGTATGTAACTGTCGCGTATCGACGTATCGACGTAACACTTAAGTTCCATAGAACCTTTCGAATCTTAAGTTTTTTTCGAAAACATATAAAAAAAAAGTTGGCGGCGCTTTGGCAACATTATCATTCATATCTTGTGAAAACGACTGATCAGAATCACTTGGTCAGATTTGTGATCCCAGCTCAAAGCGTGGGTTTTATATTTTGGATTGAGTTTGGCTCCCCTGTCCGTCCAATTACTTCGTACTAAAGCTTTTTATATAAATTTAGTCCGAACCTTTTGAATGGAAGGATTCACAAGGACATAGCCCCCCCCCCCTAAGCGAAGCTTATTGCGTTGACCCTCCCCTCTACCCTCCGATCGCGCAATTACAGTTCTATGGCAGAATTTGGAGAATTCTGCCATAGCACCCACGTTAACCCGCGCATAACTGGGGTGGGGGGCTCGACAGAGCCCCCCTCCCGTTTTTCGGCAATATCTTATTTGACGGATCAACACAAAATTCGCGGTACCTTCAGCGGCATACATTTAACACTTTGTGTTACAATTTCGACTTCCTAGCTACCATAGTTTGGCCGGAAATGACTTCAGAGTGACGTCATGTCGGCCGATTTTGATGCAAAATATTGAATTACGGCAGACGCTCTCAAGAACTCAGTTTTAAAGCTAGATCCAATTTATTTGCAAGAGTGGACTACAAATACACTTAGCTAACAAACTGCTATCTCATTTAAAAAAAAACATAAATGAAAAAATATGTATTTACAATTACAAAAATATTTTTTTTTTATTTCTTCAAAAAGTTTCTCATTTTTGTCAAACACCGGAATATGTGTGATAAAACACACACTGATAAACTACTTTAGCAAGTTGTAGCCCAATATCTTCAAAAATAGCCAAGTTATTTGCATTATTGTCAAAATTTTACAATTATATAGTTTTCAAAACAATTTTTCAGTCCATTTTTGACATCGTACAGCAGTATTCATGGCACCATCGTATTTCTGAACTCAAACTGCATCTGATAAGCACCTTTTTTTGTTGAAAAATTTCATTTTCAAAATTTGACCTTTTCTGTCCTGAAAGTGACCTGACCTGTAAATTCAGCTAGAAATGACCTCAAATGACACAGACGACATTTTTTTCGAAATATACGTGTAAAATGGACCATAAAACATGCGTCACGTGACCGATACATGATATACAATTTTCGTGACCTAGGATGACGTGGCCTTGGCCTGAAAAAATTCGAAGTAAAAGTTCGGTACCCTCAGGGTATCTTAAGCATATATCAAGGAGTGCGTAAACCAAAAATGAGCCTGATCGGTCTTGTCAACAGGCGGTCAGAGCCTAAATTGTGAACAAGCAAAAATGCTGATAATTTTTACTTTGACCTGACCTGTGACGTTATCGGTGACCTCGAGGTCAATGACAATAGGCTTCGCTCGACAGTTTTTCCAGATCTATCAGACGCCGCTTGAATTTTGACGATCGGCCCAGTATTTTCGGAGATAGGACGCCGGGGGCTTTGGAGAGTCACTCGCGTTATGGAAAATACCCCAGCCATGCGCGGGTTAAACTTTAGCACTATTTCCAAAGTTAACGTGCGCACATAGCCAGCGCGGCCGGTCCCCTCACTGACTTCACCTGGCTACGGCCTGCCACCAACCGCAACCATACCTGTCAGGAGGCCCATAAACGTTAATCGCCCGTCGCGCTTCAAACCCGGACTGTTATAACCAGGAACGCGTGCTCTCACCACGCGGAGTCCAACGCTCTACCGACTGAGCTACCGGGACCAGCTAAAAAGAAAATTTTCACATTAACCCGTGTAGGGCCTTCGCCGGGCAGGGGGAAGTTTAAGCATTCCCTCCCCTGTATAACCTGACTACTGGGCCACGTAGAGGCACGCGGTAAGTGGCGTTTAAAAAAATCATAAAGCCATCAAAAATATACTCCGGTCAAATTTCTGCTCAGTTGAAAGAGATCAACGGCTCAGTTGAAAACAAGAGGTCAGCAAACTATGCCCCTATCAACCTTTTTTGACAAATCGGCGCAAAACTCGGGACGAAAAGAGCTGCAACGCCGCAAGAAAACGAAATAATGTATTTGACCCAAGGTCAAAGGTTTAGCCTCTATCAGGCATAACTAAGCTTTAAGCTGAGCTATGACATTTTACCTTCCTCAACCGTAAGACGATATTCCCACCCATACATTGAGATTGATCCGTACCAACTTTGTAACAACTCCGAAGAATTAAAAAAACTTAATTCACTACACCTTATGTTCCTATGTTTTTCGTCTACTAAGAGGGGCAAAGTAAAAAAAAAATCCTGTCAAATGTTCGAATGTTATGCTCTTATTGACGTTAAAATTACAACTTCTTCTTTTTGCAGGCACCGGATCAGCTGGAACTTACACGACTGTTGGATAAAGATATACCAGGTGTCACCGAAGTCAGTGAGCAAATCAATGCCGATGTTGAAAGGAATGACGATGAGAAAGTCGAGACCGTCACGACTACAAAGATAATCAAACGAAAAAAGCCTAAAGACGGCACAGAAACTACGGAAGAAATCCTTCCAGAAATTCCGGAGAAAGCCGAGCCCACTACGACTCTTGAGGAGACACCTGACCACGTCGAGGTAACTGAAGTAACAACGGCAAAAGATATTCAGGAAGGTCCTGATGACCACCTCATCACAGTTGTCACCAAGACAAAGAAAACTCGCAAACCAAAGGAAAAAACGCTAAAGAAAGCGCCAAAGAAGAACCAGCCAACTGGAACTACACTGGATGAACAGATTGAGGAAATCCCAGGTGTCACCGAAGTAGCTGAGCAAACCACTACTGAAGTTGAAACCATTGATGATGAACAAGTTGAAACAATCACGACTACAAAGAAAATCAAACGAAAGAAGCCTAAAGACGGTACAGAAACTATGGAAGAAATCCTTCCAGAAATTCCGCAGAAAGCCGAACCCACTACGACTGTTGAGGAGACGCCTGAGTTCGTCGAGGTAACTGAGGTTACAACTACAAAGGACATCCAGGAAGGTCCTGATGACCAGCTCATCACAGTGGTCACCAAGACAAAGAAAACTCGCAAACCGAAGGAAAAAGCGCCGAAGGAGAAGCCAAAGAAGAAACGACCATGCAAAACACGACTGGATGAACAGATTGAGGAAATCCCAGGCGTCACCGAAATAAGTGAACATACCTCTACTGATGTTGAACGGAATGATGACGAGGAAGTTGAGACCGTCACGACTACAAAGAACATCAAACGGAAGAAGCCTACAGACAGCACCGAAACTACGAAAGAAATCCTTCCAGAAATTCCGGAGAAAGCCGAACCCACTACGACTGTTGAGGAGACTCCTGACCTCGTAGAGGTAACTGAAGTCACAACGACAAAGGACATCCAGGAAGGTCCTGAAGACCAGCTCATCACAGTCGTCACCAAGACAAAGAAAACTCGCAAACCAAAAGAAAAGGCGCCAAAGGAGAAGCCAACGCGGAAACGAACAACTAAAACTACGCTGGATGAACAGATTGAGAAAATCCCAGGCGTCACCGAGGTTGGTGAGCAAACTACTACTGAAATTGAAACCATTGATGACGAAGAAGTTGAGACAATGACGACTACAAAGAAAATCAAAATAAAGAAGCCTAAAGACGGCACCGAAAACACGGCAGAAGTCCTTCCAGAAATTCCAAAGAAAGCCGAACCAACTACAACTGTTGAGGAGACGCCTGAGGACGTCGAGGTAACTGAGGTTACAACGACAAAGGACATCCAGGAAGGTCCTGATGACCAGCTCATCACAGTTGTCACAAAGACAAAGAAAACTCGCAAACCGAAGGAAAGGGCGCCGAAGGAGAAGCCAAAGAAAAAACGGCCATCCAAAACTCGACTGGATCAACAGATTGAGGAAATCCCGGGAGTCACCGAAATAAGTAAACATACCTCTACTGATGTTGAACGGAATGATGATGAGGAAGTTGAGACCGTCACGACTACAAAGAAAATCAAACGGAAGAAGCCTAAAGACGGCACCGAAATTACGGAAGAAATCCTTCCAGAAATTCCAGAGAAAGCCGAGCCCATTACGACAGTTGAGGAGACGCCTGAGAACGTCGAGGTAACTGAACTTACAACGACAAAGGAAATCCAGGAAGGTCCTGATGACCAGCTCATCACAGTTGTCACCAAGACAAAGAAAACTCGCAAACCGAAGGAAAAGAAGCCGAAGGAGAAGCCAAAGAAAAAACGGCCATCCAAAACTCGACTGGATGAACAGATTGAGAAAATCCCAGGCGTCACCGAGGTTGGTGAGCAAACTACTACTGAAATTGAAACCATTGATGACGAAGAAGTTGAGACAATGACGACTACAAAGAAAATCAAAACAAAGAAGCCTAAAGACGGCACCGAAACCACGGAAGAAATCCTTCCAGAAATTCCAGAGAAAGCCGAACCCACTACAACTGTTGAGGAGACGCCTGAGGACGTCGAGGTAACTGAGGTTACAACGACAAAGGACATCCAGGAAGGTCCTGATGACCAGCTCATCACAGTTGTCACCAAGATAAAGAAAACTCGCAAACCAAATGAAAGGGCGCCGAAGGAGAAGCCAAAGAAAAAACGGCCAACCAAAACTCGACTGGATCAACAAATTGAGGAAATCCCGGGAGTCACCGAAATAAGTGAACATACCTCTACTGATGTTGAACGGAATGATGATGAGGAAGTTGAGACCGTCACGACTACAACGAAAATCAAACGGAAGAAGCCTACAGACGGCACCGAAACTACGGAAGAAATCCTTCCAGAAAATCCGCAGAAAGCCGAGCCAACTACAACTGTTGAGGAGACGCCTGAGCACGTCGAGGTAACTGAGGTTACAACGACAAAGGATATCCAGGAAGGTCCTGAAGACCAGCTCATCACAGTCGTCACCAAGACAAAGAAAACTCGCAAACCGAAGGAAAAGGCACCGAAGGAGAAGCCAAAGAAGAAACAGCCATCCAAAACTCGACTGGATCAACAGATTAAAGAAATCCCGGGAGTCACCGAAATAAGTGAACATACCTCTACTGATGTGGAAGGGAATGATGATGAGGAAGTTGAGACCGTCACGACTACAAAGAAAATCAAACGGAAGAAGCCTCAAGACGGCACCGAAATTACGGAAGAAATCCTTCCAGAAATTCCAGAGAAAGCCGAGCCCATTACGACAGTTGAGGAGACCCCTGAAGACGTCGAGGTAACTGAAGTAACAACGACAAAGGATATCCAGGAAAGTCCTGATGACCAGCTCATTACAGTGATCACCAAGACAAAGAAAACTCGCAAACCGAAGGAAAAAGCACCGAAGGAGAAGCCAAAGAAGAAACAACCATCCAAAGCTCGACTGGATCAACAGATTGAGGAAATTCCAGGTGTCACCGAAGTAGCTGAGCAAACCACTACTGAAGTTGAAACCATTGATGATGAACAAATTGAAACAATCACGACTACAAAGAAAATCAAACGAAAGAAGCCTAAAAACGATACAGAAACTATGGAAGAAATCCTTCCAGAAATTCCGCAGAAAGCCGAACCCACTACGACTGTTGAGGAGACGCCTGAGTTCGTCGAGGTAACTGAGGTTACAACGACAAAGGACATCCAGGAAGGTCCTGATGACCAGCTCATCACAGTGGTCACCAAGACAAAGAAAACTCGCAAACCGAAGGAAAAAGTGCCGAAGGAGAAGCCAAAGAAGAAACGGCCATGCAAAACACGACTGGATGAACAGATTGAGGAAATCCCGGGAGTCACCGAAATAAGTGAACATACCTCTACTGATGTTGAACGGAATGATGACGAGGAAGTTGAGACCGTCACGACTACAAAGAAAATTAAACGGAAGAAGCCTACCGACAGCACCGAAACTACGGAAGAATTACTTCCAGAAATTCCGGAGAAAGCCAAGCCTACTACGACATCGGAGGAGACGCCTGAGCACGTCGAGGTAACTGAGGTTACAACGACAAAGGACATCCAGGAAGGTCCTGATGACCAGCTCATCACAGTTGTCACCAAGACAAAGAAAACTCGCAAACCGAAGGAAAGGGCGCCGAAGGAGAAGCCAAAGAAAAAACGGCCATCCAAAACTCGACTGGATCAACAGATTGAGGAAATCCCGGAAGTCACCGAAATAAGTGAACATACCTCTACTGATGTTGAACGGAATGATGATGAGGAAGTTGAGACCGTCACGTCTACAAAGAAAATCAAACGGAAGAAGCCCACCGACGGCACCGAAACTACGGAAGAAATACTTCCAGAAATTCCGGAGAAAGCCGAGCCCATTACGAAAGTTGAGGAGACGCCTGAGCACATCGAGGTATCTGAAGTCACAACGACAAAGGACATCCAGGAAGGTCCTGATGACCAGCTCATCACAGTTGTCACCAAGACAAAGAAAACTCGCAAACCGAAGGAAAAGGCGCCAAAGGAGAAGCCAAAGCGTAAACGGCCAACTGGAACTACACTGGATGAACAGATTGAGAAAATCCCAGGCGTCACCGAGGTTGGTGAGCAAACTACTACTGAAATTGAAACCATTGATGACGAAGAAGTTGAGACAATGACGACTACAAAGAAAATCAAAACAAAGAAGCCTAAAGACGGCACCGAAACCACGGAAGAAATCCTTCCAGAAATTCCAGAGAAAGCCGAACCCACTACAACTGTTGAGGAGACGCCTGAGGACGTCGAGGTAACTGAGGTTACAACGACAAAGGACATCCAGGAAGGTCCTGATGACCAGCTCATCACAGTTGTCACCAAGACAAAGAAAACTCGCAAACCAAATGAAAGGGCGCCGAAGGAGAAGCCAAAGAAAAAACGGCCAACCAAAACTCGACTGGATCAACAAATTGAGGAAATCCCGGGAGTCACCGAAATAAGTGAACATACCTCTACTGATGTTGAACGGAATGATGATGAGGAAGTTGAGACCGTCACGACTACAACGAAAATCAAACGGAAGAAGCCTACAGACGGCACCGAAACTACGGAAGAAATCCTTCCAGAAATTCCGCAGAAAGCCGAGCCAACTACAACTGTTGAGGAGACGCCTGAGCACGTCGAGGTAACTGAGGTTACAACGACAAAGGATATCCAGGAAGGTCCTGAAGACCAGCTCATCACAGTCGTCACCAAGACAAAGAAAACTCGCAAACCGAAGGAAAGGGCACCGAAGGAGAAGCCAAAGAAGAAACAGCCATCCAAAACTCGACTGGATCAACAGATTAAAGAAATCCCGGGAGTCACCGAAATAAGTGAACATACCTCTACTGATGTGGAAGGGAATGATGATGAGGAAGTTGAGACCGTCACGACTACAAAGAAAATCAAACGGAAGAAGCCTCAAGACGGCACCGAAATTACGGAAGAAATCCTTCCAGAAATTCCAGAGAAAGCCGAGCCCATTACGACAGTTGAGGAGACCCCTGAAGACGTCGAGGTAACTGAAGTAACAACGACAAAGGATATCCAGGAAAGTCCTGATGACCAGCTCATTACAGTGATCACCAAGACAAAGAAAACTCGCAAACCGAAGGAAAAAGCACCGAAGGAGAAGCCAAAGAAGAAACAACCATCCAAAGCTCGACTGGATCAACAGATTGAGGAAATTCCAGGTGTCACCGAAGTAGCTGAGCAAACCACTACTGAAGTTGAAACCATTGATGATGAACAAATTGAAACAATCACGACTACAAAGAAAATCAAACGAAAGAAGCCTAAAGACGATACAGAAACTATGGAAGAAATCCTTCCAGAAATTCCGCAGAAAGCCGAACCCACTACGACTGTTGAGGAGACGCCTGAGTTCGTCGAGGTAACTGAGGTTACAACGACAAAGGACATCCAGGAAGGTCCTGATGACCAGCTCATCACAGTGGTCACCAAGACAAAGAAAACTCGCAAACCGAAGGAAAAAGTGCCGAAGGAGAAGCCAAAGAAGAAACGGCCATGCAAAACACGACTGGATGAACAGATTGAGGAAATCCCGGGAGTCACCGAAATAAGTGAACATACCTCTACTGATGTTGAACGGAATGATGACGAGGAAGTTGAGACCGTCACGACTACAAAGAAAATTAAACGGAAGAAGCCTACCGACAGCACCGAAACTACGGAAGAATTACTTCCAGAAATTCCGGAGAAAGCCAAGCCTACTACGACATCGGAGGAGACGCCTGAGCACGTCGAGGTAACTGAGGTTACAACGACAAAGGACATCCAGGAAGGTCCTGATGACCAGCTCATCACAGTTGTCACCAAGACAAAGAAAACTCGCAAACCGAAGGAAAGGGCGCCGAAGGAGAAGCCAAAGAAAAAACGGCCATCCAAAACTCGACTGGATCAACAGATTGAGGAAATCCCGGCAGTCACCGAAATAAGTGAACATACCTCTACTGATGTTGAACGGAATGATGATGAGGAAGTTGAGACCGTCACGTCTACAAAGAAAATCAAACGGAAGAAGCCCACCGACGGCACCGAAACTACGGAAGAAATACTTCCAGAAATTCCGGAGAAAGCCGAGCCCATTACGAAAGTTGAGGAGACGCCTGAGCACATCGAGGTATCTGAAGTCACAACGACAAAGGACATCCAGGAAGGTCCTGAAGACCAGCTCATCACAGTTGTCACCAAGACAAAGAAAACTCGCAAACCGAAGGAAAAGGCGCCAAAGGAGAAGCCAAAGCGTAAACGGCCAACTGGAACTACACTGGATGAAAAGATTGAGGAAATCCCAGGTGTCACCGAAGTAGCTGAGCAAACCACTACTGAAGTTGAAACCATTGATGATGAACAAGTTGAAACAATCACGACTACAAAGAAAATCAAACGAAAGAAGCCTAAGGACGGAACCGAAACTTCGGAAGAAATCCTTCCAGAAATTCCAGAGAAAGCCGTGCCCACTACGAATGTTGAGGAGACGCCTGAGCACGTCGAGGTAACTGAAGTCACAACGACAAAGGACATCCAGGAAGGTCCTGATGACCAACTCATCACAGTTGTCACCAAGACAAAGAAAACTCGCAAACCGAAGGAAAAGGCGCCAAAGGAGAAGCCAAAGCGGAAACGGCCAACTAAAACTACGCTGGATGAACAGATTGAGAAAATCCCAGGCGTCACCGAGGTTGGTGAGCAGACTACTACTGAAATTGAAACCATTGATGACGAAGAAGTTGAGACAATGACGACTACAAAGAAAATCAAAATAAAGAAACCTACAGACGGCACCGAAACTACGGAAGAAATCCTTCCAGAAATTCCGCAGAAAGCCGAACCCACTACGACTGTTGAGGAGACGCCTGACCTCGTCGAGGTAACTGAAGTAACAACGACAAAGGATATCCAGGAAGGTCCTGATGACCAGCTCATCACAGTTGTCACCAAGACAAAGAAAACTCGCAAACCGAAGGAAAAAGCACCGAAGGAGAAGCCAAAGAAGAAACGGCCATCCAAAACTCGACTGGATCAACAGATTGAGGAAATCCCGGGAGTCACCGAAATAAGTGAACATACCTCTACTGATGTGGAACAGAATGATGATGAGGAAGTTGAGACCGTCACGACTACAAAGAAAATCAAACGAAAGAAGCCTAAAGACGGCACCGAAATTACGGAAGAAATCCTTCCAGAAATTCCAGAGAAAGCCGAGCCCATTACGACAGTTGAGGAGACGCCTGAGGACGTCGAGGTAACTGAAGTCACAACGACAAAGGACATCCAGGAAGGTCCTGATGACCAGCTCATCACAGTTGTCACCAAGACAAAGAAAACTCGCACACTGAAGGAAAAGACGCCTAAGAAAAAACCAAAAAAGAAACGACCAACAACAACTACACTGGATGAACATATTGAGAAAATCCCAGGCGTCACCGAAGTTGGTGAGCAAACCACTACTGAAGTTGAAACCATTGATGACGAACAAGTTGAAACAATCACGACTACAAAGAAAATCAAACGAAAGAAGCCTAAGTACGGAACCGAAATTTCGGAAGAAATCCTTCCAGAAATTCCAGAGAAAGCCGAGCCCACTACGAATGTTGAGGAGACGCCTGAGCACGTCGAGGTAACTGAAGTCACAACGACAAAGGACATCCAGGAAGGTCCTGATGACCAGCTCATCACAGTTGTCACCAAGACAAAGAGAACTCGCAAACCGAAGGAAAAGACGCCAAAGGAGAAGCCAAAGCGGAAACGGCCAACTAAAACTACGCTGGATGAACAGATTGAGAAAATCCCAGGCGTCACCGAGGTTGGTGAGCAAACTACTACTGGAATTGAAACCACTGATGACGAAGAAGTTGAGACAATGACCACTACAAAGAAAATCAAAATAAAGAAGCCTAAAGACGGCACCAAAACCACGGAAGAAATCCTTCCAGAAATTCCAGAGAAAGCCGAGCCCATTACGACAGTTGAGGAGACGCCTGAGGACGTCGAGGTAACTGAAGTCACAACGACAAAGGACATCCAGGAAGGTCCTGACGACCAGCTCATCACAGTTGTCACCAAGACAAAGAAAACTCGCAAACCGAAGGAAAAGAAGCCGAAGGAGAAGCCAAAGAAGAAACGGCCATGCAAAACACAACTGGATGAACAGATTGAGGAAATCCCGGGAGTCACCGAAACAAGTGAACATACCTCTACTGAGGTTGAACGGAATGATGATGAGGAAGTTGAGACCGTCACGTCTACAAAGAAAATCAAACGGAAGAAGCCCACCGACGGCACCGAAACTACGGAAGAAATCCTTCCAGAAATTCCGAAGAAAGCCGAGCCCATTACGACAGTTGAGGAGACGCCTGAGCACATCGAGGTATCTGAAGTCACAACGACAAAGGACATCCAGGAAGGTCCTGAAGACCAGCTCATCACAGTCGTCACCAAGACAAAGAAAACTCGCAAACCAAAAGAAAAAGCGCCAAAAGAGAAGCCGAAGCGGAAACGGCCAACTAAAACTACGCTGGATGAACAGATTGAGAAAATCCCAGGCGTCACCGAGGTTGGTGAGCAAACTACTACTGAAATTGAAACCATTGATGACGAAGAAGTTGAGACAATGACGACTACAAAGAAAATCAAAGTAAAGAAGCCTAAAGACGGCACCGAAACCACGGAAGAAATCCTTCCAGAAATACCGGAGAAAGCCGAGCCCACTACAACTGTTGAGGAGACGCCTGAGCACGTCGAGGTAACAGAGGTTACAACGACAAAAGACATCCAAGAAGGTCTTGATGACCAGCTCATCACTGTCGTCACCAAGACAAAGAAAACTCGCAAACCGAAGGAAAAGGCGCCAAAGAAGATGCCAAAGGAGAAACGGCCAACTGGAACTACACTGGATGAACAGATTGAGGAAATCCCAGGTGTCACCGAAGTAGCTGAGCAAACCACTACTGAAGGTGAAACCATTGATGACGAACAAGTTGAAACAATCACGACTACAAAGAAAATCAAACGAAAGAAGCCTAAGGACGGAACCGAAACTTCGGAAGAAATCCTTCCAGAAATTCCAGGGAAAGCCGAGCCCACTACGAATGTTGAGGAGACGCCTGAGCACGTCGAGGTAACTGAAGTCACAACGACAAAGGACATCCAGGAAGGTCCTGATGATCAACTCATCACAGTTGTCACCAAGACAAAGAAAACTCGCAAACCGAAGGAAAAGGCGCCAAAGGAGAAGCCAAAGCGGAAACGGCCAACTAAAACTACGCTGGACGAACAGATTGAGAAAATCCCAGGCGTCACCGAGGTTGGTGAGCAAACTACTACTGAAATTGAAACCATTGATGACGAAGAAGTTGAGACAATGACGACTACAAAGAAAATCAAAATAAAGAAGCCTTCAGAAGGCACCGAAACTACGGACGAAATCCTTCCAGAAATTCCGCAGAAAGCCGAACCCACTACGACTGTTGAGGAGACGCCTGACCTCGTCGAGGTAACTGAAGTTACAACGACAAAAGATATCCAGGAAGGTCCTGATGACCAGCTCATCACAGTTGTCACCAAGACAAAGAAAACTCGCAAACCGAAGGAAAAAGCGCCGAAGGAGAAGCCAAAGAAGAAACGGCCATGCAAAACACGACTGGATCAACAGATTGAGGAAATCCCGGGAGTCACCGAAATAAGTGAACATACCTCTACTGATGTTGAACGGAATGATGATGAGGAAATCGAGACTGTCACGACTACAAAGAAAATCAGACGGAAGAAGCCTAAAGACGGTACAGAAACTATGGAAGAAATCCTTCCAGAAATTCCGGAGAAAGCCGAGCCAACTACGACATCAGAGGAGATGCCTGACCTCGTCGAGGTAACTGAAGTCACAACGACAAAGGACATCCAGGAAGGCCCTGATGAAGAGCTCATCACAGTCATCACCAAGACAAAGAAAACTCGTAGATCAAAACACATCACAAACGACGACAGACCTGGGCCGCCTTCGCCTGATGGCACTCCTGACGTCTCTCCACATAACCAGGTGTTTATAAAGGGAACATCGCCTTGTTTCTAAAATATATTATTTGTCTTGGTTGAGCAGTTTTTTACAGCTTTCGTTAATCCATTTGCAGTGATGTCGTTATAACTCGGATTCCATTGCTTATAAAATGATGATTGAACATGATAAATGATGAAATGGCTATTCTGCGTTGATATAAAGGGAATATTTCACTTTCCTGAAATTAGTTAATTGCAGTGGATTAATGATTTTTATGCTCAAAATAACCAGATAATATAATTAAACTTTTTTTGTGAAAAGGATTTTTTTTATGTTTTAATATAGGAAGAACTATATAATATATTAAATCATGTTTGTCGCAGAAGCGTATTACGCGTTGACTAATCATATTGTGTAGTTCAAACCTACGCATGCTGCATTGGCTGTATGCTGAATGTCTGACGATGACGTAAGGCACTCTTGGCGGAACGAGAAATGAAATATATTCGTCTAGGGTGATCGTTGGGCCGTAAAAGCTCTTGATTTGTGTTAGTCTCAGCGAAAGCTACGAAATTGCTATTCCAGTTCAAAACCCCATGTTAAAAGTGAACTGTGTCCTTTTAAGTCTTCGCTACTACGTTTCTAGCAAGTTTTGTTTAGCTTATTTATGTGAATTTGCTGCTGCTTTGAATAAGTTTATATTTAACTCCTTCAATGGCTTCTCTTGTTTTCAGTTGCAGCTACCAAAGCTCTGTCGGAAAATATCAACCATTACCTGTTTGTGGTGCTTATTTTTAATTGTTCACCATGTTTCACCGAAAGCAATTGTGGTGTCTCTCAAGTTATGTGAAGCATCTATGTACAACAGACATAATTTCTTTATAGCATAGTTATTACATTTGCTTTAGTAGTTTGGTACTGCAACTTTAATTCGCTCAATATTGCGTGACCATATTTTAGCCTTTCGTCGCTATAAAAGGCGTTACATGCTATGTAGCCCTTTATCGTGGTATTAAAAGGTGTATGTAATTTATTTAGGCTTTTATTCTTAAGTATCGACAGATGGAATGCTTTTAAGAATAATTATGATTGTTGTTAGGTTGCAGCGAACAATGTTTGACACTATGAAGCTCCGACAAATGCACACCCGCCGATCAATCACATAAAACACAATGCAGCCACAAGATATTCTGGAACAAACACAATGTCACCAGTGCATGCTGAATCCTGTCATGCGTGCATGCATGTTTTTAGGAACGCATCTGAAGCCTATGAGCTACTCGTATTTAGCCTGATTTCCATCGCATCCTGCTCAATACCAAGCTTGAGACCACGCGTTCCGAATGAGCCAACTGACAAGACACTGCTCGTCTTATCGTCACTGCTTTCAGCGGAAGTGAGCATGCTACTAATACTGCACCCGGTGACCCACTGGGTGTCGATCAACTCTGCCCCGTGCTGTCACTCACTGAGTTGTGTACCCGCAGGAGCACGTTCCGGAGGACGCCAAGCCGCAGCAGAAGGAGAGGCCCAAGAAGCCAGACGGAGCACCCGAATGGAAGGGCTTCAAGTTGAAGAAGGTCGTCAAGCCGGAGGATGAGGACGAGGACGTGTTAACGAGCATGACACTCAGCCGCCCCGATCGGATTCCAAGAACAGAGTTGGAATTCAAGGAAGTACCGAAAAAGCCATCCGATGATGTTCAGCCGGCAGATGGTATCATCTCGGAAGAGGATACGAGACCAGAGGACAAGATTCCCGGCGAAACTGAGGAAGACAAGAGCAGTGCAAAGAAACCAAAAAAGCGAAGGCCTAAGAAAAGCCCAGAAGCTGTCGAAGAGGTTCCTGTAACAACACCCGAAGCAAGAGAAGGAGAGCAAGTTCCAGAAAAGCAAGATGACCGTCAGCCAGAGGTAAGTTTTTTTGTGATTGTCATATATTTTACAAAGACGCTTATAAAAGACCAGCAATGGAGATCAAACCAAACAAACAGTGAAAATGCAACAATGAATTACTCATCATAACATAAATTTTGTGGGTATGTTGCTAGGCTTACATGACCTATAACAAAGAAACATCAAAGATAATAAAATAGCTTATTCTTAATACACCTACTTCCATGTATTACTTAGCCTCCTAACCAAACCTTCCTAGGTGCACTCAGGCAGCTTTTGCAAAATTGTCAGGGAACTCAGATTTGTTTTTCAATAGAAAAACACAATTCTAACGAATAGTGTTTGAACTATTGACAAAAAAAAACTTCGGTTACCGATTAGAGTGTATGTATATGCGCTAGGAAATGGTTGGGTGGTATGTTATTTCACCTTGTTACAATTGTTACCAGGGGCGGATCCAGAAAATCTCCAAGGGAGGGGCCATTAGAAACCAGGAGGCCCCCATATGTTGGAGGCCCCATCTTCCCACTTGTTGGGCCCCCCCCCCCAAAAAAAAACTGCGTCTATTGAGCTTATCTAGCTGTTCAGGCAACATCTCAACATGAATAGCCACTTTATTTTCAGGAGGCCCCCTTTTCAGCTTTTTAACTTTTTATTTTATTTTTGAAAAAAAATCGGCCAAGGGGGGGGCCATGGCCCCCATGGCCCCCCCCCCTTGTATCCGCGCCTGATTGTTACCATCCTCTTCAGATATCATCCGTCACCGCTTGGTTTGGTATTTTTCATATTTGATCTTTATTTGTAGCTGCCCTTAAATCTATCAATGCATCATTTCACTTACAGTGAAAAGTTTTACAACTCACTAAGTGCGATCAACGTTTCCATGCGTAATAACAAACATGGCACCAAAGTGGATTCAATGGCACCCATATTGATACGTTTTTTTCCTGAATTAGTACCATATCCACTGGTTCTGTCACCTCATGTGTAAATTGCGCTTTCAGGACAAGGACAAAAAGCCGAAGAAGCCCAAGCGCGGACAACCATTGGATTCAGAAACTCCTGAGTGGATCGACTTCTCATTAAAACCGGTGAAACAGGTTCCCAAGGAGATAGACGAGGAAAAGCTGGAAACTGTGGAGCTGAAACCACTAAGTGATACAGAGGAGGACACCACTGACAAAGGCCGCATTGATAAGAAACCAGAACAGCCTGGAGAAGCGGACACGATTCTCAAGAAAATCCCCGGTGATGATAAAGAGAAACCCGATAAAAAGCCAAAGAAGAAAAAGATCAAGAAGAGAAAAACACCGGACGACATGGCCAAACTGGATGAGGAGGAATTGTCGTCAGGGGACGATGAGGTTTGTGCCGTTCATACTTATTTAAATGCGTATATGATGTAAGATAAAAACACCAAAACCACCCAACGTTTCGTGTTATTCACTTTTTCAAGGGTGATATCAGGGGGGGTCGAAGTCTAGTTCATACCAGACTGGCAACCCCACGGCTGACGTCACGATCCCCAGCGTGACGTCACAGCCCCAGGGCATTGACCCCTTGAAGCTTGCAATATTTGATGGTGCTTACAGACAAACTGAACAAAGCTTGTACGTAACAAAAGAGTGATGCTTCTACGCTCGATAATGTGTTTATTGTGTTTTTAGCACATAAAGCAGACAAAAATTGTTCAAAGGCAGAAACAGCGAGGTGTACGCCAGTCGCCACGCATCGATCTCATCGCATAGGTGGTGCCCCAAGAGGCGCAGCATTGCACCCGTGACCCCCTCTTTATGTCCCTAAGGTCATTTCAGGTCAAGAATGGTCTCCAGCAGTTTTTTGTTTTACCGTAACCTTTAACAGAGATATGATTCTTGATTAACCCGCGCCCTGCTGGGGGGGGGGGGGGGTGTTTGAACACCCTCCCCCTTGTGGTTTTTCGCGAATATCTCAAAAACGGCGGCGCTCCGTTTTTGGTACACCTTATCATACATCAATTCTACACATGTTGTGAAAATTTCAGACCAAGGTCATTCAAGGTCAGGTCACTAGGTCACTTGAAGTGACCTCACCTCATAAAAAGTTTCAATGTCTGTCATAGCTACACCGAGTGACCGATCGCTTTGAAACTTTCAGCGATTGCTAAGAGCAATAGCATGTACAAAATGTATATCTCAGAATTTTGATATCGGTGACCTAAGGTCAGGTCAATTTTGCGACCTCCCCATTATAAGTCAATGGGAGAAAATTGAAATGCGTCTCTTTTGGACGAAAGACATTATAAACACTCCCAAACACTGAATTACAAGTGTTTTAGACACACTGAACATGAAAATGGTGTCCGTGACCCCTGTTTATGCCCTGAGGTCATCTTAGGTCACGAATGGTATCTAACAGTTTTTCGCAAATAACTTTTGATAGAGGCATGCTAGAGCGATGAAAACGCCTTAGATGTGTTCAGCTCGACGATACGGATCGACTGATATGCAACATGACCCTTTCCGGTCAGGTCATGACCTTGACCTGAGGTCAAATTTTCAAGTTGACCTTTCAAGGTAAAGTTATAGTTCATTCGATGCGTCTTGACGAGAGGAGCACGATGCCGGTAAAAGTAAGCTCGTACAAGGTTTGGGTCAAAAGTTATTGCAGAAAAACTGTTCCCGAAAAAATCGGCTATTTTTGCAGTTTTTGTCCCCTGCAGGCAAAACCGTTGACGTTAGGTCAAATCTGAGAGAATTACTCAGAAAGGGCGTAAATAGGGCTATCGAATGCGCTTTTCCGCGGCGCTGTAGCTCTATTGGTTCCCGAGTTATGCGTTGGCTTCTTGGAAATTGTCGACATTCGACCTGGAAATCGGCGAAATTTTGCCTTCAATTGTCTCTGGTGACCTGACCTTTGACCTGACCAAAAAATTGACCGAAGTGATTTCCTCATTATTTTTGACGCTCTTTCGAACGCCGCCTTCCGCGTATCGCTACGTGGCCCAGGAGCTGAGTTAGAAGGGGGTGTTCAAACACCCCCCCCCCCAGCAGGGCGTGGAAATCCAGGACCCCCAGCCGGGCGCGGGTTAAACAGCAACAAAAATACATTAGATGTGTTCAGCCCAACGATACAGATCGACTGATATGCATGACGGCATTTTCCGGTCAGGACATGACCTGGAAATGAGGTAAAATTGTCGAAATGACTTTTTGTGGTCAATTCAAAGTTTATTTGACGCGTATTGACGAGAGGAGCACGTTTATCTGCATTTTGCCGGCGTAAAGTCTCATGGAAATCAGTTGAATAAAGTTTAGGTCTGCGGAGTCGGAGTCGGAGTCGATCGGCGTCGACAGTTTTGCCCGGATTCAGAGTCTTAAAGGTAGTGTGCCAGCTTTCCTGGACCGTATGGAGTTAATGGCCCAGATAAGGAGAACCGGATTTTTAGAACTTATCCATACCTTCAAAACTCATGGAAACGTCTTAAATTTTTCAAATTTTGAGTACCCCAGTGCGAAATTCGCCCCGACGGGTTGTCGGTCGTACCCCAACCACATTTCACACCACTATGAACAATAAATGCACACACTGAAATCGCTATTATCGATATGCTCATCCAATCAAGTTTCGATAAACCCGTTCATCATCATCTCCTGCGGTTTCGAACACGCCTGTTAGGTGGTGCGGTAGACCGCGCCCAAAGCCAGGGCCCCGGTAACGTGAGGTAGCCGAGTCGGGGCAGCGTGCGCTGACCCAAGCCGGGGCCGCGCGTCCTCCCGGTGTCATGTGATAGCCCGGGGCTGCCCGCGGGGATGCGGTAGACCGCGCCCAAAGCTGCGGCCCCGGCTTGGGTCAGCGCACGCTGCCCCGACTCGGCTACCTCACGTTACCGGGGCCCTGGCTTTGGGCGCGGCTTCTGCTCATACTTTGTGGTGCGGTGGTGGTGCGTCGGGCCGCGCGCTCTGACTTCGGCCAAGAAAAATGCGTCAGCTGATCATTGTCATTTCTGCCACTTGCGTGTGGTGAAATGGGGTCATAACTTAAGAGACGGCTTTTTCATATCAATTATTTTACATAAAATCATATTTAAAACCATAAATAATGTTCGACAGCCAAATAAAAGAAACAATACCAATACAGGCTTACAGTTTAAGGCTCGACATTGTGTTGTCTACGATTAGACAGCTGATAACTCATTCCCGTACGTCGTAACTCTATAATGACCTTTGCTTATTGTCACATGTGCGCCGCATTCGCGATTGTTGCCGACGCCTGTTTGCAGGTCAGCCCACTACAGTTGTTATACATATCGAAAAACCGAGAAACTTTTAGGCGAAAAGGCACTATTCCAGGCCCATTTTTTATTTTCTTTGCGATATTAGGTAAAAACAGAAGCTTCTTATCCTAGGAAAAATAAAATGGGAAATCTTTCAAAGGTGGCACACTACCTTTAATCGACATGTCATTGCTCAAATTCGTGGTCTTCGTCTGTTTGCGGAAAAATATTACGTTCGGTGACCTTTCCAAGACCGATGTTTAAGCTGAGTTCCTGTTCATCTTCCTGTTTTGGACGAGCTTTTGAGTGTGAAAAGCAAAAGGGGGTGGCTGCACCCGAAACTGCTTTTATTCACAGACATGTTATTTATAACCACAGTTCTGACCGGGGTCGGAGTCGGAGTCGATTTTGGAAACCAGAGCCGGAGTCAGTCGGAGTCACCGAAAATCAATCGACTCCGCAGACCTGGCAGGGTTGCGGAGTCGAAGTCGGAAATAGAGTCGGCTGGAGTCGATAGGTAATGTATACCCGCAGTCGGAGTCGAAGTTGGTTTTTGGAAGCCGAAGTCGGAGTCGGAGTCAGAGTCACCGAAAATCCATCGACTGCGCAGCCCTGGACTTATAACGATACCGAAATGAGCTGCTGTTGGAATGTCAAGTGTGTTCACACGATTTTCAGGCACCAGAATCTGCATCTTAGACCGTGAGATGGTCATTTCATGGCTTCTGGTTTCTAGTCAAGATCTGGTAGCCAGCGGTTCCTTAAAGTTCCCAGGCATGCTCTGTTTCTCTGGCGCCTCAGGTCTCTTGATTTCTCAACCTGTGGGCTGTCTCAACCGTTCACGGTTTTCTGAAAGCTTCTGAGTGGCGGCTCTTCCACCAGCTATAAGCTGGTTGTTTCGTGGTTCTTGACTTATAGCTAAACTTCTGATTCTCAGACAATTTATGATCGATCACACTTAGATCACAAGGATGCTTCTACCGGGATAAAAACAGATATCTCTGTGCATCATTCACTTTACCACCAGGGACTGGCGACTTGCATTCTGTATAACACAATAAGTCTTTATTCTTATTTCTTTACGCGCTGAAATTAACCACCTGTGTCTGGAACCATGATATGATAAAGTAAAAATATTATGCCAAAGCTAGATAAATTAGATGAGCCCCGAAATACAGGAAAATATCCAAAGAGCTTGTTTTACCCTATTTCATAACAACAAAACTATCTGCAAATACGAGATAGCGTCCTTAGCAACCGCCCATAGCAACGTGTTTGTCTGAACCACGCATCTGGAAAATTAAGTAGATACTGGATAAGTCGACTAGAGTTTGGTCAAAACTACACTGAATTTGATTTCGAAATGGCTTTTTGTGAATCAAATGTTAAGTGACTTATTATTTCCCTTCAAATTTTCATACTATTAGAAAACATGCTTGTTTGCTCTATATTTGTAAAGAAACAACTGCAAGGACAAAATATCACGACAAATTCTAGTACCTTGTTGGTAGGAAACTTCGTCCAACCTTATGTTTTAGGGCCTTGGGTGATATGACACATTTTACCTACAGAGTCAAGTACGTTTTTTCGGTTTCGTTCGAATATAGCGCGGGCACTTTTTCACAAATTTCCTCTGCCTTGCATGACATATTGACATATACATACACACATACTACAAATTAACGTCTTTCCTAGCCAACAGAGCAGACACCGAAGCTAGTCTGAAGAATCCACTCGAAGTGTTCAAAACATCACCTTTCGCAATAAACGCCGCTTCTATAATTCTCCGCTGGGTTTTAGAAAAGTTTTGATCCACATGTGTAGCCCGCGTGGATTTATCTTACATCATATACGAATTAATTTGTCCAATTCAAACAATCATTATTTAAATGCGCTAGCATATCTTTATGTTGCACTGGACATTCAAAGAAGCTCAGGTTTGCCTCTTTGGATGCTAGTTTATTTAATATAAATAGTGCGTAATAAAACATGTACAGTAGTTATCTATGCTAGTTTAGCAACAGTACTCAGTAGACCTGTCCAATGTAAGGAATTTAATCAAGGTCTCTGATACTTACATAGCTCACCGTTCATTTCAAATGAATATTTCAGGAGGTGCCGCAGCCAGCCGAGGTGACGGAAGTCCAGCCGGAGGAGCCGCTGCAGCCCAAGGACCACCTTCCAGAGTGGCAGCGTGTGAAGCTGAAGAAGGTGGAGGTGGAGCAGGAGGAGGACGCCATCACCTCCCTCATTATGACGCGACCCGATCGCATCCCCACCACCGAACTGCCCGACTTCAGCAAGAAGCCGCCGAAACCCGACATCGAGCAGACGGCGCCGGCGCCAACCGAGGAACAAACTCTTGACGAGACTCCAAAGAAAAAGACCAAGAAGCCGAAGAAGCAGAAAAAGCGACCAACGGAGGGTGAACAACCAGAGGCGCCCACTGAGGCCGTCACTACCGAAGAACCCGCTCAAGACGAGGCACCTTCAGATGAGGTTCCCGAAGAGAAGCCGACGCCTATGAAACAGCTACCAGACCAGACAACTTCAGACGAGGTTTGTGGCCGACAAAACGGTGTATATGCTTAACAGGGCTATCGAAAGTAGCCTAAATAAAGATAAACCCTCGTCCGGTCGGGCGGTCTCAATATATTCATTTTTTTTCCAAAACGGCTTAATGTAAAAATGAGACGTACAAGATACAAAATTAGTTGCATTTTAGGAAGACCTCTCATAACATGTGTGAGTTCTATGAGCTTGCATTAAATAGTTTTCTCTCATTTGAATAGTATGCTGACTGTTGAGCTCAAATTTTAAAATTCAAATTAATTATATGAGGCCCGTGGCAAGGCGAGGGTGAAATTGGAGTGATAAATCTGCTTTATTATGTTTATATGATTAAATATTTGTAAAGGACATTCTAAACTTGCCTAAAAATAATGATTCGGCTTCCATGCACCCATCAATGGCATACGAGTATGCATCTCTTCCACTCATATGGCTAAATAATAAGTGTTTGAATGCAATCATCAATAATGAAACAAATCATACCTGACACAAATGATTTGACATGTCAGTTGAAAGGTCATGGAAGCAAAGTCATAGAAAGTAAAAGTATCCTTCCATTTGCATGTTAACACAACTGAGTTAGTTTTCTAAATATGTTTGGATGAAAGGGTGAATTGCATGCAATAAACAGACACTGCAAACTATGTAAAAATGTAAAATAAATTCAAATTCACGTTTCAGGCTACACCGGAACAGCCGAAAAAGCCTAAAAAGAAGAAGCGACTCATAGCAGAGGAGGGACAGCCAGAATGGGTCAATTTCGCGCTCAAGCCAGTCCAAGCAGAGCCCAGACCAGTGGAAGCACAAGAAATGGAGACCGTGGATCTCAAACCGATTCCTGACGTGGACGAAGAAAGTCCCATTGAGGCAAAGCAAAAACCAGAAACACTTCAATGGGATTCTCTAGAGTTGAAACCGATTGAGAGCATGGATAGGCCTGTACTGGAGAAACCCACAGGCATTGATGCAAAACCCCTAAAAAAGAAAAAGAAACGCCCAAAGAAACCGGAAGGACCAGAAGAGGAAGAGACAAGTGACACAGAAAAATTGCCAGGAGACGAGCAGAAGCCAAGTGATGTCAGTGCCACGCCTGAGGTTTGTCGTGCTTTCAGCGTCTGTACAAAACTTAGACGGTCTATGAGTTGTATTTTTGAAGATTTTATAGTCCATTACCAATGGACCGGGTATTTGCATTAAAAACAGTGCGCTTGTACTGTATTTTTATTTTTGATGTGGTGGTGATGAAACATAACATTTGATCGCAATGATATTTTGCAACTCACGTTTGGAAATGTGCATATGATACTGATACCAAATGACACTAACAATCGAGCAATGCTTATCGTAAGTGAAGCTGTTGTTATTTTCAGGCTAGTTTTATCATTCATTTATCTTCGCGTTTCTTATTTCGTTGTGGTCGAAATGTAATTTTCTATTGATAATGTTCAACTGGTTGGAGGTTCGTAAATTGTATCGTAATGGTTCGGATTCAAAAACTCAGTAAACAAGTAATGGGAAATAAAACGAAGAAATGGCAAAGAGCCCACATCTGCTTTCGCGCAGCATGGGAGAGAAAGGGGAAATCTTTCTCCTATTTAGAGTTTAGCTTAATTCTATTCATTTCAGCACCGAGTCAGGAACCATCCGATCGTGACCTAATAGCTAATCATGAACATGATCAATGCCTGCAGGAATCGGATGACTCTAAGAAGCGTAAGCCGAAACGAATGCCTCCTGCGGACGAGGAAACTCCGGAGTGGCAGAGAGTGCAACTGAAACCCGCCAAACCCACCCAGAAAGGAACCGAGGATGACAGGGAGACGGTGACGCTCAAGCCGGTGGAGAAAATCGATGAAACAACGGTAGTTGATACTACATTAACAGAGGACACGACCATAACAACAATCGAAGAGGATATCACTGAGGAAAAGAAACGAAAGGATAAGAAAAAGAAACCAAAGCAACCAAAGCGTGAGAAGCCAGAGACTGAGGAAGTTGTCGTTGAAGTTCAAGAGTCCAGTGAAGTGATTTCAGATCAAGAGGAAACAGAGGAGACCATTGTCATGACAACAAAAACAAAGAAAAAGCCAAAAGACAAACCATTTGAAGAGGAAGTGCAAGAAGTTGACATAAATATACCGGATGATAAGGACATTGAAAAGGCAGACACAACGGAAGAATGGAGACGGAAGAAAGACAAGAAACCCAAAAGACCCAAAAAAGAAAAGCCAACGACAACAGAAGTGACTGAAACCACTGAGTTTGTTGAAATATCATCCGATCAAGAAGAGACAATTGAAGAGACAACAATGAACATGAAGACGAAGACAAAAGAGAAGCCCAAAGAGGGGCCTTTTGTAGAGGAACAAGCAGATACAAGTGAGATCGTAAAGGAAGAGCTTTCAAAGCGCGTGGAAAAAATTGATAAGACTCCGGCCACCGAACAAAAACCAGATGAAAAACCATTCGAAGAAGAAGTCCAGGAAGTTGACGTTGAGGTAGAAAAGAAGGACGAACTTCAAGAGGACGAAGTAGAGGAATGGAAAAGAAGAAAGGACAAAAATAAACCTAAAGGCCCGAAAACAAAGAAAGACAAACCTGAAAAAGAGATAACGACAGAAAAAAAGACAGATGTAAAAGAGATTGTGACCAAAGCAAGCTCTGAAGAAGACGAAGAAGAAGTAATCACAACTACAGTTACAACGCAAAAGAAAAAGTTGCCAAAAGACAAACCATTCGAGGAAGAACTGAAGGAAGTCGACATTCAGCAACCCGAAGAGGAGAAACTTGAACCAAAGGAAACACCAGAAGAGTGGAGACGTAAAAAGGACAAGAAAAAACGAAAACCAAAGAAGCCTGAAGCTGAAGAAACTGCTGCTGATGTTGCAGAAGAGTTGGCACCGACTAGACCGGAGCAGGTCAGAGCAGAGAGCAGTCTGACAGTTTTCGCCAACATTTTGGAGTGACACTAGCGTGTGTATAATAACTCACGATTTTCATATCATCGTATTTTTATGCGTAACAAATATCTAACCAATAAATAAGCAATGTACTTCAAATCTATAATTCGCAAGTACCTTATCAGATTTCCGACTATGCCATGGTGTGACGAGTCTAAGGCAAAAGTAAAATTAGGATAACTTCAAATCCGAGTAATGTAATATTATCTCCAAGAGAAATAAAACACAATACACAAAAACACTTGCAATACTGAGCCCTAATACAATGTCAATTATTTTTTAGCGCGATGCTTGTCTTTCCCTGACATAATGGAGGAACACTAATGTACTGCGTAGAAAAAAAGTATTGGTATCCCATAAATAAACAGGCAAGGGCAATGTCGATGGTTTTTATCGGTTGTTGCAAACCCATTCTTGATTGTGAGCCGAATGTTTCCCATAAACAATTACTTACTTATATAGCATGAGCTCTTCTTTCTCATCTACAAGACGTCCATTGGTGTAAAAGTAGAATTTGTAAAAACCTAAAATATGTTCAAAGCAGGATTGAAATAACTGATACCAGGTATGAAAGAAATCGCATATTTTTATCATTGTTATTATTAATTCAATTTTGTTCCCCAAACCGATTGCCTTTTATTTATCGAGAAAAAAAGTAATTTTCTCGATAATAATTTGCCGATAATTTGCCGTCTATTGTTCTTTCAATGGAATTGCAATAATGTGCAATGACTTTTTACACACGTTTTTTAAATCGTATTTATTTTTCTGATGTGATTAAAAAATGCAGTGCACTGATATGTATGACTGTATGTATGTTGATGACATCGATAACAGTTAAAGTATGCATGTTTTAACAACGGGAAACTCGTGTTGTTTTTAACAGGTGAGATGTATGAGAGTTGTGTAATATGTTAGGGCTGCTTAAATTTGTAGCATCAGCCCAACCGAAGCTTCTCATGACGATACTTATCAACCAGGTCGTTCAAGGACATTTGTTATCCCTAAACTACGAAAATGAAGTCATGAATATCAATGATCCAACAATAGTGTGTATCAACTATCAGTCAAAGTTATCTTGCGTGCTGATTGTTTCATAAAGTATGAATTCGGCTAATTCAAATTATTTTAAACATCACTGTATTCGATTCGCGCCCCTAACTGGAGTGTCTGGAGGGTGAAAGTTACATTTACCAAAATCACATTACATAGTGTTATGGTGGATGGCAACATTCAAACAACCGCAAATTTCGCCCCCCCCCCCCCCTTAATTCCTTTGCAATTGACCTATGTGTGTATGCGATTACAGAAAGTTCCGGTATCAGAAGAGGATGTCACATCAGAAGACATCACAGAGAAACCCACCGTCTTGCGCCAACCGGAGGAAATCGACCTCAAAGAAACCACAGAGCAAATGACCGTGCAGTCATTCGATGAAACCACCGTTACTGAGGAAACAACAACACAAGAAACAGTGGTTCTGGTTGAGGAAGATGAGGTTGCAGAGCAAGAAGACATAATTGCTGACACTACGATCACTAAAAAGAAGATGCCAGAGAAACCAGATATTCCTGAAGGGACAGACGAAAAGAGTGACTCTCCTGAGAAGCCATTTGAAGAAGAGGTGCAGGAAACAAATGTTAGCGTTCCCGAAGAGCAGCCATTAACCGAAGAACAGCCAGAAGTCTGGCAAAGAGGAAAACCCAAAAAGAAAAAGCCAAAACGTCCTGAAATACCGAAAGAAGCTCCAGAAGAAAGGCCGGATCAGAAACCAGAAGAGAAACAAGAGGACAAGCCCGAGGTTACCGACAAGAAGCCCTTCGAGGAAGAGGTCCAAGAGACCGACATTGGAATCGAAGATGATGAAAAAATCGCTGATGAACAGCCTGAGGTATGGCAAAGAGGCAAACCGAAAAAGAAGCCTAAGCGTCCTGCTGCTCCAAAAGAGGTTACTGATAAGTCAGAGGAAACGACAGAATTTGTTGAAAAATCGGAGGTAGAAGAAACACGTGAAGGAGCGGTAGAAGAGCAGCTCAAGGTGGACGTTATTGACAAGATTACACAAGAGGAAAGCGAGACTGAAGAAACTGAAGTTGTGACTGAAGTAAAACAAATTGAAAAGAAAAAGCAAGAGCGTGAACTGCCTAAACCTTCAGAGGAAACAAAACCACAAGAAGAGATCGAGGGACCGGACGCCCCAGATCAAAAAGCACTTCAAGATGAAGTCAAAGAAGCAGACGTTGACATAGCAGATGACCAAAAAGTCCATGAAGAACAACCAGAAATATGGCAAAGGGGTAAACCAAAAAAGAAGAAGCCGAAACGTCCTGAGGCTCCTGAGGTACGTGAAGAAAAGCCAGAGACCCCTGAAGAAGCTCCAGAGGCGAAACATGAGGTGCCCGTACAAAAGGAGGATAAGCCTGAATCTCCGCAGGACAAACCACTGGAAGAGGAGGTCCAGGAAGTGGATGTAGATGTAAAAGAAGAAAAAGAGATAATTCAAGAAGAAGAGGTGTGGCAGAGAGGCAAACCGAAAAAGAAGAAGCCGAAGCGTCCTGAGGCTCCTAAAGCACCCGAAGAAAAGCCGGAAAAGCCTGAGGAAGTTCTTGAGACGACACCTGAGGCGCCTATGCAAAAGGACGATAAGCCTGATTCTCCGCTAGACAAACCACTGGAAGAGGAGGTCCAGGAAGTAGATGTAGATGTTAAGGAAGAAGAGCAGATTATTAAAGAAGAAGAAGAAGAGGTGTGGCAGAGAGGCAAACCGAAAAAGAAAAAACCAAGGCGTCCTGAGGCTCCTAAGGCACCCGAAGAAAAGCCGGAAAAGCCTGAGGAAGATCTCGAGGCGACACCTGAAATGCCTGTACAAAAGGAGGATAAGCCTGAATCTCCGGTAGATAAACCAGTAGAAGAGGAGGTTCAGGAAGTGGAGGTAGATGTTAAAGAAGAAGAGCAGGTTATTAAAGAAGAAGAAGAAGAGGTGTGGCAGAGAGGCAAACCGAAAAAGAAAAAGCCAAAGCGTCCTGAGGCTCCTAAGGCACCCGAAGAAAAGCCGGAAAAGCCTGAGGAAGATCTCGAGGCGACACCTGAGATGCCTGTACAAAAGGAGGAAAAGCCTGAATCTCCAGCAGACAAACCAGTAGAAGAGGAGGTTCAGGAAAAGGAGGTAGATGTTAAAGAAGAAGAGCAGGTTATTAAAGAAGAAGAAGAGGTGTGGCAGAGAGGAAAACCGAAAAAGAAAAAGCCAAAGCGTCCGGAGGCTCCTAAGGCACTCGAAGAAAAGCCTAAAAAGTCTGAGGAAGATCTCGAGACATCTGAGATGCCTGTACAAAAGGAGGAAAAGCCTGAATCTCCGGTAGACAAACCAGTAGAAGAGGAGGTTCAGGAAGTGGAGAAAGATGTTAAAGAAGAAGAGCAGGTTATTAAAGAAGAAGAGGTGTGGCAGAGAGGTAAACCAAAAAAGAAGAAGCCGAAACGTCCTGAGGAACCACAGGTGCCCGAGGAAAAGCCAGAATCACAGGTGCCCGAGGAAAAGCCAGAGACCCCTGAAGAAGCTCCGGAGACGAAAGATGAGGTGCCCGTACGACAGGAGGATCAACCTGAATCTTCGCACGACAAACCACTGGAAGAGGAGGTTCAGGAAGTGGACGTTGATGTTAGAGAAGAACAGGAAATAATTCAAGAAGAAGAGGTGTGGCAGAGAGGCAAACCAAAGAAGAAGAAGTCAAAGCATCCTGAGGCTCCTAAGGCATCCGAAGAAAAGCCAGGAAAACCTGAGGAAGTTCTGGAGACAACACCTGAAATGCCCATACAAAAGGAGGATAAGCCTGAATCTCCGCTAGACAAACCACTGGAAGAGGAGGTTAAGGAAGTGGATGTAGATGTTAGGGAAGAAGAGATAATTCAGGAAGAAGAAATGTGGCAGAGAGGTAAACCGAAAAAGAAGAAGCCGAAGCGTCCTGAGGCTCCTAAGGCACCCGAAGAAAAACTGGAAATGCCTGATGAAATTCTGGAGACGACACCCGCGGTGCCTATACAAAAGGAGGATAAGCCTGAATCTCCGCAAGACAAACCACTGGAAGAGGAGGTTCAGGAAGTGGTTGTAGATGCTAAAGAAGAAGAGGAGATAATTCAGGAAGAAGAAGTGTGGCAGAGAGGTAAACCGAAAAAGAAGAAGCCGAAGCGTCCTGAGGCTCCTAAGGCACCCGAAGAAAAACCGGAAAAGCCTGATGAAATTCTGGAGACGACACCTGAGGCGCCTTTACAAAAGGAGGATAAGCCTGAATCTCCGGTAGACAAACCACTGGAAGAGGAGGTTCAGGAAGTAGATGTGGATGTTAAAGAAGAGCAGATTATTGAAGAAGAAGAAGAGGTGTGGCAGAGAAGCAAGCCGAAAAAGAAGAAGCCGAAACGTTCTGAGGTACCTGAGGTACCCGAGAAAAAGCCTGAAGCCCCTGAAGAGGTTCCAGAGACAACACCTCGGGTGCCTGAAGAAAAGGAGGAGAAGCCTGAATCTCCGCAAGACAAACCACTGGAAGAGGAGGTTCAGGAAGTAGATATGGATGTTAAAGAAGAGGAGCAGATTACTAAAGAACAAGGAGAGGTGTGGCAGAGAGGTAAGCCGAAAAAGAAGAAACCGAAACGACCTGAGGCTCCTAAGGCACCCGAGGAAGAGATAGAAAGGCCCGAGGAAGTTCTTGAGACGAAACCTGAAGTCCTAAGTAAGCCACAGGAAGCACCAAAGGCTCCTGAAGAAAGGCCATTAGAAGAGGAGAGTAAAGAGGAAGACACTACGGTTTCTGGAGATCAACCAATAGTTGAAGAACAGCCTGAAGTGTGGAAGAGAGAAAAGAAAAAGAAACCGAAGAAGCCGAAACATACTGAACAAGCAGCACCGGTAAGTCGGGTTTTGATGGTTTGACGCTCATTTCGCGCAACATGATTCCAATTTTTATACATCAATACGTAAATATATAAAAAAATAACAAACAAAAGTCACGAGCATTCGGTGTTATCTGCTAGTATAATCTGTTCAAAATTGTGTTTTGCGCAATTAATCACACTTATAGCATTTCATTAAGGTGCAGCCAAAGAGCTCTGCAAATTTAAGTCTGCAGAGCTCCATGTGCAGCATATTTCCCGAACACGCACTGTTAGGCAAAAAGTAAGACGATTTTAACGATGTTTTGGTTGTTTCAGGATGAAGTTCCCGCTGAAGACATTCCACTGGATGAAGACGTGATTCCAGAGGCTCCCACTACTGAGAAGCCTGAAGATGAAAAGCCAAAAGAAATCAAGAAACCGGAAGATGATAAGCCTGAGTGGCAAGAGGCTAAATTAAAACCAACCAAGAAGCCCAAGCAGTTACCAAAACAGCCCGAGGAACAGTTGGAGCAGGTTCAGCTAAAGCCAGTCAAGAAGCCCGAGGAACTAGAGAAGGTCGAGGTTGAGGAAGTCCAGGTGACTACCATAAAGCAAAAGTTTAAGGAAAGGAAGCCAAAGCAGCCAGACCAAGAAGTCGAAGAACTGCCAATAGAAAAATTAGACGAGGTATTTTTGTCCGAGATGAGTGCTCGGATGCACACTGCTGTAACTCAAATGGTGACTGACATGTTTTAGCTAACAATGAATGAATGATTGATTTCGTATATGTTACTTTTAAAACGTTGATTACGCTGACGATTTTACCAGCGTTAAATTTTTTGTGTGTTTATTTCAACGAGTGCCACTTTGTATGCAGCTGTGTGGCTAACATCTGTGATTCATGTTTTTTTCTCGTTTGAAGTGTTCTTCATGTATTTTACATTGTATTATATCGAACCACTTTTACAGCAGGCCCACTGCAACATGTTAACAATGTGATAACAACATGCATACCTGCCCCACCAACAACCGTCTCTCAAACATCGGTGACTAACTACGCTGGTCGACTTTGATCAGCTGCTGATCGCCATGTGACTAAAAATGTTGCAGAGCAAAACGTCTAATTCATTTACTAATTGTTCGTTATGCGCGTTTTTTTTTTTACCAACTTGCCAACACTGGAGCTACTACCTACTAGTTCACATAATTCGAATTCTTCTCAGCCTCCTCATTTTTAATTGTCGCTTCACCAATCACTCGTAAAAGGTTAAATGCATACAAGCTCCATCTGTAAGTCTATCGATAGCTAGCCACCTGTCATATAATGTCTCTAAAGTCTGTCTCCCAGTTCCAAGTACTTATGGTGTTTGCTCAAACACTGCGGACGCGTCTCTGAGCTTCCACCTGGGTGACACAGGAGACGGCGCGGCGCAAGATCAGCACGCTGGAGGCGTTCACACAGGAGGAGATCACCGTCGGCATGAGCGTGGACGAGGTGCGCCAGTTCATCGTGGAGCGCGAGACCGCCGAGCGCAAACTCTCCGAGGTGACGGCGCCCGTGGTGCAGGAGATCACTCCCGAGCTGCTGGAGCAGGAGCTCAAAAAGGTTACCGCTGAAAAGGTGAGGCACTCGGAACAGAGCAACACACAAAATTTACCCCCAGTCATAAAGGCTTGTGAAAGTTTGAAAAGAAATGTTATTTCCTTGGCGAATGATAGTCATACCAAAAGAAAACAATAAATATGTCAAAAGACCTTAACAAGGGCACAACGGTTACAATGTTGCGAATCCCTTATGATAAGAAAAGATCATCTGACACTGAAACATCGGACAAAAACGAAAAGCACCATTCCAATGCCGATTGATAGGCAAGTCACGGCTCCCGTCCCCTCAGGTTGTGGCAGAGACCAAGCTGGCAGTGATGCAGTCCTACACTGTGAACGAGATCACTCCACAGACCACGGTGGATGAGCTGAAGGCCTTCGTCGACGAACGGGTAAGCGACAAACTATAACAAGAGGAATTAATGTCTGGTTGCGTTGCGCATTCATACTGCTATAAAACAGTAAATACTTTCGGCCAGACAATCATTACTTGATGGCTCTAGAACACAACACACGCTGTTTTTATCATCCACCAAAGCATCCACAAACCACCCTTATTCATAAAAATCCCCGTTCCTTGCCAAAATCTATGAAACCCCGAAGTTAAAGCAATACGAGCTTTCTACAGGAGAACGGACACCATCCATCTTACATTGCGGAGACCGGCACATGACTATCGAACGTGTGTCTGTGACCCTGCAGCACGAGGCCGAGCAGGTGTGGACCACTGTCGAGACGCTGGAGATTGTCGAGCCGGCGCAGCAGCACATCGCCGAGGAGATCAAACAGATCAAACAGGACTGCGCCGTGGCCGAGGTGAAACTCGACCTCACCGAGGGCTTCCAGGTGCAGGAGCTGCGGCCCGAGCTCACCACCGACCAGCTGGAGACGTTCATCACTGAACGGGTCAGTGGTGCAGACCGAGCGGCTTCAGTGGTGGAGGGCAAGGGTTGGTGACGGAGACAGAGGGTTGGTGACTGGAACTGAGGCTTAGTGACAGAGATGGAGGGTTCTGGGTTAGTGACAGAGACCGAGGGGAAGGTCAGTGGTGAAGACCGAGGGTTAATAACGGAGGCGGAGTAGTAGTTGCGAAGACTTTGAAGACCGAGCTCAGCGTTGTAGACCATGGGCTGGTACTGATCTGCTAGTTAGTTAGTAAGTTAGTTAGTTAGTTAGTTAGCTAGTTAGTTAGTAACTGTTACGAACTGAATCAAAAATTGTAGCCTACATGACAATTCTCTTTTCCCTACAATCTCGCTGACACCATTTCCACTTCTACCAGCGTGACGCGCAGCGGCGCATCTCCACGGTGGAGTCGCTGGCCGTGCAGGAGGCTGCGCCCGAGGAGGTGGCCAAGGACCTGACGCAGCTGCTCACCGTGGAGGAGAAGTCGGCCAAGATCAAGCTGGACCTGCTCAACACCTACTCGGTGCAGGAGGTCACCACCGACACCACGGCAGAGGAGACCAAGACGTTCATCGAGGAGCGGGTACGCAGGCAGCCTGACGAGACTGGACAGCGATACACTCCCTTGTAGTCTGTTTTAGCCCATGGCATTGTTTTTAAAGGTACAAAAATAAAACTTGGAATAAGCTCATCTTGCTTCAAGTCATCATCACTAGGTATCAAAGCAATAATAACATTGAACGATGCAGCTGACGCTCAACCATGTCCTGTCACGACAGCCTCAAAGAAGTGTTACTGACTTGGCTTCTTCTGCCGGCAGCATGAGGCTGAGCAGGTGCTGACTACGGCACTCCAGACGGTGGAATCGACCGAGGTCAGTCCGGCCTTCGTCACGTCCGAGATCGAGCACATCCGCACGGAGAAGGTGCAGGCGCTCCAGCACCTGCAGGAGGTCCAGCCACAGGCCGTCCAAGAGATGGAGACTCTCCTGCAGACCACAGTCGAACTCAAAAAGTTCAAGGTTCGTGCTGGGTGTGTGAGGGCTGTGGCGTAACATATCGAACAGCTCCAAGGGTCCCGTGGATGCCTGTTCCGTGTAGCATTTTTGGTTTCTTCCTTCTAATTTCCACCATGAGCTACGCACGATGAAAGATAATCATCACACAGCATCGCTTCATCTTTACCAGCTTCAGGGTACTACTTTGTGTCTAGCTGAATTCATTCTAATAAGTACTAATTATGTGTTGTGTAATTGTGTACAAAGTTTTCTAACGGCTGTGATGTTACTTTTATTTTCTTTATGTTATGTCTCCTAAGTTGATGTGTCACTTTTTCGTTTTATTTCATTCGTTACATCCCTTGTGAAATAACACAAACGAGCGGGTTTATTTTCTACCTGTATTTTCAAACTTAACCCCTATCAGTTCAACAAACCCTTCCACTATGTGTTGTCTAAGCCTTACAATTCAAAGTGACTAACAGCGTGTGATGTCGGTTCCGCGACAGAACCTCTTCTGGGACTACTTCTATGGAACTGTGACCGTTGCCTACACCATCTACTTGCCGCCCGAGGGCAGCAATGAGCACTTCCGTATCGAACCGGTAGAGGGCTACAGCCCTCCCATTAGTCCACGCTAGAGCACAGCCGAGCAAAACGCCCAGGCCAATATCTCTTGCTCGAATGATATTAATGTTTAGTGTAATTCGCAATCAGTTTGAGATGTTCCAAAGTGTTATCCAGCTTCAAGTGATTTGCGACAAACGGAGTTTTAGCTAGACTATTGTTTATGATGAATTTCACAATGGCAGTGTATGTCTTTGTGAGAATAAACCAAATATAAAAGTAACTTGTCTAACTACAAAACACTACATCCCGATGTTTCACGCAACGGAGCAACAACCAAGTACGTGATTAATTGTTTCACATTTGCAGCTTTTAGTCGATTCACGTAGTTTTCGGATGACTGAGCTTTGGTCGTATTCCCACATAGACATACCCTGCAGAATGCTTAGCCGTCGCAATTCTAACAGGTCGATAGTTAGCCTAGAATGGCTACTTGTCGCTACTTGATGCTTTGCTGGTGTCACCCTTATTCGTAGCACCGACGAAGCCTTCATAATTATGCAGAGGTTCTCAAGGAGACATTCAAGCTTTTGACTTTGTGACCCAATGGTCAATAACAGTAATACAGTGTTCACCCCTTCAGAACTCTGCTACTATCTCGTTGCACACCGTCATTTTCAGGTTTGCCTTCGCATTGGTTTATTTGTGGTCATAAATATGCGTCTAACAATACATCCAATAAAGGTACTTCAAAACCAGTATCCAACTCAAATTCAAATGCTCAAATTCAAACATTCACTTAGTACTAAACTTGTGACAAAAAATAACAAAATCACAGTTCTTCGGATCAGTGAATGTCCCTTGGAGACCTTCTAAGAGTCATTTGCCTGAAGTGCCAAACCAAACGAAGCAATTGAAATGTAAGGCAAATGTGGTGCCTCGCATCGTTTTAATGAGTGAACGGTAATCATTTTTAGAAGCTGTTTCAGTCACGTGAGTCCAAAAAATAGTGTGTATCGCGCCAGCTAACCCCTCGTGTAGATGTGCATTGTTAGTTGGTTGTATGAGAAGCGTAGCATCCTCCTCTATAGTATTAGCTTCACCAGCGTGCCCAGAACCTCTCACACGTCGCGGGTATCTACTAACTATTCCAGGGAGATAACCCAAGCCCGCGGAGAACCTACACTCTGCTCTCGCGCTACACATGACAACGTTCTGTTTTACCAAAAATGAGCAGCGTAGGCATGCTATTTGATCAGCTCAGGTTGCCTCAATCATCACATGAGGCATTGCGGGCACATGCCATCTGCAGCGAATAGCCCTTTACTCAGCTAACGTGCAACATGTTTTCAGTATGTGACGGAACTGGCAAAGGAAACATCCGAGGCGACTACAGAGAAGGTCACTGCCACCAAAACCGAGACAACTGTGAAAGGTACGTAACGAGCTGCGTAAGTCGAATGCTACCAAAATCCCACCTAGATACGGCCGGCGTTCACGAGCTAATGCATGTACCGTGGCGCCAACAACCCTTGATTTCCTGCTGGCCCCAATACTATGCATGGAAATACGCTCCTTTTGCGCTTATAGGCTGAGCGTTTGCTTTTACACTTCAGCGTTTAGTTCTCCTCCGTCGCATGTTACCTGCCTTTTTCGATGCACGTTCGAATATTATTCTGCGTTGTAGTTCAATTTTGGTTGTATTGCAACACGACGTGAATTTAATTATTTGTTCGCTTGGGCCACAAGCAATGTTTATTTCCTTTTGCTCATTATTTGTATAAAGGAGCGGAGCACTTTAGCTTCGTAGCAAACCATTCCTTTAGTACCCCTGTTTTATTTTTGGCTTGCTTTGTTTTGTTTTGGTCTACTTTTGTTTTGAGTGCTCCATTGTGCTGCCCTCCCATTAGCTAGCTGTCCCGCCTGACCCCGCGTGACCCTGCTCTGTCCGTCCAGTGTATGCGACCTGCCCGGCTGCCGTGACCTGCAGTGACCTGGCTGAGCTGCTGTCGGAGTCTGTGTGTGACCCGTCAGCGACCCTGCGAGAAGGCAGCGCCGACCGCCGCCTGTCCCCGCTCCCCTGTGTGCTGGAGAGGGAGGAAAAGACGTCGTTCCGTACCCTTGTGTCAATGGCAGCGACATATTCAACAGTCCACTGCAGTCCATAACCGGTCACTGTCTAGTGTCTAAAGACAGTAGCTGTGTTGGTCCGGCCGTGCACAGTGGACACAGTCGTGGCGCACAGCGGACGAAATGCGGCGCGATATATCCAGCTGCAGTCAGACGTCCAGTGAAGTTTAGGTTCCCTTGATGAACTCGGCTAGCAATGAGTCAGTGATGAATGTTAAATGAATGGTAGTTCGAGGAAGTTCGTATGTTTTATGTTTCGCGTGCCTGTTTCGTTAGATTAGTTATAGATTGTATGACTATAAACTGCCAAGGTTCAGATGAAGGATACATATTTGAACAAAACATTCCGCAGCTTCGTATTTACAACCGCCTTACAGGCGCCCCCAATAACTCGACTGCAACGCATAATGCTCGTGTCGGTACATTTTATAAATAAATTGAAAAGAATGCGATGTCTTTTTTTCAAACCCATACAATGAATCATGTAGAGCTCGCCGCCAGCCACACGATCACAACTTCACAAACTCTGCCGTTTCCAGACAAGAAAAAGAAGCTGAAGCCGCGGACTGCTTCCGTAGAGCGTCTGCCAGGTTCGAGCCTCGTGTCACTTCGCTATGTTTCGCTCTGTCTAATATATCGCTCAGCGTGGGGCGACCTCTTCTTCTGTCTCTGTCGCCGCTCTTTCGGTCTCTGCCGCCGCTCTCTAAAGTCTCTGTCTCTGACTCTGCCGGTGCCATCTGTCCCCACTCTTCCCGCTCACGACCGCGGCCGGTGTGCCGCGAAACTCATCAAACTCACTAAGCACGCAGCGCTCACCGGGTTCGCTGACCTCTGCGGAGAGGTAACCTAACGAAACTCACCGTGACTCCATGTGACCTAACATCACTCACGATGCAATCTAACAGGTCATCTACTCTTCAGCGTCAGTTCATGACAGTGGCGTTCGTGCGATGCCCCAACAGTTCACTCTCTTGGAAATATCTGTCTTTTTTCTTTCCAGTCATCCATGTCTCCGAATCTTTCTGGCATCTGCTTTGTGAAGGCATTTTCCGCTGACCTGACAAGGCTAACGCTTTTCTGACCGGTTTCAAGCATCCTTCGACGTAATGAATAAATTAACCGGTCGCTGAGCGAATACGACTGCAGCGCCAATAAACTACCGCTTTGAATGTACTTATAACCATGTGACGTAACTCAACACGCAATGCAACAAATAATTGAGCATGTCAGGTAACGCTAACTGTGACAATTGTTGATTGTTGAGTGTAATGCTGAGGGCACTTTGCGCTAAGCAAGCAGCCTCTAATGGTGCTTAAATTACGATTCAGAGCAAGTAGTTCAGCGATGCTGAATGCATTAGCCATACTGCCCCAAGCATTACAATCAACAAATGTATTCATCGTTTATTATTGAATTAGATGTCATGTTCGTCTTGGTAGACGGTAACGTAAAACTTTTGATAAATACCAGTCTGTTAGCTTGCCAGATACATGAGAGTTGTGTCGAAGGACTCGATTCTTTTTATGTAACAACTCTTTCGCCTTTGATTTTCATTGTTCGTATTTTTTTACCTCTGCTCTCTGGTTTGACCTCTATGACCATTTTTTATGCGCATCGAATTGCATTTTTGAAATGAGCGTAATGCCGTCATAGTTAGGTATTGCCGAGTGCTCTGTGTTTGTATTCATGTCATCCGATGAAACGGATGTGTAAATATGAAATAAACGGGAGTCGTCGAAACACAATCCACGAAAACCGGCAAACCGTCAAGTCATCGTCAAGATATCGATTAAACCGGACCTAAACAAGATAATCACAAGACTAAACCAGAGATAACACATGTGGCCGTAAACTCACAGCTCACTCCTTGCGCTCGCCTCTCTTTCACTGTCTCACTCTTTCCTTTGCCTAACCTGCCGATTTCTGAACACTCCTTGCCTTACTGAATTTGGTATGGGGATTTTTCATGTGGTGATTTTGTACTAAAATCACTTCGCCGTGCTGCTGTCACGTGGCTGTAGAGCACCGCTCACGTTGTATGCTGTTTTGTATATTTCTGCAAATGTGTGTAAATATGCTTAATGCAGTCTGCTCGAGAAAGTGAACGCAAGGCAACAACTATTCATGGAGTCAGTGTATTTGTAGTGTGCCAATCGATAATTGACAACAAACATGTTGCAGATAACTTCAGGACAACTTTAATCGCAAAAGGATTATCATTGACAGTTTCTCGAGCAGATTCAAACACATAATCACGATGTTCTTTGTACTAACGATTGTTGTGAGTGCTTACATATTTTGTCTGCTTTCCTCAGCACTGAAGGTCAGATACACATCCGAACCAATCACGCAGTTGCTGCAAAAAAAAATCATACTTAAGTGCGATTTAAGTATTTGTTTACATCACACAGAAGTTTACGTCATTTGCAAAATATAAATAAAATATCAACGAAACAAAAAAAACGATCATGCATAATGCATATATCTACTGAACTTTGTAACAAATCTTCTCAGCAAGGTGCACTTTTGCTTAAAAATAGGGCCAAACATTTGCTTTGTTTTTTTCCATATTTTGTGTAACAAAACACTAAGTTGCATATTAATGTTTTTGAAACCTTCAACCACCACACCACAATACATACTCTTCGTTTTCTTCTGTCTGTGCATAGCGTCTTTGTTTTCTTGCCGTTGAGCGTTGTTTCGTGTGACTTGAAACGGCTTTCATTGAGTCGTAACACATGCGGAAGACCAGTGGTTCCAAGTCTTCTCTTGTCAGAGAAAGAGCAATATGTTCAAGTACATATAAAATTTTAAGTTTTTTTCAAAGACCCATAAAAGCAAACAATGACTGCTAACTACCAGTCGCAAACCCATAAGAAATCGAGACACGTTTACAAAAAAGAGGTAACTATATCAAGATTATTCCGTCCGAAACAATTCAGATTCCGATGCTTAATTTCTACTTTTTCCTTGTTTTTCTGTTCTGTGACTTATATAAAATTGACTTGGAACCTGGTCATCATGCATGCAACACTGAGAAAAGGGCGACTGGGCACAGGAGCGCACTGGCCAGAGCTGAAATCTAAACCTCTTTATTGGTAACGTTCGTAATTGATAAAGATGTGCATAATCCGCTACCATGTGGTTACCGACGTAACGTACTTACCCGAAGCCTGCCGCCAGCTCCGCTGAACGTGCCCAGTCCGGCTCCGTGCTGCAGACGTGCCGTTTTAACTCTGTAACATAAACCAATAAATCGATAATCAACACACAACCTAAACGACGAATCAAAGCATTGTTATCGCTCGCAAGACACCAAACAGGGGAACACAACAAGACCACAAACAGCACATACATGCACATTGCACAGACACTTGTTATGAACGGCAGAGGCATTATGCATCCAAATTTCCGAGGAGAGACTTTTAACGATCGGTCAGACCAAAAAAAAAATTAAACAAACGCTCAAAGAGATTTTCACACAAGATTTAGAGAAAAATTTCTAACCAGAGAGTAAAACTAAGTTAAAAAGGAGTGAAAGAAAAATATTAGGTAATTATTTAACTTCCTTTAAATTATAATGCCGATCACCTTAAGCCTCTAAACAACTACTTCATCTCATCAAGTGACTTATGAATTATGATCCAAATACTTTGCAACGTAGATATAACTTGCAGGGCAGATCAAGTCTCATCATCAGTATTTCATTGTGATTGGGATAAAACAAGCAAAAAGACACAGTCATCATTAGATATTATACGAGGACATTCTACAAATGCACAAGCAGCAGCACATATTACAACACAAAATACGGCTCACGAGGTGAACTCTAAACTGGAGTGTAATGCGGTGCCTTCCTATGACTGTGCTCAATATCTTAAGTGTACACTGCGTGTGCTCTTGTATCCTCATTCTGACATTTTGTCTTTCTTGCCGTTCATTTTTGCGAATTTGACTGACGGCGGTTGTGAATGACTTATAATTATGAAAGCGAAGCTCCTCGAACTGAAACAGCAATGCCATGATTTTTGTGAGATGCTATTTTTTCAGCAAGATGGTGAATGCTTTCCACACTTCCTCCTTACATGTGCATGTTACTAACATTACATATATCAGAATCGCTACGTCCTTCGTCGACCCTCAATATGTATCTCAATTAACGGGCCAAAAACCACCCACGTCTAGACCTGCTTAGTTGTATTAAAGTCCCTAGCATTCCCAAATATAAATAATGTAAATGTCAGAAAGTATTAAACCCTCCCTGCTGGTTAGATGCACCATAAGCATGAAGCATGTCCCTTACCAAAACCCGGCCTTGCAGAATTCCCGATCGAAGACGTCGAAGAAGTTAGCATCAAAGACGAAAGGCCAGTTTCTCCAACACCTGCCATCGACAAATCGGACGCAGTCCAAGTGAGCCAGATAATACCCCAGGAAGAGACAGAGGGTGAGACCGATAAGCTAAAGGTGGTCACTGGCGAAGGTAAGTCGGTGACAGAGCTGCGTCGAGAACATGTTGTCACGGTGGAGACCGTCCAAAGCGAAGAGTCGGTGGAAAGTGTTCCCGACAAAAAGCCGAAAACGGATGCGGCTCGTGTTTCACTCAAAGGACAAGAACCGATTCAGGTGGAAGAAACTCTCCCAGAGGAGACATCAATCCCTCAAGACAAAGAAAAGCCGATTAGAAGAGAAACTACAGAAACCAGCATAGTGACAGTTCAAAGAAAAGCGCCCGAAGTGCAGGCAGTCAGCACAGGTGATGCAGCGGAAGAAATTAAGTTGCAAAAACTTCCAGAGGATAGCGCTAAGCCATCAGTAGTTCTACAAGAGTCCATTCAAGTAACTAAGCAGCATCTGGAAGAAAATGTCGTTGAGACAGGAAAGCTTCCAATGGATGAGAAGAAAACCAAGGTTTCCAGCGTGTTGACAGATATGCAGGCACCCGAAGTAGAGGCCACTATTCCAGAGGAAACTACAGACAGAGTTTGCGTCGAAAAACCCAAAACCCACAGCGGCAAGATCAGCGTTAGCCCTCATGAGGCCATCGAAGTGACATCAGCGCAGGTGGACGAGGGCGCGGAAGAGCATGAAGAGGTAAAAGTTAGAGACACACAACAAACCAATGTCACCCAAGTGATTATGGCGCGAAATGTGCCGGAAGTCCAAGAAACGCAACCAAAAGAAACCACAAAGGAAGTGAAACCGTTGGACATGACGGAAAATGTTGCCCAAGAAATATTAAAACCATTAGTACCCGTGGAAGTTATAGAAACAACAACAGAAGAATCGTCTCAAGAATCCAAAGAAAATCTTATCATGGACGTGAAAGAATCAAAAACATCTACTGTTGTTCGGGATATGAGAGCACCCGAAATCACTGGAGTAGAGGCAGATGAAACCGCTGAGACAACAGATCATCCACAGCCTAAACACAGCAAGGCTGGTATCGACTTGAGCCCGCAAGAACCGGTTGAAGTACAAACAGCCCAGCCTGACGAGCAGGTCATCGCGAAGCCGAAGGAACAGCGTGACGAGCAACAGACAAGTGTCACCCAAGTTACAAGTGAAAGGCTTGCTCCACAAGTGACGGACGTCACAACAAAGGATGATGTTGGCAGCGTGAAAGAGTTCACCAGCAGTCCGGTAGAAGCGCTGATCACACTGAAACCTGAGCAGCCGTTAGAGATATCTGAAACAACTACTGAAGAAATCACAACGGAAAGCGGTGACAAGTTGATTATGGACGCAAAGACTCCTCAAATGACCACTACAATTACTGAGATGCGATTGCCGGAAGTGGAAGAGCTCCTTCCTAAATCCAGCACAGACATAATCGCAGACTTCGTTGCTCAGAGAGACTCTGCTGTGATTGACATAATAAAACAAGAACCAGTGAATATCACGGAAACTATTACAGAGCAAAGCTCTGAGGACTTTATGAGTAAATTGGTGATGAATGAGAAAACATCTTCATCCTCCACTGTAATCCAAGACATGCGCGCACCTCAAGTGCAGGAGATTCAGCAAAAAGAAAGCGTCGGAGATGTCGCTGAATACTCCCCACACGAAGAATCAGCGGACACCGAGATGGTCACGCTTGAAACAATAACAACGAGCGAAACTGAGACGACAGAGATGTCTGAAGACACAACGCTGACTCTAGAAGCTACCACATGCACTAGTGAGCAGAGAACTGTTCTAGGGGACCGAAAGGCTCCAGAGACGGCCGAGGTGGTTCTGAAAGACACTGTGTCAGATGTGGAGAAGTTGGACATGGTTGATGATAAGGCTGTGCCCTTAATAAACCCTCAGAGTTCAATCTTTATTGAGGAAGTGGTGCCAACGGAGACCGAAGCCTCGTCAAAGGAAACCAAGCCAACTTCCTTCGTTGCGAAGATGGATGTAACCAGTCAGAAAGCTGTAGAAGTCACTGAAACAAAAACAACGGACAATGAAGAAGCACTTATTATTGAGGATGCACCTAGGAAAACAGCCAAGAAAGAGACCCCTGAAAACCGTTCGCTTCAAGTAACTGAGATAGATTCAAATGAAGCACCAGTCGAAACACCAGACTTTACGACATCTACAGAGACAGCTAAGACCGAAGTTACGATATCAAAATCTGTTGTTACATCGGATGTTGCTGCTATAGACACCATTGAAGAATTTGACGAAGAAACTATCAGAAAAACAAGTGCCCAGCCTACATTTGATGAACAGGTCACTGTTGACGTCACAAGCTCAGAAATCCTGGAAACTGAAGGTGAAATGGCGCATTCAGTCACACCAGATACAAAGAAGGCAAAGCACATCATGTCAGAAATTATCGCTTTAACTACAGAAGAAAATGTCACGGATGAGAACATTGGAGATGTTGCTGAGGCAGAAACGCCACAAAAACGAGCACATCTACGTCTCTTACCCGTTGAGGGTCTTGAAGTTACTGCACAAGAGACGAGTGGAATCACTAAAGATTTTATTAAACCGGATGTTGGCAGCCAGCTCGCTGACGTTGAAATGGTGCCGATGCAGTCAGTGAGTGTTACGGAGACAGAGTCCGGTGGCATGGAAGCCCCTCTGCAGGAGTTTACTAAAGCACAGCAACAGCAAGGTGATACAGTCCTTCCCGAGTCCACTCCAGTTCAAGTCCAGTTGACTGAAGTATCTGAAGTTGAAACTGCTTTTGAAGAAAAGGTTACTCCAAGAGCTGAGCAAGCTGAAACGGGCATGCTGCCTCAACGAGGCATCACCACCACTGAAACGGGCACCTCCGAGACTCCTGAGACATTTGATACGAAACCAGAACAAACGGTTGTCGGGCATGTCAAAATGGAAGAGATGGCAGGCGTAGAAATTGCTGAAGCCGATACACAGGACGCCGAACAAACGCTTGAGGAGAAGAAACCCGTAACCGACAAAGCAAGCATTGGCATTGACACATCGAAGGCAGTTAACGTCACAGAAGAATTGACCAAAGAAAGTGAATCATTCCTTAAACCAGAGGAAATTCCGAAACAGCAAAAGCCACAGACTTCGGTGACGTCACTTGATGAGGTTCAGGTTACTGAAAATCAACAAATGCTCTCCGAAGAAATCTTAGAATCTCGTGAACAGCCGCGCAGCGAAGAAGCTGTCGTACAACTGAACCAGCAGCTGAGAGTGATAACGAAGACAGAGACAGATGCTTTTCATTCAGAGTCAACCTTCACAGATGAAATTAAATCTGAGCAAGCTACTGTTGAGTTTACAAAGAACCAAAGCATTGTCGTTTCGGGTGCTGAAGAATTCGCTTCTGAAGATATACTTCAGCATGAGCGGCTACCGAAGACACAGTTGGCATCTATGGATGTAGACTCAATTCAGGCTGTAGAAATTCAACAGACTGAAGTGGTGGAACATCCAGCAACACTTCCAGACAAAGAGGCCCCAAAGCCTAAGATCGCCATCATTGAGCTAGACAGTCATTCCGTTCCAATGATGCAAGAAACTGTAAATTTGCAGACAGAAGAAATGTTGCCAGAAGACGCAAAGCCAAAGTCGCAAGCTGCAGATGAGAAAATGGAAAACTTCGAAACTGTCTTCACTACTTCTGATGTAGTTATGCAGAAAGAGGATGCATTCGAAGAGAAAGATGTAAGTTGCAATCAGGCCAATATGGATATTCAACCCCTCGAGCCGACTCAAATGACTGAAACTGAGGTGCTCCAATCAGAACAACCAATGGAAGAATACGAAAAGCCAACCATTCGAGATGCTAAAACTGACTTGACGCCCCACCTCAAGATCGCCGTTGAGAGCAATGATATTCCCATGTCGAAAGAAGAAACTATTCAAGAAGACAAGCCAAATACAGATACCGTTACGGTATCAGTTTTGGAATCAAAGAGCGTTTCTGTCCAGGAGACTGCAGTGAATGAGACGGAAGACAGCCTCTTGGAGGACAGGAAACCAAAAGCAATGGAAGCGTCACTGACCGTTGCTGAAAATGAGCCTATTACCGTTGAACTGGCAGACACATATTACGGAGAGTCCCAGATGAACGACTTCAAACGACCACAGATGTCTGAGGCGTCTCAGACCCTTATAACGTCAGAGGGCATTGGTGTTGAGGAGACCGGTGCAGTGGAGGCTGAGGAAGAATTCGCCAAATTTAGAAAACCGCGCTCCGAAAACGCAGCAGTTGACGTGACGCACTCAGAAACCGTGGAAATTACAATGGATACTGCAGTGGAAGCTGAAGCATCAGTAGAAAGTCAACCGAAAGCCACCGAAGAAATAGCTGGATCATCAATCACTGAGCATGAGGGCATATCGGTATCTCTAGATGAAGCTTTGATCAGAGACGAGCCAACAAGTGATTTCAAAAAACCAAGAGAGGCGTCGGCGCATATTCAGTTCCTAACAAAGAAAGGCATTGATGTGTCGGATATTGGACCAATGGACAGCGAAGATACAATGGATGACTTCAAGACCATTCCATCAACGGAGGCCATTGTCAGCGTTACATCCAACGAGGAAGTTGTCATTCAATCTTCAGAGTCGTATGTGAAAGAAGGAAAGGTCGATGAGAAAAGCATGCCTCAGTCTAGTGAAGCGTCTCTCACTGTGTTGCCCCAGATAGCCAAAACAGTCACAGAAGAAGAGCAATATATCAAAGAAGGAAATGTTTCAGAAGACAAACCGAAATCGCAATCCGTTCGAGTAGATTTTTCGCAGGCCGAGGGCATTCAAGCGGTGGAAGAAGAAACACTAGACGTTGAAGAGGAATTAGCAAAAATGAAGAAACCAAGAGATGAACAAGCCAACGTGGGGCTTACTGACCGAAAAGGTCTTCAGGTTGAAGAAAGCGTGGATCTGTTCAGCGAGACGACGCTCGACGCCAAACCATCACCAGCCACCGACGCTGCTAACATAGAGATGTGCTCCCATACTAACATAACCGTCTCTGAAATGTCCGAGTCATATAAGGAGGCTCCCTTGGACGAGTTCCGCACCCCGCTGCATGAGAAACCCACCGAGTCCATTACCTCCAGGCAAACGATCACTGTCACTCAAACAGAAACAGGCGAAACCCTCGATAAGCATGTCCCTGAAGCTTTGCCCGTCCCTCACTCTGCCACCCAGGACATGTTTCCCCTCCAAGGTGTTTCAGTTACAAGCACCCGAACCGATGAACTTCCAACCGATCTCGGCGAGTTCACCAGCTCGAAGGCGGTGGCGGAGACGGACATCGAGGCGCAGCACGGCTTCAGCGCCAGCGAGCAGCAGCGGTTGGAGTCGGAGGATACGTTCGAGAGCGAGGCACTGCCCGGTAAACATCAGGCCGAGGTAGGTATTGGTCTTACTGAGGCCGGAGTGACTACAGTTGTGGAGCATAACGAGGCAGAGGATGAGTACACTCCAGGAAAAATGCCCGGAGCTGTTCAGCTCAAGCCTCGAATGATCCCAAGCGAGGGTATGCAAGTAGAAGAAGTGCAGCCTGGTGATGGTACTGGTAAATTTTTCCCGGAGCAGTTTGTTGCCACTGAGAAAGCTGCTGAAAGTGTATTACCTTACAAGAGCATTTCAGTGAAGGCGACTGATATAAATGAGCTGGAAGATGACTTACCTGATTTCAAAATCCCTTCATCATTCCGAACCTATGGCGATGTGGTGCCCGAGCATCATCTGGAAGTCGAAGAAATTCTGTCAGAAGACATGACAGGCAAAATTTTACCTGAAAGCTTTGTTGCAACTGAAGTCGCTCAGAAAACGATAATTGAGCTCAAGGGCCTGAAGGTGTCTGAGACGACAGCTGAGGAGTTTCAAGAAATATTGCAGCAAGGAAGCAAACCAAGAGAATTTATGGGCTCTGAATCCATCCAGGAGACTGAAGCGATGGAAATTCAAGAAGTGACACTGACTGAAGAATCTTCAGAGAAGACCAGTGAAGCTGTAGATACTCATCATGGCGTGATTAGGCTAGCTGAGCCGCATAAGGCTGCAACTGTAGACATTGTATCCAGTGGTGATGTTGAAAGTGATATGGCGGATAGTGTGAGACCTGATGTGCATGAGGCTGCGACCTCATATACTGTTGTGCAGCCAATCGATGTTTATGAGGTCAAACCAGGGGATATCGAGGAATCCTTTGAGCGTGACATCCTTCCATCCACCCAAGCCCACACCAGGCTCAGCCCACAGAACACTCTTGAAATTTCAGAGTTCCCCGCTGAGTCCTCTCCTGAGGATTTCACTCCAGAGTCCCGGCGGGAGGCGAGCGCAAGGACGGGGGTCGTCGAGCAGCAGGCCGTCATCACCGACGAGGCTAGACCTGAAGACGTCCAAGGAACAGTCGACGAACTCAAAGCTGCGCCAGCAACAGCCCGTACCGAGATACTCGAGCAACAGTCACTTCTCAGTTCCGAGGTGTGCATAGACGAGAGAGAGGATACGGTGGCGCCGTTCAAGGCTGGAGAACAGGTTCCTGAGACGACCACGGAGCTCGTCATGAGACACACGGCACTGCTCACAGATGTTGGTACACGGGAGGAAACAGAAGAGTACTCGCCAGAACAGCCGACCACCGCATCTCCAAGGGAACAGTTAATTGGTCTCGAAGCACCAGTTCGAGAGCAAGTAGAGCTGGGAGAAGTTGAGAGTGATTTCGATCAGAAACAGCTTCCGGAGCAGAAACAGGCAACTGAACGACAAGAGCTGGCTCAGAGTAAAGTTGTAGAATCGGAGGACATCACCAGCTTCGAAGCTGAAGAACAGTTCATCACATCAAAGCCTTCGGAAGAAAAACAGCCTAAGATGACCATGGTCGAGCAGATTGGAGTTCAGGGAATTGAAGAAATCGTTCATGACAAAGAGGGGAAGGTTAGCGATGAGGTAGCGCCTACAGGACAGAAAGCTGCTTTGGATGTCGTCCCCCAGCAGAATATCATTACATCAGAAGTAAAAGCTACGGAACAAGGCACCGACTACAAGGAAACAGACGTTAAACCAGTTTCAGCTGAATCCAGCATTCTGGAAATGGAGTCCATGCAGGGTGAAGTGACACAGACCGTAGAAACGGAAACTGATTTTGCTCCAGGAGAGCTCAATCTGAAGAAACCGACAGTGCGTCTTAACATCGTTGAAAAACGTTCCGCACAAACGGAAAATATTTTGGTCGGTGAATCGGAGGACACCTTCACACCCGGCAAGCTAAATGAAGTACAGCCAAAAAGTTCTTTCGCCGAGCAGGAATCTGTGCAAATTACTGAAGTTACCCCCGATTCGCAAACAGGGGAATATGTCGTTGGCGATAAACCAGGCGAGAGAAGTGCTGACGTCTGTTTGTCTCCTATTGAACCTGTCATAACGCAAGACGCAAAATCAGAAGAAACTGAGAAGGACTTCGACAAGTTTGTGTATCCAACAGAGATGGCAAAACAGACTATTCCCGAGCAAAAGAGCACTGCTGTTTCTGAGATCACAACGGGCGAGACTGAGTCAGAATATGCTCCTGATGTCATGCCAGAGCTACAAGAACTGACAGAAGTGGTTGAGCTTAGGGAGCGCAAGACGGCGATTGCACAAGATATTGTGACGGAAGAGAGAGAAGGTGACAAAGAGAACTTCGTGGCAAAGTCTGTGCGCGTTGAGGGTCGCATTTCGCCACTTGAAGGTCTCATTGTATCTGAGGCCCAGCCAGATTCTGATGAGGATACGTTTGATCAGAAGCCTCTTCCGACAAGCGTTGATGCGCAAGTGGGCTTCACAACAGAACAAGCCTATGATACGACAGAAATAACCACCCAAGAAGCTGAAGAAAAATTCGAAAGCAAACTGGAGCAAAAGGTTACAGCCCTAGACTCCATTATCCCCCAGGAATCTACTGTTTCCAGCGAGATCATAACAAACGAGCTTGAAGAAGAATATCGCCCTCAACAACTACCACAAACTGTTGAACTCATTCCCTCCACTAATCTTGTGTCGCAAAAGGCAGCGTCGACATATGAGGCCGAGATTGATGAGAAGGAGGAATGGTACGACATCCAGGAAGAACAAATGAGACAGCCGACCTTATCAACGATTAACCAGACAAGCATTCTCGTTTCAGAGATTGTTACAGATCAAAGCGAAACCGATTTCAACCCTGAAGTTTTACCGAAAACTACTACAGCAAGCCTTGACGTTTCCACGTTTAGTCCCCTGGAAACAACAACTACCCAGATAACAGATAAAACTGAAGATTGGTCGGCACCGGAGACGAAACAGCGTAATGCTACAACCACGATGCTAGAGCAGACCTCGGTGGATGTATCCCAGGTCGTGGAGGATGAACGAGAGGGTGAGTTCAAGCCTGGTATGCTACCGACCACATCAGAAGCTACTGAGCAGCTGATATTTGATCAGTATAAGGCTCCACAGGTCAGCCAGCCGGAGACAGAAGAGAGAGAGGAGTGGTACGATGCCGAAGAAGTCGACATTCGACAGTCGAGAGTTGAGGTAATCGAACAGCGCACGTTGCAAGTTTCGCAAGTCGTAACTGACGATAGGGAGGACGAGTTTACACCAGACCTAGCGCCAAAGAACAGACATGCATCGCTCCAAGTTTCACCAATGGAGCCTACTGCGGTCGAAGAAGCACTTCCAAATGAGAAGGAAGAAACCTTTGACACAAAGCCTGACCTCGGAGTTACCGCTGGTGTCGAGGTAATTCAACAGGTGCCACTGCTCACTGAGCAAACCGATGCAGCTGAACGTGAGGACGTTCTTCAAGAGCAGAAAACTCCAAGTGGAGCAAAAGCATCGGTTGAAACGGAAACACCATGGACGCGAGCACCCACCATCGGACAAACAGAGCAAGCTGAAACAACGGAAGAATACTCCTCTGAGCAGGTCACAAGGAAAAAGCCAGGCATTTCGATCTTAGAGCAGGACTCAATCCAAGTCACCGAATCAGTTGTTGAGGAAAAAGAAGAAGAAACAGAGACATTCCAAAAGCCAAAAGAAAAGGAAGCGAAGGTAGGATTCTCTCTCCAGGAAACGTTGTCAACATCTGAGACGTTAGCTGATGAGCAAGAAAAACCTTTCGAGAGCAAGCCCGATTTGGGAGTACGTGCCACAGACAGCATTACAGGACAACCTGTGGCAGAAACCTCAGAAACGCAGACATCAGAAGAAACTGAAATTCACAAAGATGCTGTTTTGGATACATCTGTAGCAAAAGAGTCGACAAACCTCGTGGAAATGCGCTCAGCTATTTCCCACCAGCAAATCACAGACGAAAGAGAAGATACTTTCAAAACACCTGAAACGAAGCAAGTCAAGCCCAATGAGGAGATTTTGGGGCATGACACAGTTGAAGTAACTGAGGTAGCTCCGGAAACTAAAGAAGTTGAATTCCAGCCAGGGGAGCTTCCAAATAAAAAATCAGCCAACGTCAAATTCGACTCTCAGGTTGCAATAGCGAGAGACGAAGTAACCATTACTGAGGCAGAGGAGGAATTTACACCAACTGAATCTAAGCAGCGTACCGCACATCCTCAGGTTGACGAACAGATAACCACTATTGTTTCAGAGACGCTGACCGAGGAGGTGACGGAGGATGCTACAACAACCCTGCCAACTGGTCAAACGATCGAGGGCAAGCCTACCATCACATCTAGAGCCGTCACAACAATTTCAGAAGTAACAGCAGATGACACTGTCGAAGATTATGACATCACCCAGATCGTGCAGAAAACTGCGAAACCTTCTATTGACGAACAGAGAGGTGTGGAAATACAAGAAGTTCGTCCTGACGATACTGAAACCTCATTGGAGGAGTTTGTTACTAACTCTAAACAGGCTTCCGTTGACTTTGAGCTTAAGAAGGCTCCAGTCACTGATGAAACAAGGACGGTCGAAACGGAAGAAACATACACCTCCGAATCCATTGGAACAGCTACCGCAAAGGGATCCTTCGTGGAAAAGAAGACCATAAATGTTAAGCAGACCATACCCGAGGACAGAGAAGAGACGTTTGAAAGTCCTTCCACAACAGTGGCTAAGCCAACTGAATCCATGGCGCCTGAAGACCGCGAAGCGCCCGTCCTTTATCAGCAACATCCCGAAGAGAAGGAAGGTACATTCGCCGACAAATATGAAGGCATTACTGTTAAGCCAAAAACGGTGATAACCGAAAGAAAAACTGTGGTCACCGCTGATAATACAACTGATGAGAAGGAAGAGACATTTGACATCACTTCACCAAAGGATAGGCAGGCGAGACCAACGGTTGACGAACACCAAAGCGTGGTCGTACTAGAAACAAAGCCCACTGACAGGGAAGAGAGCCTCGACGACTTCAAGTTCCAAGGAAAATCTGCAAATGTTGACTTCGAATTACAGCATGCTCCAGTGTCAGGAGTCACAACAACCGATGAGTCCGAAGATGTCTTCACATCAACACCCTACAGAACCGAAACAGCGGACGGGGTAATAATCACACAAAAAGAAACAGTAACTGTCAAACAAGCTATCACAGGGGACACCAGTGAAGACTTTGATGTTTCACTTCCCTCTGGCAAAACACTGTCGGCATCGATGGTGCCGGAAGACCGCCAAGCAGCCGTTGGATTCGGTGTTGAAGTCGAAGAAAAGGAAGTGACGTTCACCGACAAGCCGGAGGGAATTAAAGTCACTCCAAAGACAATAATGACTGAGCGCTCATCTGCTGTTAGCTCAGAGCCTGTTACAGAGGAACATGAAGATACCTTTGAGTCAGTTAAACCCAAAGACAGAAAGGCCAAGCCAGCTGTGGATGAGACTAGGGGAGTTGAAGTTACTGAAGCAGCACCCACAGAGCTTGAAGACTCTTTGGATGAATTTACTGTCAACAAAAAGAAGGCAAATATTGGTTTCGAAATTCAGCAAGCTCCCACGCAAGCAGAGGTGCGACCAGCCGAATTAGAGGATACATATCAAACCAGAGTCACCAAAACCGAAACAGCAGAAGGTACTGTGATAACAACAGAAACAATCACTGTCAGTCAAACGGTGACAAGTGACAGAGAAGCTGACTTCACGGTTAACCTCCCGAAGGACGCGAAACCGGGACAAACTATGACTCCTCAGGACAGACAGACTGCTGCTACACTTGTCATCACCCCAAATGAAAAGGAGGATGACTTTACTGAGACTACTCAAGAATTCACAATAAAACCAAAGGCGGTGCAGCCCGACCGAAAGACTGCAACAAAATCCGATGAATTTGTCGATGAGCACATCATTGAGCTTGACCAAACGAAGCCAGTAGCTGTCAAGGCCAGGAAGTCTTCAGTTGATGAGCTGGTGACGGCATCAGAAGGAATAGTCCAGGAGGAGGAATCGGTTATAGTGGAGCAAGAGGTAGTGGACTCTAAAGGCAAACGAAAACGTTCGAAACAGGAGCGTCGACGAGAATCTGTTGAAGAAATTCGCCGTGGCTCAGTCACTGAGATTCGTAGAGGTTCTTTGGATATGACAATACAAGAAGTCCATGATGACGATATAAGCATATCTGAAGAAGTAACCATACAGCCGACGATAACCGAAGAAGATGACGTTCTCATTACGGAAGGGGATGGTATGGATACGACCCGAAGGGTGGTAAATGAAGAAAAGGATGGAAAGAAAAGAAAGGTCGTCATTCATACGTTTGCCAGCAAACCAACGGATAACACCAACATAGAAGAGATAGAAACAGTTACACATAAAACAGAAGAAGAGGTTGTTGAGCATACCATCGATATTCAACTGGTGGATGAAGAGTCCGACGAAACTGTTACTGACTTCACGGTCAAGAAGAAGAAAAAGAAGCCAACTAAAGAAAAGACAAAAGAAACAAAAGGTCCGGAACCTGTTGAAGAAACACAAGAAACAGCAGTACTAAAGAAACAGCCAAAGACAACAGACCAGGACAAAGAAAAGACGGATCATGATGTTGAACACACAATTGATATACAAATGGTCGATGAAGAAACAGATGAAACCATCACTGATTTGACGATAAGAAAGAAGAAAAAGAAACCAGCGAAAGATAGAAAAGAGGACACGACGGCTCCAGAGCCCGTCGAAGATACACAGGAAGAGACAGTGGTGCTGAAAAAGAAGCCAAAGAAGGAAGGAGCAGATACAGAAACTGATACAGAAACTGACACCAAAGTAGTTTTGAAGAAATCCAAAAAGCCAAAAGATGCGAATGAAGAAGAAACCACGTTCGTTGTTCAGACTATTCCTCAAAAAGAGGACCTCAAAATAACAGAAGTAGATAATACAACGACAACGGAAACAATCATCAGCCAGGACATCACAGAAGAAGTCGAAGTGGAAGAGGAAAAGACAATCAAGTCCAAGCGCCCGAAGAAACCTAAGGCCAAAAAGCCAACAGAGCAAACACCAGAAGATCAGGCCGTAGTTACTGAAGAAACTACGCCTACAAAAGAGGTGACGATGAGTGTGACTGATCAGAAGGTGGACGAGACAGCGGAAGACATCGTCGAAGAGACGACAACTGAGTTCATGGTCAAGAAACCGAAGAGAACCAAGCCTAAGATATCTGAGGCTGATGAGTCACATGTGACCGAACTCATAGATGACAAAGAGGAATCGACAACAATCAAGCTGAAGAAAAAACGCAAACCAAAGCAAGGGGAAGACACCGTCAGAGAGGAATTTACGGTGAAAACAAAGGAAGCGGACACACAGGAAGAGGAGTTCACCGTGATCCAGCAGACCGACGAAGACGTTACCGAAATGGAAACAACAGACGTCACGATCAAAAAGAAACCAAAGAAAAAGAAGCCTTCAAAGGACATTAAGATAGATGAGAAGGAAGGTCAGGAAACAACCGACGATGCCGTTGAGTTCTGGGTGAATTGGGAATATGCAAAGGCAATACAGCGTATACACCACGAAGAACTTCAATGGGCTCGAACATCAGGAGTTGATTTCTCAGAAACGCCCGAACAAACTACCATCCGCAAGAAGAAAGTTCGGTTCATTCAAAAGGGATCTGAAGAGCCCATTGAAATTGTTGAGGAGGTTTTAGAAGACATTCCAGCAGAGGAAACCGAAGAACAGGAAACAAAGAAACCAAAGAAGAAATCAGCAAAGCGAGAACTAGTTACACAAGAATCCCTGCAGAATGAGGAAATAATTACTAGTGAATATCCAGAAAAAGATGATAAAGAAGAAGTCCCAACAGAAGTGGCGGAGCCGCGTCTTGACACAACTGACGACGCTGTTACAGTATCTGCAGCTGATGTTGAGGAAACAACACAAGTATTGCCACAAAAGAAACCAAAAAGATCAAAAGCAGACAAAACACAAGATGTGCTGCAGCCAGTGGTCACTGAGGAACAAGTTACTCAAGAAACACCTGAAGAGCTTGAAGAGCTTAGAAAACCGGATGAAAAAGCTATCCCAGGCATTTCCCCTGATGATCTACAAACAGCGGTGTCCAAATCAAAAACCGACACGCAGGAAGCTCCTCGGGAAAAGCCGGAAAAGAAAAAGAAGCCAAAAACTAAAGTGCAAAAACCAACCGATGAGAAAGAGGACGAAGATCAGCCACAGGAGGAAGTTCCAGCTCAGCAACCTTCCGCTGAGGAGGAGCCTAAGACAAAGAAGAGCAAACGGCCAAAGAGTCGACCAAAGGATGTTTCTGAGGCAGTTCCCGAAGACCAAGTGCCTGACAAGCCAGAACAAAAGCCTATTGAGGAGTCGCTTCAGAAGCACACTGAGGGCACTGACACCGTTGCAGAAGAGATAGTGGAAGAGATTAGGACAGCGCCCATAATAACGGATAGCGCAAAGGAGCTCTCTGAAGAGGACAGCCTGGTTGTCGCAGCTGAAGAGCAGAAACCCAAAATGGAGCAAATAGAAGAAAGTGTTACGGTAGAGACAAAGCGAGTGAAGAAGCCAAAAGCGAAGAAGCGACCTGATGAGAAACCAGTCGACAAGTCTGATGACGTGGAAGAAAGCGCAAGTGTACGCTTACCAGACCAGGAGACGCCGATCGCAGAAACATCTGTAACCATTGATGTCCCTGAAGATGAGCAACCATTAGATGAGATCACCGAATCAGAAGCAGTGACAATAAAAACACCAAAGGGAAAGAAAAAGAAACCAGTGGTAACAGAGGAAACTGAAGAGGTTGTTAAGCTACAAAAGAAATCTAAGGTCCACAAGACTGAGGATGAAATTGAATCTGAGACTATAGATACTGAGGTAACGCTTAGGCGAGCGTCGATAGAAAAGCCTCAGGAATTGACTGAAGATCAGGAAACAGTGTTTGAGATCACTGCCAAAGACACTGAAGAAGATGCTGAGGCAACGGAAGTAACGCCTGACAATTTGCCTGAGGCCGCTGAAAGCATTACAATAATCAAAAAGGGTAAAACTAAAAAGCACAAACCAAAGGAACCGACTACAGAAAAGCCAATCGAAGAGGGAGAACAAAAGCCGGAAGAGTCACTCCCGGAAGAACCAGAGGAGGTTTCGATAAAACTTGCCAAGAAAAAACCTGTAGTCAAAGAAGAAGTGGGTGAGGAGGTAACACTCAAGAAGAAAAAGCCAAAGAAACGAGTTCCAGAGACAGATCAGGAGGTAGTCGCATCATCAACAACACTGAAAATTAAGCGTCCTGAAGATGACGTTGAAGCAGAAGCGACTTTACCCGAAGATCAAGAGGTAGAGTTCGAGCTACCACAAAAGACAAGGACTGAAAGCCCTCTGGAGGACGTTGAAGATGAATCTGCTGAAGCGCAAGTTGTTATTAAGAAGGTAAAAACCGTAGATGATGTCGAGAAGGTGGAAGAAGAAGTTATTGAAGAAATCATCAAAAAGAAAAAGCCCAAAAAGAAGCGAACTGTCGTCCATGAGCCCGAAACCGAGACCTTACTGAAAAGACGTGATTCTTCAGAAGATGACGTAGAGGCGGACGCAGTTTTCGGAAAGCCAGATAAAGAATTTGATGACGTTCAGGAAGAGTTCGTCATAAAAAGGCCAAAGAAAAAACCATCAACAGTAGAAGAGCCTGAAGAAGCAATTACCCTGAAGCAAAGGAAACCCAAGAAATCAATCGATTCCGCAGAACAGGAAATAACATCAACGGACATCACTGTAAAACGTATTGAAGAGACTGTTCAAGAGCACTTCGAAGACCAAGACACTCAGTTTGAATTTAAGACAAGTAAAACGCAGGAGGTCAGCGACACCGAACAGCCGGACGAAGACGCAGAAGCAAGCGTCCGAATCAAGAAGACCAAAAAGGGTGACAAGCCGCACAAGAAACGTCATATCCCCTTCGCTTCACTGGACGACGAGGAGCAAGTGCGCATCGAGCTCGCTAAGAGTGCGTCTCAGGAAACAGTTGAGACGGTCTTTTTCCACGACATGCCCTCAGTAGCAGATGACATCAGCGAAGACGTTGAGTTGGCTCTCCCGAGACGCCGAAAGCCTGAGTATAAGGTGGAAGACGTTGAGACCGAATTCGGTGTCAAAGCACCGCGCAAAAAGCGCGAGCCGCAAGACGACTCAGCTGACGGTGCAAGTCGTACTGTTCGGCAGACGTTTAAAATGAAGCTACGTCAGGATACTATAGGCGCTGTGCCGGGCTCTCCTGGCTCATCTGTGGGCGAGGAATTCGATTTCAGGTTGACTCCCGTTCCGGACAAGGAGGCGCCAGTCTGGAGCGAGGACAGCGAGGACGCGTCGCTGCAGCTTAAGCTGCGACCCAAAAAGAAAGGTCAGCTGGCCAGTGAGGTCGAATTTTGGAGTGGTGCTGCTGTCTCTAACATTCTGTCGAGGCAACATGGATGCCTGCCTCCCTTTTTGGCTGGCGCTCGCTCTAATCATCAACGCTTTCTAATGGCTCATATAATTCCATACTTCAACGAGTGCTATCTACCAGCGGCCTTCCGCGCTGCTGCAAACGAATCCGCGATCTGCGTGTTGTGGTGCAAAGGCTAACAATGTTTTATATACGCTGACACGGAATCCAAGCCAGAATGCTGTTTTCTTTTTTTGGTTCGCCAAAAACATGTGCACTAACATTCTAAACCTTTCGTTTCCAGGTGGACCTTTTCAGGCTCTCACAACTTCACTTTTCCAGTTTGACTTTCTCCAGCAGCAGATCTAAGTCGCATCTCAAGTATCATGCATAGTGTATATTGTATAACTAGACCGAAGGCTGAATATTGACCGAAGGTGGTTCTAGCCGCCAACTGGTGTAGAAATGCCGTCAACTAAAAGGCACAACTGCTGAGAACGTGTACATTTTGGTCCTATGACTATTAACTAACGACTATCTGTTACGGAGACTGAGGAGGGGTCGGAATATCTTCACCTGGGGTTTTCAAATCTCAATCACTCCGAGACACTATTGGAATATGAAGAAGTTGCCTACCTTTCATCCCGAATGTTACTTTCGCTTTAACCGAAGCTGCTCGTAGTCATGTATGTATGTAAAGTAAAACTAGACTGGGTTCGTAGCTGCGTATGTTCGTTGGTAGGTTCGTTCAAAGGTTCGTTATTTTAAACTTGGTAGCAACCAATCCCTTGCATTGCAACATAAATCTGGCCTAGTGACCCAACCTCTGCCGTTTGAGAGACTCAAAATTGAGTTGAATATTCCATTGTATTGAATTGAGTCCGTGCAGATGTCAAATGGGAGCTGAGAATGGACGGTCTCAAATTAAGAGTACAGTCTGCCTCTGGATCATCTATCTGTAAGCTAGCCAAATGGTGTCACAAATGCTGATAGTCCGTGAAAATGGTTAGCGATTAGTAGCGAATGCGCATTGTTGCATCTATAGTTTTACCTTGAAATTAATTTTTCATCAGAAGATCCATTTTCATGATCGTCAGATTTCCGCACTAAAAAAAAAAAAAATTCATCACTTACAACAATACCAGTAAAACGCCTTTTGGGCGAAGAACGAGCGAGCGAGATAGTGAGCCCTGCACGTGCGGAAGGGCGAGAGGGTACTTCCAACGGGGCTTGTGCAAAGCACCCTTCTAACCGGTCGCTAGCGGTGTGTCAAATTTGAACGCAATCGGCCCATCCGTTCCTGAGATCTGGAAGCGGCATTCTGCACGTGCGCACGTGCAAACGGGGTCCAAACTGACTTTTGCACGGCACCCTACTAAGCGGTCCCCAACCGTGTACCAAATTTGAGCGCAATCGGCCAAGCCGTTCTCGAGATCTGGAAGCGCCCCCTGCACGTGCGCACGTTCAGTAGCACCTTAACCGCAACACATGGGAATGCATTGCCTGGTGGGTGCCTACCTTCATGCCAAGTTTCAGCGAAATCGCCCCAGTAATTACCGAGTTATTGAAATGGCAACACATTTGGCACCTCTTCTTTTTGTTGCATTTTTGCACGTGCAGTGGGGATCACTCACATAGATCAAGAGTATCCGACCATTGGTAGAAGGGATGCAGCTACCCTACAAAAATTACCGCAAGACAATCACCCAAGCGGCTGCTGAGATATGAGCCTCTCAAAATCACTACTTTTGCAAAACAGCTTGAACACCCTTGACTTTTCACGTGGCACGTGCCACGACGGTCACTGAGATGTATCAAAATTAGTAAATAACGCGGTAGAAGGGATGGGGCTACCCAGCAAAAAAAGACCGCAGGCCAATCGGTCCAGCGGTTGCTGAGATATAAGCCTCATAAAAGCGTTACAGGCCGGGCCGGGCCGGGCCGGGCCGCTCATACTGAAATTTTTCCGTTATATTGAAAAGACTTCGCTTCGCTCGCTGCGCTCGCTCGCTCGTAATAACGGTTTCTTATAAGATCTGTTTCATATGATAAATCCTGAACTCATTATTAGCAATTGCAGGTACCTATTTTATGTTACCGGTAAAACGCCTTTTGGGCGAAGAACGAGCGAGCGAGACAGTGTGAGCCCTGCACGTGCGGAAGGGCGAGAGGGTACTTCCAACGGACTTGTGTAAAGCACCCTTCTAACCGGTCGCTAGCGGTGTGCCAAATTTGAACGCAATCGGCCCAGCCGCTCCTGAGATCTGGAAGCGGTATTCTGCACGTGCGCAAGTGCAAACGGGGTCCAAACTGATTTTTGCACGGCACCCTACTAACCGGTCCCCAACCGTGTATCAAATTTGAGCGCAATCGACCCAGCCGTTCTCGAGATCTGGAAGCGCCCCCTGCAAGTGCGCACGTGCAGTAGCACCTTAAAGGAAATAGTTCACTTTTAACATGGGGTTTTGAGCTGGAATAGCAGTTTCGTAGCTTGAGCTGAGACTAGCACAAATCAGGAGCTTTTACGGCTCAACGATCACCCTAGACGAAGAAATTCCATTTCTCGTTCCGAAAAGAGTGCCTTGTAGAGGAATGCGTGCCTTGCACAGGAATGCAGCCACGTCATCGTCAGCCAATCAGCGTGCTGCTTACAGCCAATGCAGTATTCGTAGGTTTGAGCTACGCAATATGATTGGTCAATGCGTAATAAGCTTCCGCGTCAAACATTATTTTACATAGAATATAGTTCGCCCTATATTAAAATAAAGAAAATAGTTGTTTTTACAAAAAGGTTTTATTTTATTTCATGATTATTTTGAGCATAAAAAATCATAAATCAATAGCAAAATACTGATTTCAGGAAAGTGGACTGTTTCCTTTAACCACAACACATGGGAATACATTGCCTGGTGGGTGCCTACCTGTATACCAAGTTTCAGCGAAATCGCCCCAGTAATTACCGAGTTATTGAAATGGGAACAAATTTGGCACCTCTTTTTTTTTGTATTTTGCACGTGCAGTGGGGGTCACTCACATATTGTATTGTATTGTATTGTATTGAACAATCATGAGCGATCCACATTCTGAAAGTGCGTGGCGATTACATACATCAAGAGCATCCGACCTTTGGTAGAAGGGATGCAGCTAACCTACACAAATTACCGCAAGACAATCGCCCAAGCGGCTGCTGAGATATGAACCTCTCAAAATCATTACTTTTGCAAAACAGCTTGAACACCCTTGACTTTTTACGTGGCACGTGCCACGACGGTCACTGAGAGTGAGATGCATCAAATGTAGTCAATTACGGGGTAGAAGGAATGGGGCTACCCAGCAAAAAAGACCGCAGGCCAATCGGTCCAGCGGTTGCTGAGATATAAGCCTCTCAAAAGCGTTACAGGCCGGGCCGGGCCGCTCATACTGAGATTTTTCCGTTATATTGAAAAGACTTCGCTTCGCTCGCTGCGCTCGCTCGCTCGTAATAACGGTTTCTTATAAGATCTGTTTCATAATCATATGATAAATCCTGAACTCATTATAAGCAATTGCAGGTACCTATTTTATGTTATCATGGGGGCTCGTGCAGGCCTTATTCAAATAGCCGCCATCGCTTTGGGTAGAGGACCTATGAGATCAGGCAATGTTACCTATAGATTGTGGTTTAGATGAATTATAAATACGGTCTCCTACTTCATATTATACCTACTTGCGTTAAACACTCCTTTGTTTTCCCCTTTGTTTTTTTTTCGTTTTATTTCCAATGTCTTTTGTATAGCGAAGGATGCTCAAGTGCTTGGTATTAACGATTAGCTGATTGCGCTTAGGGAGTGTATGTCCCATCCCAGTGTCTTTGTGGCAGTTCAACCTACTTAATTTGATCGAAGATACGCGATATTCATTGCCCGTAAGATTTTCATCACACCTTAGATGGCAGTAGTTAACGATTTATGCAGCATTGGTAACAAATAAACCGTTAAAATTAACTCAGTTCTTATTTTACATTTCGAAACATTACTTCAACCTAACTCAGATACTAAACGAGGTATAGTTGTAAGTTGACATGTTTCCTGGCAGTCACCATCTACCAAGTTGTGTTTAAACATAAATCCGGACCAATAGGTTACCGAAAGATCATCCGATCTTCATTATACCAAGTGCAATACGCGCGTAACGCTAGAGAAGCTAATGTGTTGTTAATTGCGCTTTCGTGATATTTTTTCGCTTTTTGGTGCACTGACCTCCCTCACTGTGTTTCGTTCTTGTGATACTTTACAGCCGATATTGTGCTTACTGAGCATAGGCACACAACAGAATTTGTAACAGAAGGTAAATTGCATCTATATTGCATCATTGATGAATGGCATGCAATAATATTAATCTTTTTTATAAATGACATGGACACAGCATGAGGTATGCGCAAGGCACAAGAGCATCGACCCCTGGCTGAAGATTTGTGTCTGCCAGTATCTGCGCGCACAAATCCATCGTGCTGTCATATTCACTGATCCACAAATTTTCTTTAGGTGAAGATGGCCTCTTTTGAATGATAGTGTAATCTGTGCCAATCTGTATGGTCAACCCTGTCTGCCATCTGTTGGTGTCCTGTTCCAAGAATGCAAAATGTTCTGCCGTGAAATGATCACACTTAAAATCATTTACACTAGATAATAGGTGGGTATCAGACCTATCTTCATATTCTGTGGCTCGAAACTGTCCGCTATGCCTTGCTGACGTTGCATCATGATGGTTTGCATGATTGCTCCATTGCATTCAATATCGTGAAGTCTATTAGGTGAATGCGAAATTATTCCATTGACCTACTCTCAACCGAGTAATGCCTTGTGTACTCCTCGTTTTATATTGTGCCCCCGTCCCACTCCTCATGTAATGTGTATCATCCATTGGAAACATTTGGTAGCGTTCAGCATCTTACCAGGAATTCTTTCACAGCTTTCTATCCTTTTTCAGTTTTTTTTTGCCGTTTCGGTCTGACAAAACCTATTTCAGCGATTGACGGTGCTGATTAAGTCTTTGCTGTATCCCAGAAGAGTTCGAGCTGGAAAATACCCCGTGTGATCGGTCGCGCTAAATAAAGTGGTCGATTAGCATACCTCCATGCCCGATATTTCTCACCTAGCCAAAACCACAAGATAGCTTTTTAGTCGAAACAGTCGTACCCAATGTAACCGATAACTTATGCATCTTATTATTGGCATTTTAGCAACAGAATCACAATCGCGCCACGATATAACTTCTATAGTGACCCCTACCGGCGACCTGGGAAAGGTCATGACCTGAGCGCCTGCGCCGCCAGTGGCTGAGGAGACGACAGCCCTCGATGTGACCGAGGGTGACACCTTCTACGCGGTATCCACCTATGTGGCCGAGTCGGACGAGACTATGCATCTGGTGGAGGGAGAACGCGTCTACATCCTCGGTAAGTGTGCCGGTAACGGAATTGGCGCGGTAGAAAGCCGGCAACAGAAATGGCGCGGTAGAAATGGGAGCGGGTGCGTGGGGGGGGGGGAGAGCCCATAGAAGGAAGCGGACATGTGAGGGGTGTTCATAGGGAGAGCGGGTACGTTGGGGGTGGTCACTGTTCATAGAAAAAGTGGGTGCGGGAGGGAGGGGCATTCACTCGCAGCTGTCAGTGCCAGCCAGTAGGTGCTTAGGTCATGTGAGTGGCTTCGTTATCGTGCGGCTTACGAGTCGCACAGTGCGTGTGGAGCTGGAGATGTCTATGTGGTTGCAAAGATTGTCTGGCATTAGGGAATGGTGAAAACAAAACATCAAGATGATCATGTTGGGGGGCATCTGCGTAAGAACTGATGTTCAAGTTTAATGGGGGCTAAATATTCATATATATCAAATGACACGCCATAATCAATTCTTCGTACACCGAACAAACCGTAAAAATACCCCAGATAAAAGTTCACCGCTCAACAGCGAAGTCATCGTTCTCCAGAAATCACTACGCTGGGAAAAAATCGAATCGCTGACGACCCTTCTACACCCGTCGGCAGAGAGCCACAACAGCGACTGGTGGTTCGTGCGCAAACACCTGACCGAAGAGGCCGGCTGGGTACCCGCCTCGTACCTCAAGAACGAGGACGAGTACAACCACTATGTGCAGCGCAAACTCAGCGAGAAAATCGGAAAATTGCCCGTCTTCGAAGGTAAGCCGGGTGTCCGTCCTTCTGCATTTTTTTTTTTTTTTTGCCCTAGGTACTACAAAGCAAAGTGCAGTGGAAGTGATTGTGAAAATTATCTTTCAGCCTGTTTCCATGTTTCTGGTTATTCCTCAGTCACTGCACCATCTACCACCAACATGAAGCAGGACGGGCTGACACTGGCGGGTGCGGGATGGGCATCAGAGGCATATGCCCCACGCCCCCCCCCCCCGCCCCGAGCGTCCAAAATTGATGAAAATGTTGCAGTTTCTTTCCTAAAGACAGGAAACTTATTAAATTGCACCTTGCCTCCGAACACTTTTTTATGATTTGGACACCATTTGGAGGGCATGCGTCCACCCCACTCAATCCAATACCTAGGTACATGGGTATAGGTATGTGGGTACCTGGATCCTCAAATATAGGCGGGCCCCGGCCGGAAGGCGGGAGGTAGCGGAGGTAGGTACCTAAATAGGCTATGATTCATTACACCATAGGCTGAGGCGGCGGAACGGGGGGAGGCACCAGGGCAGCGTGCCCCCTTTAATTTTGGCATTTTAACCCTCGCCGGCCGAGGGGGGGCGGGTGCCCCCCCCCCCCCCCATAGGGTTTTTTCGCGATAGCTCCGAACACGCTGGTGATAGAGCTGAAACTTGGCATACCTGACCTTTGATTCAAGCCGGATCTTTTGACACAAACCACATTTTCAGGTCAGGTCAGGTCACTGACCTATGACATCATAAGTGAACCTCTGCACGGTCTTCAGATGTCGCAACTTAGCAACGCCCTCACTGCCAGAGGAGCTTTCACAGGGAAATGAAACTTGCAGGATCTAGTATCCATCATGAGTCTCACAACTTGTATATCTCGGATTTTTCCTAAAGGTCATATGAGGTCAGGTCATTTTCGTGACCTCACCATTTTAAGTCAATGGGGAAAAATGAAAATTGCTATTCTGGCGCCAGGAACGATCTCCAACTATCTCAAGCACACATAATCGTGATTTGATGCACTCCTTGCAAGGTAGGATGCGTCACTTTTGCAATGTTGACCTTGCGTGACGTCATTTATGACGTCATCAAGGTCATATTAGTTTTTCGTCAATAACTCCCGATCAAATTGAGCTAGCGAGTCGGGAAAGCCACCAATGGACTCAAGAAGACCTGCCGAATCGAATGATATGCGACATGACCTCTTTCGACCAACTTCGTGACCTGGGGGTGCTGACCTGACCTTGACCTGAGGTCAACACCCTAAGTTGACCTGACCCAAACAAAAAGTATATCATTCGACGCGCCTGAGCGAGGCGAACACGATGCTGCCAAAATCGCGGCTCTGCGGCCGTTTTTTGCGAAGTTATTTACCAAAAACTGAACCGTACCTTGGGGCACTTGACCTGACCTCAGAGGTCACCGGTTGACCTAGGACCTTAAAACCGGGTACCTATCTCTGCGTCTCGTAACGGCGCACACGCTCGTTTTTTCCGCGACGCGCTAGCTCCACCAGGGGCGAAACGGCGAGGGGGGTCGTACCCCCCCCCCCCCTCGGCCGGCGCGTATGTAGAAAACCAATAGGTCCGGCGAGGGTTAACGTTAGCCCTATGGACGTTGCATGGAAAGATTGGACCAAAAGTCGGCAGTGCCCCCGCCCCTCTTAATTGAAGGTGTTCCGCCGCCACTGCACTACACGGGGATTTCCCAGAGCAAGAGAACAAAAAAAAAGCGGGCGATTGATGAACCACCGTCATATTTCAGAGAAAAAAAAGTTATTTCACTCAACATGCGCTAGCTGAATAAAATTGCAATCAAATAGGTACTCTCCACAGGCACAAAGCAGTCAATGCACATTGCAGCGTATGGTAAGCGGCAATGGGCTCCAACTGAAAGAAAAAAAAACAGCGCGAAACAAACTTTTTATCAGAAACCGGCTCACTCCGCCGTTGTGAATTCGTGGTGAATACGATGGGCAATATCTAGTGAGATTCAAGAAGCACATAAATTGATAAATTCCACACACTTTGAACACCTCCACCGGCACCATTCCTCCAACTTACGGCCAAAATATTACTCGCGGCGGAAGAGTGTCTCCGCGCCCCACTCACCTAGTTTTCCAGAAGAAAGAAAACACTCCCATTTTCTGCTGTGCGATAAATTGCCACCAGCACTCTCGACATCACATACACACAATACTTTAACGATCTTCTTTACATTCAAAATGTCAATCACCGTAAACGCTCACCCCTAGCCGGGATTCACACACCCTTCACCCACGTGGCTCGCGAACTGCCGCAGGCTTGTTTATTTTTGTTTTTGTTTCGTGTTTCGGCCGCCAGGTGAACAGTTGCTAAAAGGCTGCAAAAAATAAAAACAGCTCCGAAAGCATCTCTTAATGAACAAAAATGCTTATTTGACTATAGATAAGCCCTCTTACTTTCAGGTATCATTTTTAAATAATGTAATTTGTTTTGCAAGCTGCATTGCTGCATCATGTAGTCGTATTGTTTGCATTTATAATATAAAAAATAGGCAAACATCACCTTGCTCCATTTGCCAGCCAATTGGTAGTAGGCTAAATAAAGATGGTCACAGACTATTCTTGCAGATGTGAGAGTGAGAGGATAAGGAATTCAGTTTATCATCCTGATAAGAACGCCTTTGGAGTCAAATAATTTAACCTTATCTTGCCTCATGGTTGCAGCTCGTATCCCGACATCTCGTGACATGACATCCCCTTGCATTATCGTGCGTTCCGTTTTGCACTGGTCTCCGTCCGACGCACACCCGTTACGATCGTTATATTTTGATAAGCTTCTACGTGTTTGTTCTCAGCGCCCAAGACGGGCCAGAAGTCGAAGGCGCCTCGCTTCACGGAAAAGCTGCAGCCGGTGAACGTGGTGGACGGCGCGGTGGTGCAGCTTGAGTGTCGGGTCGAGGGCGAGCCCAGACCCACCATCACCTGGTTCCGCCAGACCGCCATCATCAAACCCTCCACCGACTTCCAGGTGTGTGGAGACAGGAGGTGACGTCAGGGAACGGTGTAGGTTTTACAGTTTACACCAAATCAAACTTGTGCACGAATAAAAATTATTGTGCAGAGTTAGTCACCGTTATTCGTTTTCACGGTTGAATTAACGTCCTTCAGATTCCGTCGTACGAGTCGTAATCAAACGAACGATTAAAAAAAAATCAGCGAATAATGTCAACAGTGGCTGGTTGACACGCTTCCGCTCTGACTTTCCCCATTTCCATCCAGATGTTCTACGACGACGACAACGTGGCCACGCTGATCATCAAGGAGGTGTTCCCCGAGGACGCCGGCACGTTCACGTGCGTGGCCAAGAACGAGGCCGGCTTCAGCAGCTGCTCTGCGGACCTGGTGGTGGAGGCGCCGCTCTCCGATCACGGCTCGGACGTCACCCTCACCAGCCGCCGCAGTCTCAGCAGGTGGGTCCGGTTTTCATACTACCACTTTGTGCAGCATCACTGCGAGGGTATGACGAGGGAGAAAAGCGTGCGGAACCGTATCGATAGTTCTTACCTAGCCACCTTGGATTCGTATTTGCTAGTGTTCGTCGAGTAATACGGTAGGTATCGTTAATCGCAGTAGTGTAGCGTGGCACTAGTGCGTTATTTCATGAGAAAGAATATCTGTCGTGATTAGTGTCAATGCGAAAGGCGAAAGAAATAATCATTTTGATCATCCCAAGAGTCAGTGGGTCATCTGTTCAAGCTATGCCGACCAGTATGCACGCAATGTCGCAAGTCGATCCCATTATCATCTCCCACTTCTGCTCCCCAGGGAGTCGTCGCTTTGTGACATCCTCGAGGGCATCCCGCCCACGTTCAGCCAGCGTCCCAAGACTCGCACCGTCCAGGAGGGCGACGACGTCGAGCTGGAGTGCCGTCTGGTGGCCGTGCCCGAGCCGGAGGTCCAGTGGCTCCTCAACGGCCGGCCCGTCAAGGAGTCCAAGCGGGTCACCATCACCACGCAGAGCGACATGCACATGTACTGCCACTTCATCCGCATTCGCGGCGCCAAGACCAAGGACGAGGGCCTGTACGAGATCGTCGCCATCAACCGGGAAGGAGAGTCGGCCAACACCATCACCCTGGCCGTGGAGCCGCGCGGCGAGAAGCAGCCGCCCGAGCTCGTGCAGCCGCTCCAGCCGCTAGTCGTCACCGAGAACGCGCGCGCGACGTTCGTGGCGCGGATCAGCGGAAAGCCGCAGCCGCGCGCCACCTGGTTCACTGGAAAGCACCCGCTGACGCCCGAGATGCTGGCCAACAGCGATGTGACAGTGACCCAGGAGGGCGACGTGTACTCGCTGCACATCCCGCGCTCGCACCGCAGCGACGCCGGAGAGTACACCCTGCTGGCAGAGAACGCCGCCGGATCCGCCAAGACGACCGCCACGCTAGTGGTGCAAGGTCAGTTACAGTGGTCAGGCGGCTGAGACCTCTATCCGATCACTCCTTTTTAGCGCTAGTGGATTGAGGCTGTGGCCTCCGGGATCATGAAGGAGACAAATATATTGTGCACTTTGAACACAAAACTAGCTTCAAGTTCAAACATCGTAATGCGATAATCTACGTTGAGACGTTTAAATAAATATATCTTTTGTTTTAAATAAATACGGTCTTTTTAAGGAGAATGCGTCCCGTATATCGATTCTACTGTGTCTATCAAGCTTATACGCCTCATTTCTGTCCGATCCTCAGAGTCTCAGCTGGAGCCGCCCATGTTCATCGAGCGTTTCACCGACGTCCGTGTGGCCGAGAAGAAGCCGATCCGGCTGACGGCCAAGGTGGTCGGCAACCCACGGCCCGAGGTCACCTGGTACAGGTCAGTGTGATGACTCTGAAGCTTGTGACGAAAAAATATAGCAGACACCGAAATAACGGTGCTTAGTAAAATTTACAGACGGTATCGGATATCTCATCCACAAAGTACGTCTTATAGCAAGTGTCATAGGGTTCCACGTATGGCAGTACCATTTATAGTAAGGCTAATAAATCAAGGAAACGTATATCACTCAGCCACGACACTGCATTTTTATTAACGCAAATGCCCCTGTCGAACATCCGCAGGAACGGCAAGAAGCTGAAGTCGGGCAAGACGACGTCCATCACGCACGTGGGCGAGGAGACCACGCTGGAGGTGCACGAGAGCCGCGTGGAGAAGGACGCCGGCGAGTACAAGTGCGTGGCCGTCAACCAGAACGGCAAGGCCACGCACCAGGCCCAGGTCGACATCGACGCAGACGTCGTGTAAGTTTGCGGAAAATCGTGGCTTTGGTGTTCCATGTTCATATCTTGATTAAGAGGGTTCATAGTTCTTCTCTTTCTTAAACTTTGTGGAGTTTCAGGTGAGAGAAACTTTTGTTACCGTTTTAACCGATATTGGTGATTGACTTGACAGGAGATTCGTGAAAGACCTGGAGGACTTTGACGTCGAGGAGCGGTCAACGGTCGCCCTCGAGTGTCAGACATCACAAGAGGTCAAGGTCACGTGGAAGCGTGGCAAGAAGGTCATCAAGGAGTCGGACAGATACGAGGTGAGCTTGACAGCATGTGCTGCTCCTCAGGTTGGTGATAAGTCAGTGCAAAACGTTAAAGACAGCACACAGATGTCTTGCACCGGTTCGAGAAGTCGTGGGCTTTTACTCACGTCGGTAATATCCTCTTTTTCAGATCACACACGTGGGCAAGACTCACCGTCTGATCGTGCATGACGTGGTGATGGCGGACGCCGGAGAGTACACGTGCAGCACTGACGGCGCAGAGACCCAGTGCAAGGTCACCGTCAAAGGTCAGTCAATAGAATAAAAATAAAAACGTCATCTCATGTTTGTTCTTATTTTATTACCATGTTAAGCCACGCCATACACTACCAAAGGCTCCGGTCTTCCGATTGACAATCCGCCGTGCCCATTTCCTCTCGCAGAGGGCGGCCCGTACTTTGTGGAGAAGCTGACCGACATCGAGGTGAAGGAGCAGGAGACGGCGGCCATCAGCGTCACCGTCAGCTCGTCCACCGCCAGGGTCGTCTGGCACAAGGACGGCGCCGCCATCAGCGAGGACAACGGACAGTACGAGGTCAGTGCGAGGACGAGGAGCCTTACCAGGGCCGGGGTGGTTTATTGGGGGCAAAGGCGAAGAGCAAGACGGATATCGCTGTTTTCTAACAAGGCGACTTCTCTCAGTTCTGTAACTCCCTTCGTCCGTGTGTTATTCTCTGTATTCATAAACGCAGTAAAGTTAAAGTGGGACTCGATGAAAACTTACGAAAAGTTAAAAGCATAACCTGCAACTTTTATCGTTCAATCCACGAGCTGACACCATCTTCTCTCACTTTGCCCCACAGTTTATCGCCGAGGGCGTGTCGCGCCGGCTGGTACTCCGCTCCGCCACAGTGCACGAGGAGGGCGAGTACACGTGCTCGCTCGACGACCAGGAGTGCACCTGCGAGGTGACGGTCGTCGAACTGCCCCCGGTGCTCACCAAGAAGATGACCGATACCACCGTCACCCGCGGCGAGCGGGCCATCTTCGAGGTGGCGCTCACCAAGGTAAAGAGACACTCATCTGCGAATGTAGGACTTTTTCTGTTATACGAGTATCGATGAATTTCGGGTGCATCCATCGGCCAGGCTGTATTGTTCGGTTAGTGTTTACGCATTATGTCTATTATTCATGCCAGGATCCATGAAGTAGGATTATAGCGTTATGTTTTCCCGAGTGTATCGCAAACAAAATCACGGCCACGCACTACGCAGTAACGCTGTTTCCATAACCTTCGTAGGGTGACGCGTTGGTGCAATGGTTCTTCAACGGCAAAGAGATCAAGTTCTCTGAGCACATCCAGCTGGGCATTGACGGCAAGCGCCAGAGGCTGATGGTGTACCAAGCGACCTCCGAGGATGCCGGTACCTACACCTGTCGCATCGGAGGAGACTCCTGCACTGCCAATCTCACTGTGGAAGGTCCGTGTCCTGCTGCATAGCCGGTTCATAAAAGTTGCCGGGCTGTTAACAATACTTATGTTTACCGACTTTGATAGAAGAAGATTAGAATGTCATTTTACTATGGCGATAGCTATTGACTATAGCTGCGGTAAAGACCGACACAGGGCCTCATAATTGCCCTCGGTAGCCGAAATCCTCACTAAGACGTTGAGTGTACGAAGTGCGTTCTGGAACTGTTCTAAAATTGTTCTCACGATGAAACTCAAGTAAGAGCACTTGTGCACATCCCTGATGTCACACTTACCTCCCATCCATTCCCACTGCACAGAGCCGACGGTGGAGTTCATCGGACGTCTGCCGGAGAAGGTGGAGGCGCCCAAGGACACCACGGCCTCGTTCACCGTGGAGCTGAGCGACGCCTCTGTACCGGTCACCTGGCTGAAGAACGGCGAGCCCGTCACGGAGTCGGACTCGTGCACGATCCTGGTGGACGGTCCGCGGCGCACCCTGCTGCTGAAGGAGGTCCAGTCCTCGGACGATCGCACCGAGATCACGTGCACGGCCGGCAACGTCAAGTGCACCAGCAAACTCAGGGTTACCGGTGAGGGACGATGGATGTGTGTGAGAGCTGGGGTACGATGATGTTGACTGACGGTGTTATAACGATTTGCGCACATCGAGGAGAAACATCGGGGGAACGTTATAAGGATATAAGGATTCTATAGGATTCTAAGGATATAAGGATTCCTGTAGGATTGTGACAGCAGCAGGCATGGGATGTCTTTATATTTTGTTAATTTCTTTGAAAGTTCAACAGCGACAAAATTGATTTGTAATCTTGAAGTGTTCAAACGTCAAAAATGTTCGTCCTACATGTGCATTTTCTTCGTTCCCAGTGGTCCAAATGCAGCCGAAGATCCGCGAAGACCAGCTGAAGACGGAGTACCTGGTGAGGAGAGGAGAGGACATCAAGATAACTGTACCATTCCGCGCCGCTCCGCCGCCCAAGGCCGAGTGGCACCACAACAGAAAGACCATCAAAAAGTCGAGAAAGGTGAGACCCAGGTCTGCCATTAGGTGTTTCCGTTTAGCTGCTCAGGCACCTGAGGAGTCATCGATACTTTTTTTCAGAGGCTCAAGTATTGAGCATCCCTAGCCTTTTAGTTTCTCCATTATGTGATCTCTGGGCTTCAGCGCCTCGGCTCCAGTGCCCTTCACCTTCTGTGATCCTGGTGTAACTTTTGTCCAGCATGTCACCTGATTCGCTGTCGTTGCAGTACCTACCGACCATCACCGAGTCCGAGGCGTGTATCACAGTGAAGCAGGTGGAGGACTCCGACTGCGGCACCTACACACTCAAACTCGGCAACGAGGTCGGAGACATCTTCATCAACATCTCACTCAAAATCATGGGTAAGCTTTCGTCATTTCTTTCTGCTATTTTAAAGGCATTGTCGTAGCTAGGGCCAAATTGCAGTTTTGCTATCCTCTAGCACCATGCATATGATTAACCTACATATTGAACAACCGTTATTATTTATAATTCCAAAACATTCTTCAAATTTATCCATGTACTCTGAGTCTTACCCCACGAACTGACCTCTGACCCGGTGCCCCGTCCCCTCCAGAGACGCCGTCGAAGCCGGGTCGCCCGGAGCCGGTGCAGGTCACAGACGACTCTGTCACCCTGCACTGGACCCCGCCTCAGACGGACGGCTGCTCGCCAATCACAAACTACTGCATCGAGTACCAGATGAAACTACAGAAAACGTGAGTGAGGCGACAGTCAGTGATCTTTAGATTTGCATAAATGTGGGTCAAAATCGGCACATTATCATGAAACCGTAAAGCATCGATAAGTGGATGAGCACCGAAGCCAATGGCAAGCCATGGATTCACAAGTGTTTTCCAAAACGCAGTTCGTATATATTTAGACATCTACTATCGTTACGCATTGCGTCTGGCACATGCGCTTTGAATACGTGGTGCCAGATATGCACGATTTACTGACGTCGTTTCACGGTTGGCTGCAGGTGGACCAAGTTCGAGGAGACGACGATCGTCAAGGAGACGACCCGGACGGTGACCTCCCTGACGACCAACTCCGAGTACCGCTTCCGCGTGTACGCCCTCAACGACATCGGCGCCAGCGAGCCGTCAGAAGAGTCCGAGTTCATCAAAGTCAAAAGTCAGTGGCTGCATGATGCTTATTAAGTTGTCTCAATGAATTTCGATCGATCGACAATGTGTTTTAACTAATGTACGCCGTATTTTATTACGAAGCCACTTAATCACTATGTAAATATCGGAAAAGATGCATGATTGGGTGATTTGTGATCAGCGGAAGTCGCAGCTATGTAACTCTAACTAAGATAACGTAAATAGATAAAACTCAATCAGGATACTGTCTACACCAGCCACCTCCAACCTGTCCTGCACCTCTGACGCCGTCCCTGCTTCACCGCAGAGCCGGTCGCTCCGGAGCGGCCCACCGTGGTGGAGGACCTGAAGGACGTGGTGGCCGGACTCGCCGAGAAGGTCACCCTCCGCTGTGTCATCACCGGCGTCCCAGAGCCCGACATCCGGTGGTACGTTTACGAAAGCGTCGTCTCCTCTACACTCTGCAACTTACGTGAAATTGCGTCCAGACGAACGGTTTCTTGTCGGAAAAAGGTTTCGTGACTTGATGTACTTGTATTAAATGTGCTGATTTACGTAGCCTACGTCCTATAATCGTTTGTATACGATGTCAAAGGTCTCTTAAAAGCACAGCATCACTCATTAGTAGCTCTTCTTCCGAACCCACTTTAACGTTTCCGATAAATGATGAAAACGAGCACTTCTCTAGCACCCACAACTCGCCGTTCCGCTAATTCTTTTCTGCGCACTCCCTGTTCAGGACCCGTAACGGTAAGCCGGTGAAGAGCCGGAAGGTCCAGTACGACCAGCACGTGGCCACACTGACCCTGGAGGACACCACGGAGAAGTCTGCCGGCACCTACACCTGCTACGCCTCCAACTCGGCCGGCGAGGTCGAGACAAGCTGCATGGTCCAGATCCAGGGTAAGGATGCTCGTGACTGTGTCAACGACGCCTTTCTACGGAATGGGTGGATAGGGGGTAGTGGAGTGTTAGGTTGAAATGTGTCCATGGTATTTTCTGCGGGTTTGAAGTGATGGTAAAGTCAGTGAACGGCGTACTTTCATTTTATTGTTTTATTCATTGCTTATTCTGGATATATTTTCATGCTAATGCAATTATTTATCCATAACGAAAAACGCATCCTTGGGCGATTCATGACTTCTGTGTAACTGTCGCAATCGCCTCCTATTCTCCACAGAGCCGCCGTCTCTGGAGTATGAGCCCGCTCTGAAGGAGCAGCGGTTGGCGGTGGGAGCGAGTTGGACGGTCAGGGTGCGCGCGCGCGGCATCCCACGCCCCTCGCTGCAGTGGTACCGCGGCGAGCAGCTGATCACCTCCTCTGAGCGGCTGGAGCTGCGCACAGAGTCCGACAGCACTGAGATCACTATCAGCCGGCTGGAGCGAGACGACTCGGCGCCCTACCGACTGGTGGCCACCAATGATGTGCGGACGGTCACAGAGGAGTTCACACTACGGGTACTCGGTGAGTGCAGACGCTGCCGGCTGGTCGGAAATACCACACATGTGAAATCAGTGGTTTTCTGTCTTGAATTTGGTATTGATTGTTTGGTCGGTCGTCGACTGCTGAAAGAAGCGCAGCAGTTGAAAGTCGTTGGTAGTTGACTGCACCTTTTAACTTCCAGTATTTCACGATTTAAGTTGTTTATTGCTATGATTTATGTCCCGATTTTTTCATATTTTTTTATTTACCCAGCTGATTTTGTTGTGTCCTGTGTCACTTTTCTTTCAAAGCGTTTGAAATGTCGTGAATAGTCGGTACTTGACACGGTGTCGACTGTCGTAGATGTTCGTAGATGTCTTGGCCATTTCTCACTGATCCTGCTCTACAAATGGGAAACGAATGACTGGGCCCAGGGCAAGTCTTTTTTTATATTTTATTTTTCACGTTTGGAGGGCAGTTGACGTGTTTACCCTCTAAATTTGTTTATTTCGTCAGATGTTTCGTTCTCTTTGACACATTCTGCTGTATTCGCCCGTTTAGATTACAGTCGACGCTCTATGAGTCGAACTCGATCCAGTAGTTTGGAGAGCATCGGTAAATGGGTCCGCCTGTGCCAGTGTGCAGCAGGCACTGTGTCACCTCTGTCCACCTACCCCAGTGACTGGAGCTTCCGCCGAACCGCACCCCTCCCCCCCTCTCTCTCTCTCTCTCTCACTTACTATTTCTCTCTTTTCTCTTTCTACTTTTCTGTCTTCCTCGATGCGCCCGTCTCCTGGGCCAGTCGGAACTGTCAAGAGGCACCAACTCCTATTTTTTTCACTGGTCAATGTGCAGTCACCTGAGACATCAAGTGGACCGCCAAATATGCTACCCAAATGTGTGATAGATAAGCAGCTGTGTTGGCGCAACATAGCATGTAATAATGTGACGATCTGGTCTTTCATTCCTCTTTTTCTTCTTCTTCATATTCTTCTTCTCTCTTCTCTCTCGGCCTCTTCTATTTCTTCTTTTCCGTATCTTGCAACTTGCAAGTTTACAAGCTCACAGGCGCTCCTGACTTTCCTCATCTCTGACACTGTGTGAGACCCGAGTCAACCAATGAATCCGATGTGCTTTTGCCTGGTGACGGTGAGGGTTGACCAATCCGTATAGATGTAGAAACTACTGTGCTATTGTGCTCGACTGTTCGGCTGGTGTGCGGGCTAGGTGTCCTCTGTGGTAGGAAAAACGCTCTATTCATGAATGCCGATGGTGCGTTCGAACACCAATCCTTGTTTACCATTGGGCACGAGTGACTACATACAACCCGTTGTGAACCCAGCCAACAAATAAAATCACAGTCATCGCAAAGTTTTGTACGGGCGCTCAGTAACCAACAATGCATAACTCGACGTTTTTGCACTCCACTGTTCAACTAGAATAATACCTTAAATTAATCGATGATAACTTCTCAGAAATATTTCTAATAAGTGTTCGGCTTGATACTGTGCACACCACTTCTCGAAGCTCGTTGTAGCTATAGCCTATAGGTGCGATCAAGCTAAGTAAAATAACCCTCTCACTTAATTCTATAAACATAATAATGGGATAAATTACGGATACCATCAAACTCTCAAGCGATACACATGTCCCGTATCTGTTGCATCTCCCTTGCTACCATCCTCCCGCGACCCACTGACCTCGGTGTGTGTGCTCGGCGCCCCGACAGACAAACCCAGCCGACCAGAGGGTCCCCTGCTGGCGCGGGTGGCCGACCAGGAGTCGGTGACCCTCGACTGGCAGCCCCCGGCCGACGACGGAGGGTGTGACGTGGCCGGCTACTTCATCGAGAAGTTTGACAGCAAGAAACAGACGTGGACCAAGGTGAGAACAGTGGCCCACCTGACGAGGTTGGGCATAGTGGATGTGGTTAGTTGTTTAAATTTATTTCGATGAAACTTGGCTGTCTAACTACGCTTTAAGAGGAAGAATCGAACAATGCTACGAAACATATCGTTTGCATGTGCGGCATATACCAGATGCCATTGACACCCAGCACAAAATCCGAAATGCAATTTTGATAATGACGCTGAGTACATCAAAGTTCGTTTCACTGGCATTTAGTACCATCAGTGATCCACCCACAAAACAAACTCCACGGCTGACCTGCGGCTGTCACCAGGTTGCCGACATCGTTGGCGACATCCTCAGCTACTGCGTACAAGACCTGCTGGAAGGACACGAGTACTTCTTCCGGGTGTACGCCTTCAACGTGTTCGGCAACTCGGAGCCGCTGGAGACCGCAGAGGCGGTCGTCGTCACGAAACCATTCGGTACGAGAATGTACCAGAAGGACGGCGATTTATTGGATTAGTTGCCAGTACCACCGTATTTGGAGTGATAGAGCCATACAATGGATGGGAACCAGACCGTTGGAGGTTGTCATTTCTCCTTAAGATTATCGTATGTTGTTTGAGATTATACCCTGATAACGACCGAGGATTGTTTTTGAGTGACATTAAACGGTTCCGATTAATGAAAACAATGCACCGGTAAAGATGTGTAATTGTTTAGTACGTGGCACCGGATGTCTGCCGTCTGGTCCTTTGTGAAACATTAATCTGCGGGTTTTCGGTGGAAAAGATCATCTATCTTGTGTGGCCTGAACTTAGACCTGTCGTCTGACATCATTTTGTCAAGTTAAAGAAGGTACGTGTTAACTTCATGTTAAGTTTATCAGTCACTATAAGTAGCCTATAACTGACATCTAACCTTCCCTGTTCCTCCCCTGACAGTAGCGGCGTTCAATAAGGGGGGGGGGGCACTGCCGATTTTTGGTCCCATTCTTTCCATGCAACGCCCATGGGGCTAATGTTAAAATGCCAAAATCAAAGGGGGGCACGGTGCCCCGGTGCCCTCCCCGTTCCGCCGCCTATGTCCCCTGACCTCTGACCTAACCTGAATTGACCTGAATTACTCCCGCTTGCAGCACTGCCGTCCGCTCCGATGGGTCCGTTCGAGGTATCCAGCATGGGTGACACATCTCTGACCCTGTGCTGGCAAGAGCCCGAGTCGGACGGCGGGGCCGCCATCGTCGAGTACCTCGTCGAAAGGAGAAACGTCGGAAAGAAGGCCTGGCAGAAGGTGCGTGGGAGAAGTGTTTTCTCTCGGACAATGTAGGTAGCTAGATGGGATCAGAGGCCATGCTTGACGGTGAAGGTCAATGCGGTTGGTTCGCGTATGCCACGCAACACTTTAACTTCAGTCAGCATATTGCATCATGTTGTGAGTCAAATGACATCTTAAAGTCAGTCCGTTGGGTTGCATGGTCGTTTCGACACAAGTACATCCCTTTACAAGTACCTACGTCGTCCGTTTCCGAACGCAATTATAAATAATTATAACTCAATCAACTTGCAAAACACGGGTACTGCAGGAAGGAAACTCGCAATGTCCGACCGATCTTCAGACGATGAGAACCGATGACTAAGTCCGCTTTACCTACTTTATGCAGCTGGATTTAATTACGAGCGCTTTGACATGTTGACTACTTAGTGTCAACTTGTCAGCATTTTATTAGCCTTTGACAATTTTTATGGACGTTGATTATAGGACAATCACTTGTTATCTAACTAAATCAGACATGCGATGATATGCTCAATTGATCTAATTCCAATTTGCGGAAACTCATAGGTCGGTTATCTTTTTGCTGGCTAGGCATATGAAACTTTTCCGGGCCACGTGCTCAGAAACTGCCGAAGTGGGCAAATCCTAACCATGTGGATTGCTGTTGCTAATAGCATTCTCTGTATTCGGCATTACCGCATCGAAAAATATTGGTAGTGCAGCTAAACAGACTTCAAGGACGTGTCCTCAGAAATGTCCCATTACACAAATTGTCAATAATTGGCGAACAATGTTCCCGGCATACCATAAACGAGACCAAATCCCCGTATGATTCTACGGGATTTGACCCACGGTCCTGAACGCTATGCGTCACATTGTTACAGTATCTCCATTCGCAGCCTATCTGCGTGTTTTAAAACTGTGGTTTTACTGAACCCACCCAATTCATCTCTGACACTATCGACGCCGTTACGACCGTCAGGTGGGCACCACCGACAGCGAGACGCTCAGGATTGACGTCACGGGCCTGAAGAAGAACATGCAGTACAACTTCCGCGTGTCGGCACGGAACGCGGTGGGCGCCGGCCCGCCGCTCGCGCCAGAGGAGGCCATCACCGTCGGCAAACGGCTCAGTGAGTATAAGGGAGGGGTGTGACGGGGTCGGTGAACGGGAAATAGAAGCGGTGAAACAGGCAGAACCATAGACCTCTGTATACAGAGGTCTATGGCGGAACTTATTCGGTAAAGCTAAAGATGTAAGCATTAGGAATATTATAAAGGATTTGGACCAATGCCGATAAACTTCTCCGTATAAAACGCACACTAATACGGTGAATGGCTGAATAAGTTGCAGGGCAAGGGCAATATGTCTGAGGAAGTAGCCGAGTGGCCGAAAGGGCTAATGCGTGCTCTCTACGTGCCATGTTTGTTGTACCCTTAATATTTCATTAGTGTTCGAGGCATGTATGCCAAAAATCACAATCAGGACCGCACGCCATATACAAACGGTCTGTAAACTAGTGCAGTCGCCGATCAGCTGAGGATGCCCCTCACGGGGAAGGGGGGACGGGGAGGGGTCAGTCGTGGGAAGGCCGTCGCGCGAGGGGAGCGGCCAAGCTCAGACAGCTCAGCGCACGGCAAGGCCGTTCGACAGGAAGGATCGCCCGCCGGGGCGCAGGGTGCGGTCACCATGAGTAGCCCCCCGCCACTGACCGACGAGGAAAGAGCCGCGCGGGGCCGTCCGACGGCGGGCGACAAAGAACCCAGTCCCTAGTATGCGCGGAATCTTTTGGAAACTCGCAAAAATCCAGTAGTGGATTCCACGATTATGATGTTGTCATATCAAGATCGGTGCAGGAAATGTGTCGTGGAAAGTGACGGTAGCATTTTATCGGGGCGGGTCAATGCCATCTGTGTAGTATATCTCTGTGCCGTTGTTATCGTGCCCGTATCACGCACTGTTGTTGTTTTCAGCGCCTCCGTCACCGCCGACAAACCTGACGGTCTCAGACGTGACGAGTCGCAGCGTGACACTGCAGTGGGCCCCGCCCACCAACATGGGAGGAGCCAACCTCACAGGTGGGTGCCGCAGACGGTTTGCCTTTCAGCGGTGCAGTGGTGTTTGTGGTTTCGTTGTAGAGGCATATGACGCGCCGATTAATGGTCAGCGGTCATTTAAAGGGACTATCCCACCTTTAACATGGGGTTTGAGTTGAGATAGCAAAGTTTGCGGCGAGGTTCAGAAACCACTATCTATCTAGGTTGCAACCCCCGCGGCCTCTTGGTGTTGAAGAAATTCGTTCCCTTCATTTGAAAATGGGCCTTGCGCAAGGCCCTATCTTCAACATGGAGCGACCGTTAGTGTGACGTCACCTCGTTTAGTCATTCTGATTTAAATGGGTTTGTTCGTTGAAAAATCGCTTAAAACTTGGTCTGAACTTTGTTGTGGTGCCTACAGAGTAAAAAAAATCAGCTTTATGACAGTAATGTGGCCTGGGGAAGGAGGTAATTTTGGGCTGTGACGTCACATATTTGAAAGTTTGTGTTTGGAATATGGGAAGCCTAAGATGTTTAATGAAAAATAAATGCCAGAACCGTGTTCCTGGTCATCCAATCTATAAAGTCGGGCACAATTTAACTGGTTTTAACAACATTTTAGAAGGTGGGATTGTTCATTTAACGGCCACTGACGTCAAAGAAGCATACTTCCAGCAACTTGTATGAACTGAGTCAGATAACTTACCTGCTTCTGTCGGGCTTTTTCGAGTACTGATCAACAGTGAGTTATCGAAACAATGCTTGGTTTATCCTAATGGATAGCGGTTATCTGATGAGTCAAATTAGGCAAAAGTTCTGACCCTGATCCCCTCCCCCCCCCCCTCCTACCCGTGTTGCAGGATACATCATTGAGCGCCAGCCGGCTGGCGACTCCACCTGGGAGAAGGTGGTCACGCTCGACAGCTCCGTCACCCTCTACTGCATCTCGAACCTGCGGGAGAAGTCGTCCCTGTTCTTCCGCGTGTCCGCCGAGAACCCGATCGGAGCCGGCGCGCCGGCCGACACCGACCTGGTCTCGCTGAAAACGCACGCCAGTGAGTGCAGATGTGTGATGATGTCAGTAAAGCAGTTCTTACTTCTGAGTGTGGGAGTGTCGGGCATCTGTGATCGTCAGGAGGAGGACGGCCGGAGATGATGGTGTGGGAGGGTGGAAAAAAATGAGTAGCCTCGCAAGTGAAAAGGAATTTGTGGAATCGTTGCGTTGGTGATATTTTATTGAAGTAGTTTTTTAATCTTATGGTTATGCAGTCTGTTTGTTATCATTTATTTTTCTTCTTTCTGCTGTGTGATCTAAAGATGTCAATGCATCACATTAGGCCCCGTTTTCTGCCGCCTGTGCCCCTCTCGTCCTCCCCCAGCCCCACTGACTCTTTTCGCCCCCCGTGCCCACAGCTCCGCCGTCCCCACCTACGGCCCCGCTCGAGATGCGCTCCACAGGGCCCAACTCACTGCTGGTGGAGTGGGGCATTCCTGAGTCCGATGGAGGTGAGAGGTCACGGGTCACTCAGAGGTCACGGGTCACTGGAGGGGTCATGGGTCACTGGGGGTCACGGGTCATTGCTGGGGTATAGGGGTCACTAATAGATGAATGGCCACTTAGAGGTCACGGGTCACTCAGTGGTCCTTGGTCACGGGTCAGGATCAGGTGTCACGCCTCAATGGCTGCTCGCTTTGACCACTAAACGGAAGGGAAGGCTGAAAATGGCCATGAAACGTTGGGAGTCGGTCGGTTTTCCTTGACTTTGTATTAAACTGTGCGCAGCTTTCATAAAAAGATATCATGTGTCGGGCGCCGTTATGGTTCAGTCTCACTTTTGCGTACGCTTTGGTAGTTAATTTTCCTTGCATTTGGGATTTACTATGAATGGTAACTCTAGCAGATCTTTGACAGTCATTAATCCGCTTCTGGTAGCTGTTTCTAAAAATCATCGCATTTTCTCGAGAGCACGGGCCAGCCCTATGACAGGTGCCGTCGCCGTTTACCGATTCCCTGGCGGTACTTTGACGAACCACTGTTTCACAGGCGCGCCGCTGGAGGGCTACGACGTGGCGATCCGCGATGCGCGCCGAACCATGTGGATTCAGGTCGGCATGGTGGGTGCCGACGTCACACGACTCCAGATCAAGGAGCTACACGTGAGTGTCGCTGCCTCTGGCTGGCCGGCCGGAGCGCAGACGGGTGTGTCCTCGGCAATGTCCGGGAAACTGGAGATGTCCGGAACGAGCGACAGCGGACACACCGCACCGTTTGCCTCATCGGAGCGACCGGTTTTCAGCGATGGGGATCGATTAAATTGACGATTTGTATTCATGTCTGTTGATTGCTCATTCAGGTGCGTTTTTGTGAGGACTTTCCGGCTGATTATCCGTCTGTCTCCGCTTACAGGAAGGACACGAGTATTACGTGCGGATCTTTGCCAAGAATGAAGTGGGGATCAGCGATCCCCTCGAGAGTGAAGACGCAGTCAAAGTGGTCAGGCCGGCAGGTATGCATATTTCGCTCCATTCGAGATATCCTAGATTCAAAGTAATTCAAGCTGTGTGAAGAATATCTCGGAGTAGAAAAGGTTACGTAACTGTGCACCGTTCATATATATGTAATGCATGCAAGGAAACTCCACGGATTATCGATCTCCGGTTAAAGAGTGAAGACTGAAGGATATCCGTGTATTAGTCGATGTTTTGTTCCTTCCTTCCTCCCCATTAGACTGTTCATATGCGGACTATCGTGGTCTATAAAAAACTTAGTGATCAGTGGGTCATACGGTAATAAGATGCACACTGCTGCACCCTTCCGGGCCCAAAAGTCATCACCTTTTTCTCGACACTCCGCGATGATATAATTTGCTCTCATTTTAAATTCTTTATAAACTTTTAATTGCTGTCTTTTACCTTTCAGAACTTCGATGCTGTTAAATTTCACAGAGGCTCCTAAAGGAAAAAGCTTTTTTAAATCGCTGCTTTCATAGCATTTCACGCTGCGTTCATAGCATGGCAACTTTATTCCATACGAGGCAGCAGATTGTCATTTCATCCTTGCCACACCTCGACTGAGCGCATCAGACAACAATCACCGTCCTTGCAGGGACGATCATTGTTGCTGCCCTCAAACCGGTGTCATCGGGGCCTTCAAATGACCGTGGAGCCTACAATCGGAGATGACCCAACCCACAGGCACTTCCTTCCCTGCTTCACCCCATTGTGTCCTCAATGAAACCGCTTGACAATAAACTGAACCGCAGTCCCTGGTGACTAACAGCTGAAGATGATCTTGATAGCAGCGATAGAGACCAACATGACTGCCTTGAGGTAATTTGATTTAATCATTTAATATTTAAATGAAATTTTTATACACATGTCCGTCGTTTTGTGTCCACTTAAGTAAATTCATCAAGCCCTTATTTTGTACAACAAATTACAAAAAGGTGCAATTTTAAAATCGAGCGTCGCAAAGGAAACTAATGAAGGCAAATCGGAAGAACTCGAGGACATATAGGAACAATCAACAATACACAGGAAGCACCCTACATATACGATGTTATTGCTAATGAACTAATGCAATCTGATTGATTGGATACGAGTCTTTTTATTTAAGCCAATGAAAAAGGACCTCACCTTACTTGACATTCCAATTTGGACAATAACCGAAAACTAAAAAATTGCATCGATTGAACGGTCTGGAAACTCATCAGAGCATTGTGCAATTTCAAACAAGAGTATTTACCTCATACCTGCCACACCTCTTCACCGCTCTACATTGTGGAACTTTCCCCGCCTCTCACGTTCCTACATGTCGAGAAACAAGCAGTGATACACCCATCGAACACTGACATCTGCATTTTCTTGTATGTGTAGCGCCAAATATTTCCTGAGCGTTTGTTGTTCTCAGAAGTCCGTACTGAACTAACCCAGTGCAACTTTGATACACAGGTGTCAGTGAAGACCGTTCTATTTTTTCTTTTTATGGATGAGTTAAATCGCTTCATTCACATTCCTGAATCCAACTGTGGCCTTGATCCCACTGACCCCAATAACCTTGACTCGCTGACCGTGACCTATTTGACCATGACCCCTGTTGTGACCCCTCTGACCTCCGACGTGGCCCCTCTGACCTCCGACGTGACCCCTCTGACCCGTCTCCACCCCCCCCCCCCTCAGATTACCTGGAGGCGGAGACGGTGGACGGCGTGGACTGGGACAGGACGCCCTCCCTCAGCGCCACCACCGAGACCTCCTCCTGGCTGCGGGAGGCCGGCATGGACGCCGACATCCACTCGTACAGCCGGCTGGCGCTGCTCAGGCGCGACGAGTACTTCTTCCGCATCTGGTACTACTCGCAGGAGCTGTTCAAATAAGCGGCCGACCGCCGCTGGCGCGCGCGTCCACCGTCCCCCGTTCCGTGTGCTGAATCAAAATGTGTCGTGTCTGTGCGTTTGTACCTTTTATGAGTAGCGACGACGTCCGGAGGAGGGATGGTTCTCTGCCGGCTGACCCGAGCGGCCGGTGACCTGACCTGACCTGTGGCGGGTCGCGGCCGACTCTGCGCGGCGAGAGGCCCGTGTGATACGGTGTAGAGATGGACGGCAGGATCCGCGGTGTACATAGTTCTTATGGAGTGATCCGCCGGTACGCAGTTGGATTCTCAGGAGGGTGGTGACGATATAGAAACGGTGTTTGACCCGTCCTGCTCCGGCGGGACTCGTCGGTCGCTCCAGGCTGACCCCTACTATCGTGACCGACGGGCTGACCCGCCCGGGGCGCCGGCGGCTGACCTCGCCTGACCTCTGACCTCGCCGGTCCATCTGCTGCTTCCATCGGGCCGGTGGGGTCGGGGCAGGGCGAGGCGGCTGCTGTCTTTGGGACGTGACCTGCATATGACCCCGCCTGACCTGACCGCGACTGGCCCTCTGCTGCAATTCCATCTGGTCAGTCGTATCGGGGAGGTTGGGGTCACTGCTGTCACTGCGGGTGACCTTTGCGTGACCTCGTCTGTCCTGACCTCGGTCGGCCCTCTGCTGCGTCCATCCGACCGGCCGGGTCGGTAAGGGCGAGTGTCGGCGCTCTGAGGTCATTTGAGGCGTCTGAGGGCCCACGGGTAGCGGGCAGACGCCAGCGAGAGGCCATGTTATTTGTTATGGAGAGGTGTGAGCTAATGGAATACAGTAGTATCGGCAACAGTTGTTTTATTACGATCGCGTAATCGTATTTGCACTGATCTAGTCATAGCGAAACTACTCTGCGGTGGACTTTTCAGATGCTCCTCTATTTCATTGCCTATTAGCTATAATTCCGCTGAAAGGACTAGCCTTTTCGCAAAACCATTGGCGAGTAACCCGTAACATGAATGTAAGTAGGTATGGCCTTATGCGTGCTTTAAAACTCCATCATACTTGTGTACGGCTACGAACCTCAATTGAATGATTTACGGTGAATAAACAGGTGGGCCTCTTATCAATATATCTTATCACAAAGATCAGAGCGACTAAGGCAAGCTCAGTTAACTTTCGCTGGCGGCTGTTTTCCCAGAATTAATTTCCTCTTCCTTCTGACTTCTCCATTGATAAAACAAACAAGACATGTGTAATCGGGAGCGCATCTGCCCTTGTACCTAGGTGAAGAGACAACAAGCAAACAGTTTTATCTGATTGCGGTTGGTTTCCGGATTTGAGTTTTGGGGCCGTTACGATTAGTAGCCGTTAACTGATTCACTGTCCCGTATGGAAACGGCAGCATCTGTTATCTTGCCCATGTTACCCTTCATAAGTTCATAGCGTCATTAATATTGCTACTCGAGAGCGTGAGAGCTTTTTCATTTGATTCAACGTCGGTTTCCGAAAGTAACTCATCCGTCATCACTAAGGTAAATAACTGATGATTATTATCGATATCGATGACAGAATCGTCTTCCATCATGGCGCTCACCAACCGCCAACTTTGTTTCATCGATATCTCTTATTGCCTCTTTAATGCCTCGTCACCAGCTCGTTGCCTCGTAGTTCACTAATTGTACCTCTATTCTTAACTCTCCCCTTTGACCGTCTTCATCTCTAATACACCGAACACGAGCTTCAAACCCGCCACCCTGAGACGCTTCATCACAAACACTCACCTCAGCCACCTCCCTCTCTGCCCGTCAACTCCGTGCGTTTCCCACCAACCCCGTTTGTCTCCCGTCAGCTCCGTTTGTCTCCCTTCAGCTCCGTGTGTCTCCCGTCAACTCGTGTCTCCCACGGAGAGCAGTGACATCATAAACCTCATCTGAACCGCGGCACCGTTAAAAACTGACTCTCACCTGGCCGCAGATCCTCCAAGCCGATAGAGCGTCACAGTCACGACCCGCTACCTCAGTGTCGGTCCTTTGAGCCGCCCTGACCAGGCTCGGAAGTGGGTGTGTGAGGGGGGAGGGGACGGAGGTGCGCAGTCACGACAGAGGTGGATCATCCCAGACTGACCGCGCAGAGCGACGGCAGGCAGGCCTGCAGGACATCGCTGGAGCCGAGATAGCCGTCAAACATGTGTAGTTGTCGTTATCTCATGGGAGATCCGCCGACGCGGCTACGTCGTCTGACTCGTCTGTCCCGTCTGGATTGCCCATCTCGTCTGTCTCGGTGTTTCGTCTCTCTCGTAATCTATCTCGTCTACTCCGTCCATCACAGATCTCGTCTATCTTGCCAATCCCGTCTGTCTCATCTGAATCGCTTCGGTTTACGTCGCTCTGTTGCGTTTGAGAAACTGCTAAAACCAAGGCCCTATATACCGCTAAAACGGTTAGTCTAGAGCCCAGGATCATCATCGTTGGTTTTTCATCGCCGATGACATAACTCATGCGATGATTACCGGGGAGCCTGCGGTGAATGAGCCACACCGATTGAATAATAGTGACGTCATGATCAGCTGTGGAAGGGAGAACGCATCAGTCGCTATCTGCTTCCAGTCACTGAGTCATCCTAAACTCCGGACCGGCCAGTGAACATGCTACGCGCCCCGGTACCGACAAACTGGAAACACTGTGAGGTTTACTGGAGCAGCCCAACTATGTTCCGGTGACTCATCTGTGACTCATGAGTCGCGTAAGGCGGCTTGTTGACCACAAAAGGGCGGTGCTGAGGGGAGCTGGACAAATTCGGTATGTGAGGTGAATCGTGAAGTTTGGGTGGGTAGGGTGATTGAATTAGGTAGTGATAAGCAGCACCTTGTTAGCGGAGATGTGGATATGGGTGGCAGCTACGAACGATTATGGCGAGAATCGTCAAATTTGTGTTTGGATCCATTGATAGGAAGAGAAAGGCTCTCGACCAGGCAAAAAGGCAGGTGGTGGTTTCAGTTGTGGCTTGACGGAACCATAGTAGAGTGATGATGGCAAGATTGCCCAGCCCGAGCCTTCAGTAGCTTTTCCCAACGTTTGGCACCAAACAGTGTTTCGAACATGAGTTATGAGTATATTTTACATCACAATATATTCACAGTTCAGGAACACAGCACTAGCAATGAGTGGTGACACCAAATGTCCTCACCGCGCAACCCACCTCGCATGCATAACTTACGCGCGCGCGCAGCGACCGACCTGACTCTACAACTATCACTGTTGGGTATGAGCGCCTGCCGGCCTACATTGCCCTGGTTACTGCTCCCCATGCACAGCCCGGCGCGCGCGGCCCGCCTGCCCGGCCGGGCGTGGAGGACCGGTCGCCTCCGCTCGCCGCTATGACTCAGGAGCAGCACGCTCTCCACACACTCCCACGGCGGCCAGCGCCGGGGCGGGCGTGTCGCGGCCTGCCCCGGCCGACCGGAACCGCCGCGCCGCCGCCTCCGCTGGCGGCAGGACAGGCCCGCCGGCGGCCGGCGACGGGACGCGACGTGACACATTGGCGAGCGGTCGCACCGACGGCTAAAAATCCCCAGCGCCGGTCGACGACGGAAAACGTCGCCTACATTTCTGGCGCGGTATGGCGACAGGGACGCGGCTGTCCGTCGCCCATCACTCTGAGTTTGGCCTCGCAGAATTCACCGGGAGAGCGACCCGGACCTGACCCAACGTCCGGCGACCGACGGTGACCGGCGGCGGCGCTCGCCGCTCCGGGGTGGCGCCATCGCGGCCGGGTTCCGGGTCGCAAATTCCCAATAATGCTACACGCTACGCACCTCCAGCGCCGACTGGCTGGTTTTCGCGGGAGATGACGTCATAACCTGACGCCCACGCTCATTGGCCTGGGGGTTATGTGACGTCACATCCATCAGCCAATAGTCAGACGAGGTGGGGATCTATTCGCTAGTTCAGATACAGGTTAAGGAAAGTCTATGACGACAATATACGAGTCTATGCACGAATCACACGCGGACCTAAGGCGCGAATTCAAGGGCCTATTACGGCCCAGTTACGGCCTTGATTGATGGCCTTGGCCGAGTGCGCTGGACGTTGGACTTGAAGGCCGTGTTGGTGTTACACCTATTAGACTGTAATTTGTGTTGGATTTGTGGATGGTGTTGTTTCTGTACCTGTGGTGCAAGATGGAAAAGGATGTTTTTTCGGAAAAATTTGAATCTTCAGGCTTTTCAAACATCGACGCAGGGCCTCGGCCAGGGGGGTACGCTCCGGATGTTTAGCATTACGAAAAGTGGTGACAGACGTTTGTGGAGGATTGTCGACGAACTCTTGTTCCGCGAGCAGTACTTACGCGCTAGCGGAAAATCCACCAATCAGCGCTCGGCAGTACTCGACGCTGATTGGCCCGGTGCTCGTGACGAAATTGCGGGGGACCGCAGTTATTCTCTATGGATCCAAATAGGCTTTTGGATTTCGGAGGAGTTTCTTTAAGATTATATGCTGTTTCGAGATGTTTTCGAGTTCAAATATATTTCTTATGACTGTTAGCTATATAATGGCACCATAAAATCATGATTTTTAATAAATATTACCGATGTAATATCGGCCGAAAAGACGTGCCGTCATGGCACGGACTGCCCTGCGGCTGATGTGGGGCCCCTATAGTGCCAGCGTATGGTAATAATGGGTTGACGAAGGGTTATTGGAGACTCTTAGAGCCCCACCAGGATTCAGTATAGGGTCATCAGAGGCCGAGAACGTCCATCAGGGGTCTGAGTAGGCCTGTCATAGGGGCATACATGACACATCATGGAACATGGGTCAATGTATAGATCCATTAGGGGCCGTTGAAGCCTGAAGGGCCATCATTGTTCAGCGTGGGCCCGTAATTACCTCTGATGGGCATATGCCGTGCCCCAATGGACTAGCGCTAGCCCCTGATGAACAATTACCAGCCCCTGATGGCCTACAAAGCCCCCTGCTGGGTCTAAATTGGTCACTGATATGCCCAAATGGGCCACTGAGAAACCCGTACAACATCCCCTGACTGCACCTGATGGACCAATGCCGTCCCCTCATGGGCCCACCACGGCTCTTGAATGGCCTCTTCAAGTCCCCTGAAGTGCCTTTATTGGCCTAAATGGACCCCTGATTGGCTTATGTGGTCCCTTATAATGATCCTATATGGCCCCCATGAGCCCTCAACGTCCCTAGACAGCCTTACATTATATGCCACTGGGCCCTGTTGGGTCAGCACCGGCCCCTGATAGGCCTGCACTGGACCCGCCGGGCCTATACCGACCCATAAAGGGCCTATGTCGAGCCCTCATGGGCCTCCGATGACCACACGCCGGCATGTGTGGCCCCATCAGCAGCGGTCCGTCTATCCCATGTACTTACGGTCTTTTTAGCCGATGTGACACCGGTAGTATATAGAAATGTCATGATTAAATGTCGTTATTACATAGTCAAAAGTCACGGAAAGAATATCCAAGCTCAAAAATGGCCTCAAACCCAACAAAAACTGATATAAATCCCCTTCAAAAGTCATAAGTCAATGAAACGCCATAGGGGAGTAGCAGCAGTCCCCCGCAATTTCGTCACGAGCATCGGGCCAATCAGCGTTGAGTATTGCTGAACGCCGATTGGTCGATTTCCGCTAGCTTGCAAATGCTGCTTGCGGATATAGTCTTGAACAATTGAGGGTCGCGGCAACTAATTATCGCTTGTCACCACTTTTTTGTCGGGAGCGTTCTACCTGGTTTATATAGCCTTGGCCTCGGCTAAGGAATTTTGACTTCTGGGGCAAATCGTCAAAGTGTGTTGGCGCCCTGCTGGGGGGGGGGGGGTTGAACAGCTGTTTTTCCTGCGGTTTTTCGCGGATATCTAAAAAACGGAGGCGCTCCATCATCCATCAATTCTACACGTGTAAAAATTTCAGACCAAGGTCATTCAAGATCAGGTCACCAGGTCACTTCAAGTGACCTCACCTCATAAAATGTTTCAATGTATGCCGAGCCGTAGCTACACCGTGTGATCGATCGCTTTGAAACTTTCAGCGATTGATAAGATAAGGGCAACAGCATGTAGGTACACAATTTTTATCTCGGAATTTTCATATCGGTGACCTAAGGTCAGCTCAATTTTGCGACCTCTATTATAAGTCAATGGGAGAAAATTCAAAACCACCTCTTTTGGACGAAAGTCGTTCTAAACACTATAAAACACTGTACGTGACTTTGACACACTGAACATGAAAATAGCACCCGTGACCCTTGTTTATGCCCCTGAGGTCTTCTCAGTTCACGAATGGTATCTAACGGTTTTTTGCGAATAACTTTTGAAAGAGGCATGCTAGAGCGATGAAAATGTCTTAGTTGTTGTTTGGCTCGACGATGCAGATCGACTGACGACTGATATGCAACATGACAATTTCCGGTCAGATCATGACCTTGACCTGAGGTCGAATTTTCAAGTTGACCTTCAAGGTCAAATTGTAGTTAATTTGATGCGTCTTGACGAGAGGAACACGATGTCGGTAAAAGAAAGCTCATGCAAGGCATGAGTCAAATGTTATTGCAGAAGAACTGTTCCCGAAAAAATCGTCTATTTTGGTAGTTTTTGCCCCTTGCAGGCAAAACCGTTGACGTTAGGTCGAATCTAAGAGAAATAACCAGAAAACATGCTAATATGGCTATCAAATGCGCTTTTTCGCGGTGCTGTAGCTCTAATTGGTTCCCGAGTTATGCGTCGGCATCTTGTAAACTGTCGATATTTGACCTGAAAATCGGCGAAATTTGGCCTTCACCATGACCTGACCTTTGACCTGACCAAAAAAGTTGCCGAAGTAATTTCGTCATTATTTTTGACGCTCTTTCGAACGAAGATGGATTATGGGGTGCAAAAAGATATGTCTGCCAATGCACGCCCATGTTTTTGGATGGAAATTGAGGGTGCAGCTGCACACCGTGCACTCCCTCTTCCACCGCCCCTGATTTATTGCCACAAACGTCTTCAACCGCTCCCGAATGAAAGAATGCACGTTAATACGGATATATTATCATTTTGTGGAGGTTGGGCAAAGCCTGACCACTACTGGGGCATTCCTCGACTCTACTGGGGCATTTGCCCCAGAAGTTAACATGTTAGCCGAGGCCCTGCATCGACGTGAACTGCAAAGATGATACCTCAACCTTGACTTTGAGATGTAACGTCAAAACCCGAGAAGAGTTCAGAAACTGGCTTGAAATTTACTGTTCTTCTACCTCAACTACTCTGAACAGCTTCAGACTACTAGCAAGTGGCGATGGGCACAGGAATATGTTCCACCAAGCCACAACTCTAAACCCTCGCACGAGCAGAGCACATTTCGTTTACCATAATGCTGCATGACACAACAGCCTCAGGTTCTTTCGCCGCAACTTCTGCGTCGGATATACCCGATAAATCGTTCGCAGTGTAGTTGACTATTAAAGGCATCAGAGCAGTGGTCTTCGAGCCCTCCCATCGGCCGTGCACATCTCGGAACCCGCTCCCATCGGCCGTGCAGATCTCTCTGAGCCGCCTGCCGGCGGCGCCCCAGAGCCGAGCGGGCCCCCATGCGCATACCCCGGACGCGAGTGACGACACTGTGACGTCACCCGCCCGGGCTGTGCGTAGCGTGTAGCACTATTGGGAATTTGCTTCCGGGTCCGGGTCCAGCCGCCGCCGTCGGTGAGCGTCAGTGACGTAACAGTCGATGGCTTCGCGGCCGCACACGTCCGGACAGGTCCCGGCCGTCTCCCGGTCGGGTGGGATGGACAGCAGCGCTGCGCGGGCGCCGCGCCGGCCCCTGCTGGCCGGAGGATGCCCGAGTGACCCCGGCGGTGACCGGCGGCCGCTCACCCTGATGAGGAGAGCCGCACCAGGCCGAAGAAGCTGCGGTCCCAGAGCAGGATCGAGTACCGGTTCGGCTCCAGGTCCCGGATGCTCACGGCGTCGCCTGTGAAAACGGACAGAGATCGCGGTCAAGGTCGGCCGCGGCTCGGCAGCGAGAGTGACCGGTAACAGCAGTAACGTCCGGGAGCCGCCGGCCGGCGGGCCATGGGACGATGTAATTAGGTGAAAAGCTAACGAGCTGAAAACGGCAACGTCAGCCCGCGTGAGCAAATAGCGGCTTGTGATTGGCAATAGACGCTTCTGGCATGCCACAAGGATTGAGAAATGTACCGAAACGTTGACTGCCAGACATAAGTAAGCTTAAATTTTATGTTTTACGTTAAATAAAATATATTTGCTTGAGCAGCTGTGCATAAGACAGGATGCGTTTTGCTTTCTCAGCTGTTGCATTGTGTGCCGAGAAGTTTAGACGGAATGCATTCGTTTAATGCCTGTTAAAAGTTAAATATGACTAAGGTTTTTTAGATTTGGTTCAGCAGCCAGCGCTCCCCTTCGTAGTCTCGTCGGAATTCGTCTCGACAAAACAAGCCTGACACCATGGGCATGCCAATCCCTTCTGCGGTGTATGAAAATGATTATGCAGCGAGCGCTAGATAAGGTATCTTGTTTTGGGTGTTTTCGGTAAAAAGCAGTAACAAGTTAGAGCTGAGCGTCTATGTGAAGCGGTTGCCGCCTAAGGAGGCCGTCACGGTGTGGATGCTCGGCCGATTTCACACGTGATAGGGCCGACGTGAACCGGGCATTAAACAAGGCGTGGAGTGGGTGCCGTCCAACAACCCGCGTCGGAAGTAGTAAAGCCCGGCGCATTTTAATAAGGATGAGTCTTAAAATGGGAGTGACACCAGAGAACAAGCTGAAGAACAATGACACTGTACCACAGAGGACAGAAACACGTTAATGGTATTAACAGCACGGGTGCTCCGATGGAGTTATTGCTCTTGCGGTCAAGCCTTTCTCACTTTATGGCTCGATGTCATGCTGCCAACTTAATGCGGCTATTTTTTGCGGTAAAGCGGGGGCGAAGAGCGGACGGAAATTCGCGACAAAATTCACAGGTGTAACGCGGAAAACTGGATTCTCAAAGCACGAAAAAGTCGCCGCTGACCCACCGGCGTCGGGTAAGGAAGGTTGGGAAGCCGCGGCAGTGGCCAGTGGTTGACCTTGCTACATTAATTTTAAAACGAACACAACTAGACAGGGAGCGCTAACCTGCGTTACCAAGCAGAGAAGTTACATTGGAAAACATGGATTGCGTGCTAAGGTGTCAGAAGTTCCCAATAGAATTGTAAAAACAGGCCCAAACAGGGGCAAATACAAGTATGTTTTGCTATGAGAGACAGCAGACGTATAAGGAAAGCTATGATATTATAGTCTCGCCAATATGTTTTTCATCGATGATATGTCAAGCTGGGAGCCTAATAAAATGTACTTTTCAAATCTTATTGTTACATCCAACGAGCTGCAATACATTGAAACTAGCACACAGCGATGCTTTTAAGTCCATTTACACTTCCGGAAGCCTTGGCGCATATGCATCCGCCCATAAGACGATCGCTTACTCCAGCGAACCATGCGATTTCTGACGATCTAATAACCACCCGAGCACGCTCTCCAAAACATCACCAGCCTCGTAACTGCATGATCCGCATCTTAACGCCTGTCGCCACACCCCGCAGATTTCACCCCTCCCTCGGCTGGCTGTGAGTCACGACGCCCGGGGCTCGACGCCACCCCACTCTCCCACGGCCAACAGAGGCGCCCAGCCGGCTGACGGTCGCCGACCGGTCACGTTACGGCTTCCGTAGCGCGCACGAGATGCCCTGGGGCACCGGCGCGGCGCGGGGTGGCACCTGGTGCCTGGCGGCGGAACGCGGAGCGGTGGACACTGGACGGGGAGGAGGGGAGAGGTACTATACGCAGGTGACTCACACAGGTATAGGTGACCGGGGGGGGGGGGGGTGTCCTACGCAGGTGACTCACCCGGCCCTAGGTAGGTGACGGCGCCCGTGTGACATGTGTTGATCTTCTCCTCGAGGTCGCTGGCCTCCATTGCGATGCACTTGGCCACGGAGCGGGCGTTCACCTGGATCTCGAACGCGTTGATGTCGTTGTCTTCTAAATAGTTTATCTGGGGAAAAAAGGAAAAACCGGGTGAGCACGGGAGCGCTAGACAAGCAGCAGGTTTAAATCAAATTACTTTTTAGACGAATGGGAAGCCGCAGATATGAATAAATCGATTCTCATTTTTACTTAACTCCGATAACGTTTGGCAATTGCGATGATTTAATGTTACATTTGTTTCGGCTATTGTGATAATCGCCCGTAAAAGACTGATAAGTTGTACCTAAATGAGATCATGTTATTACATAATCAGCCTTGGAAATTAGATGTTTGATAAGCTACTGCTTGCTACGGGTCCATGCAGCAGGCGAAGGCTAGAGGTAAGCCATGTTTCGTCAAGAAGACTAAATGGTCTTTGTAGAGACGAAGGAATGCCGAATGTGCGTATCAAGACGGCTGAAAAACGTAAGGCTTCTGGCTTAATTAATCAATAGGTGAATTTTGCACACTCCGTCAACGAGATGTCGCCTGCGTGTTAGTTTGTATATGGTGTATAGTGTCTCTGGTTTCCGTTCTTACGAGTGACGCTTTATTATAAACACCGTCTCTTCATTTCGCAACTCAGGATGTGCCTGTCGAAACATTTTGTAACGGCACACTAGCATAAGCACAGCTAGAGAAATCAACGCCAGTGTCCTGGTACGCCAAGGCCTGCAAACAATTTCATAAATTCCAGAACGTCCAGGCTCACCACGAAACGCGTGCACACATACGAGTACGCCACACGTCATGTCGCAAGCGTTCGCAGAAGTGCTGTTCTGGAGGCGCTAAGAGACAACCACCAGACCACAACACAGTCCAGTTGTTTGGCGTAGTGAGGAGACCCTCCCCCATTTTCCCGAACTGCCGTCGACCGCCGCTCCCCACGGCCCAGTGCGTGCGTGCGTCAAATCTAAACATCTGGCATTTCTTATTGGGAGTCTGGATTCTGCTCTTGACATTGAGGCGCGGAGTACCGCTGAGCGAGCTGTGATAAAATAAACAAACGCTCGTCCAAGACCGGGCGCTGAGCCAACAAACTCCGTAGTTACTCTGCTCGAATGTTCCGACCCGCCTGACTCGACCGGGCTCGGAGACAGTCGCTCGCTGCGTGCGTCCAACGCGCTGCAGGAAAACTCGGACATGCTTTCCTGTGTGGATCACTTCTGGAAACTTGGCATCAGCCCCGGTTCGGGCCGGAAGCAGACAAGACGGGCGACGGGAAACCGGGGTCGGTGGGCGATCTGCGACGAACCGGCTGACTGTCGCTTCCCTTCCAGCCGGAAAAATGACGTTATGCGAGCGGCAAGAGCCGTCTTTGGCAGAATTCGGGAAGCACTGTGACCTATCTCAAAGCGCAGTGGTCAAGAGGAATCCTGTGACAAATGATGACGCGTAGCTAAAATCGGCACATCTCGTCATAGCCGCACAGTACTGCATCCGCAAACGTCATGCTAAGTGAATTCCCGGACTGCAAGAGCAGCAAATTCGGTTTCTTTGTCTCTTTGTGTTATGGAGGAATCTCCACAGAATTGTGTTACCACCGACGCAGTGGTCATGTTGCGTTGCGTAATGGTACAAAATATCGCGAACGAAAGGCTGACTGTATCCCATGTAGCCAGAAAGTTATTCCTGTTTCTCATTGACAAATTATTCATGGTCTGCTCCCTTGATAGCCCATTTTATCCTCCCAATCACCTTGAACGGATGATTTGACCGTCACCGCGGCTGTTGACAACTGTCTTATCAACGATCTAATCAGTGTCCGTGAAGCCTAACGGCTGAAATTGTTTTAGCTCCGCATCAAACCGACAAACTTATTAATGTTGTAGTGACTGTCAAACGGATGTGACGCTTGTTTGATGTCTCATTCAGAGGGAAATTTAATCAGATTCCCAAGGATGATTAGCGTGATAGCAATGGGTGTGACAGTCACCAATGCTATCAGCTAGGGATCATGCGACACAATAGCCATTAGAACTACTTAGGTATCTAAAAGCCTCAGACACTGACCACAGAAACTACCGTCTTCCTTGGTCGACGCATGATATTCACGGGAGTTTTGATAGAAAGCAAACTCAGTTCCTACGTGTCGCGTAGTCTGTCAGTCTTATACTGATTCCACGAAGTCTCCGTACACATACTGCATAGTCTCCCAGTCTCTAATGATGCCGCTAGTCTCTCAGGCTATCTCATCTCTTCTCACTCACCTGTGCATACAAATAGTAGAGCCCCGGCGTTGTGACGGTGACCTGGCCACCGTACAGCTGGAAGCTCTCGTCACACCGCTGTTCTTCCATCCAGTCGGCAGGCCGCCAGTCGGCGAACATGCCGTCGGGGTTGGCGTTCCTCAGCCGGCCGTTCCCTGAGGAGAGACAGACCCGGGCCCACTCAGTCCAGCTGCCAGGGACGGTGGACTGGCAACCAGACAGGCACTAATACCGGGGTGGGTATCCCCGACAGGCAGGGAGGGAGGGTGAGATGTCGGAAATGATGCTCCACGATGCGAAATCAGAGATGCATCCCAGTGCGTTCGTATACCACCCAGTGAGCCGGAAAATATCAGGGGTAAAGTGAAGGAAAGGTTGAGTAGAATAAATAAGATATAAATGCGGATGATGTCGGCGAAATGCGAGCTTTGGATATGGTAAAATCAAACCGTTTATGTAAACAAACAATTTTGCATAAAAAGAAGCCCGGAAAGGATTTTGACCGAGATGAACATAATGAAAAGGGCATAAACTTATAGAGATGGATAGAAACGACGATATAGACGAAAAATGATACCAGGTCGGAGCGGGAACGGGGACGGAAAATGCAGACAGAGGTTGGGACAGGGCCAGTTGGGTCAGCCCGGGCACTCAGCAGTGCACGGCACGCGGGCAGGCATGCGTGGTTCCCGTCATGCTCCAGACGCAGCCGTCCCGCTGCACTAGTGGCCGAGCCCCAGTCGGCGACGGCGTGCCCCGATCTCTATCACGGGCATTGTTGACAGGGCCATTGTACGACCGTCAAGGCTTCAGTCTCCACGGCTGGCCGTCTCGTTAAACAAGCAACAAAAATGACGGGCATGTCTCTTTCCGGTGAGGTGTTATAAAATGCAGGGATGTGGGATTTGAATTGCCTCAGAATCGGTTCAATTATGTTTATATGGATAAGGTAAAGGAAAACGGAGACAAAATATACAAAGCAAACAATGACATTGAATATCAATCAACAAAATAAAGCTAAATGATTAAAATGGGTGAACATGTGTTAAAACTGTGCAAAAAGATCCCCAAGGCGAAGTTAAACGAGTCCATTTGCAAAATAATTCGAGCAATTTATTCTTAATCATGTTTTCTTCAAAGTTTGTTGATATTTTGTTGTGGCCAATTTAAAATTGACGTAGAAAAAGGCAAAAGCAACAGAAAACATATTGCGATCGTTCCAATAAAACGGTAGCACAATAATAAATCATAAGAAACATTTTGGATGTTGAGCAAAACAATTCCAAAAATCCAAGAATCCAAAGATGGTAGTCCAAAATTTATGGCATTGTTTTCGACGCACCATTAAGCTAAACAATATTTTTTGGAAGAGGAACAGTTATACTTAATACCAAATAGCGATAATGTTTACCACATATTAAATGCACAAAATCTTTTAAAGGTAGTGTGCCAGCTTTCCTGGACCGTATGGAGTTAATGGCCCAGATAAGGAGAACCGGATTTTTAGAACTTATCCATACCTTCAAAACTCATGGAAACGTCTTAAATTCTTCAAATTTTGAGTACCCCAGTGCGAAATTCGCCCCGACGGGTTGTCGGTCGTACCCCAACCACATTTCACACCACTATGAACAATAAATGCACACACTGAAATCGCTATTACCGATAGGCTCATCCAATCAAGTTTCGATAAACCCGCTCATCATCATCTCCTGCGGTTTCGAACACGCCTGTTAGGTGGTGCGGTAGACCGCGCCCAAAGCCAGGGCCCCGGTAACGTGAGGTAGCCGAGTCGGGGCAGCGTGCGCTGACCCAAGCCGGGGCCGCGCGTCCTCCCGGTGTCATGTGATAGCCCGGGGCTGCCCGCGGGGATGCGGTAGACCGCGCCCAAAGCTGCGGCCCCGGCTTGGGTCAGCGCACGCTGCCCCGACTCGGCTACCTCACGTTACCGGGGCCCTGGCTTTGGGCGCGGCTTCTGCTCATACTTTGTGGTGCGGTGGTGGTGCGTCGGGCCGCGCGCTCTGACTTCGGCCAAGAAAAGTGCGTCAGCTGATCATTGTCATTTCTGCCACTTGCGTGTGGTGAGATGGGGTCATAACTTTAGAGACGGCTGTTTCATATAAATTATTTTACATTAAATAATATTTCAAACCATAAATTAATGTTCGACAGCCAAATTAAAGAAACAATACCAATATAGGCCTACAGTTTAAATTCGACATTGTGTTGTCTACGATTAGACAGCTGATAACTCATTCCCGTACGTCGTAACTCTATAATGACCTTTGCTTATTGTCACATGTGCGCCGCATTCGCGATTGTTGCCGACGCCTGTTTGCAGGTGAGCCCACTACAGTTGTTATACATATCGAAAAACCGATAAACTTTTAGGCGAAAAGGGCACTATTCCAGGCCCATTTTTTATTTTCTTTGCGATATTAGGTAAAAACAGAAGCTTCTTATCCTAGGAAAAATAAAATGGGAAATCTTTCAAAGGTGGCACACTACCTTTAACAATCAACCATTATCCGCGAAATGGACTCGAAAGCCAGCGAGCACATGCCTTCACCCACAAACTACCATGCTAACAGTGGACAGATAAAAACCTTCACTACCGCCATAGGAGGACGTCTTGCGGCTGAGCTGTGACACGTGTCCCTCGAAGTGCGCAGCGACGCAGCCGGTCGCCGCCTGCTGCTGGTGCGGCTTCGCTCCTCCGTGCAGGCCGGGCACGAAGGCGGTGGGCGAGCCGCGCGCTTCCAGGACTGGCGCCGCCTGTACGAACATGGGGTAGGAGTTAGGGGAGGCGCGACGGAGAAGGGTTGTGGAAGGGGAGCTGGGTAGAATGGTAAATGTATTGGGTTGGAAATAGAGAGACGTTTATGAAACGAGCAGAGACGAATCAAAGTGAGAGCTTTTGAGATGGAAAAAACTTGAAAGTTACACTGAAATGAGTGGCAGTGATGCACACAGAGTGATGGATGAAATGAGAGACAAAAGAAACGAAGTGATGAAGAGATGAGCGGTGACGTGCAAAACACTTGAAATGAACATGCTCAGCGCTAGCTCACTAGTGCAAAAACATACGGTGCATTCTAACGTGCGCTGTTCTAAAAACTACGTGCGGTAAACGACATTCGCATTTCGTGCGGTTCTCCGTGATGGCGCAGTACGCTGACAGGGTGGTGGGAAAGAGTGCAAACGCATGCAGCTGCCTTATTATTTCGGCAATTTGTACCTAGTTGATGTTTGGCTGATGACGTTTAATACCAGACAAGTGTTAAAAATCAACCCAAACATGCCAACGCAAAATTTGCCAAAAAGAGACAAATTGCCTTCATCTGAGTGGGACAGTGGGACATCATTCATCATTCATTAGTAGGCATTAATATCCACGGTATTAAAGCTATAAACGTCTCCCCTTCCTTTCAAAACTCGTCAGTGACCAAACACAGCACCACAAATCGGTTACCGAACTTCTCGCACTCCCCCATCTCAGTTAGGTCCCTGGTGCGGCGCGTCCATGCGGTTAGCCGCCCTGTTCCCGCGCTCGGCCCGTCCCTGACCTGTCGATTCCCAGTTTCGTTGGCCCGGCCGCCCCCCTCGGAGCGGCGCCCGCCAGCGGCCGCTCGGGTCAGCTCGTACGCCTTCGCTCCGGCTCCCTCGCCTCGCTCGCGACTCGTGTTTCTTACCCGGGAGCGGCGGTGCAGCTCGCCGGGCGCGACGGCGCGCCGACCTGTCGGGCCCGACGCGGCGCCGCCCGGTGACCTGTCGTCGCCGGAGGCCGCGGGCGCGTCCGTGTTGACCCGGCCGAACCGCACCTGGTATGCGGCACTGCTTCTGCGCGGACACCGGCCCCAGACTGTCAGTGCATGCAGTGGAGAGAGCAACGGAACAGCGTGCATCGGACAACGACCTGACACAGGTAGAGGGAGTACGGGAGAGGCGCTCGTGGTGAGATGACTGACGCGGCCTTGGCGTGGCCGGTCGGGCGGGTTGAACGGACTCGGACAGAGGATGGGAGCTGTAGGCAGAGGATGGGAGCTGTAGTAACCTCCCACTGAGAGCGAGAGTTGCACGGAGTGGACCGCTGAGGCGGAACGGGCCGGTCAGTTCCCTGAATGGAGCAGTGAGGCTCTCACTTCTGAGCAGCACGGGACGTTTATGCATGCAGGCTCGGATCAGCGGGGAACCGGTTGTTGGGCTAGGTCAGGTCGCCGTGCCAGCACAACTGGCAGGGGCCGCTGCAGAGCCGGTGGGATCAATGACCAGTGAATGGGGGCGTGGTGAACGGATTTGGTACTGGCAAAAGGAGCGGCGTTTCGCTAAATGACAAGGTTTGACATGGGAGGGGAGTAAAAATATCGAGGCATTCGGTGAACCGATAAATTTAAGCATCATTGAATACAGTACGGCGATTTTAAACTGGACCAGCAAAATTTTAGCCGACAACCGGTAAGTAACTGACTTTCACAATAATCGTCATGAACCCGGTCCAAAACTATCCGCATTAAGCTACAGATACTGATCTCCATTCAAGTTTTATTCAATGCAAGGCACAAGTGAGTCACCACAGTTAGAGGAAGAGCAGCGTAACATCAACCTAATCAAAATGGTCTGAATCAGAGTAAAACCCGTCCCCAAATTCCCACGGCCCGTGGAGCAGACAGTTTGGATTTGCAGGGCTGAAACGGAAGGTTTGTCTACTCGACAGAGCTCTGCTGGTGGAGAATACGGGATAATGCAGTCACGGGCGAGGACTAGAGGACTCGACGGGCTGGACTCGAGGCTACACGGGAATTGGTCTCAAGGCTGAAAGGTGGAGAGACGGGTGGATACGATGTTCCTGGGCCTACTGACCTGTGGTGGGCCCGGATGGAGGGGTCGTCGACCTGGGGGTCATCGGTCGGCGGTGGTCCCTCGCGCTGCGCCTGGAGGGTGCCGTACAGACTAAGGCCCTGGCTGGGGGTCCCACTCCGGAGACCGTACGGCTCGTCAAGGATGGGCACGCCGTCGATGGTGCGCAGTGGGTCTCCCACCGACCGTCGCGAGCGGAGGAGGGCCTGAAACACGTGCCACCGAACTACTGTCACCGACTGGAATCGACTTCGATTGGGATCCGAGGCATACCCGGAGTAGGTATCCCGGGGCTGTCTTTAGCGGGGCTCTGCAGGTTGTCGCTACTCGAGTAGATCTAGAGAGCGAATCGAGCATTTCTCGAACGTCACTCGTGATCTCTTCGAGTGATGTAATTCTCTGACTCTGTTGAGCGGTTTTGACGGATACAGGTGATCCTCAAGAAACCTTGAAGATCTTTACGGATTTGGGGTCTCCGATTAACAACGTTCTTGCCGCTTGCGTTTATGTTGTTTGCGGCTTAAGTCGCCAGAAGTTGATGAAGCCGGCACAATAAAACCAAACAAAATTAGAAGCGTCGGACGACAAGAAACCTCAAAAGCAAAGGACCAGAGCAAAGCATGCCAAACGACGACAGTCTACCAAACCACACGGAGCGTTCGCTGACACAAACCACACCAAGTACAAAAGCGCCCAAGTGGAATAAGCCCCGACTCGGAACAATGAACCGTTGTTAGCAGCATCGCTCGAGCGGACGGCGGAGTCTGGTCGCCACCACACTACCCATCACCATGGACAAAAGCGGACCACACCTTGCCCTGTTATTGAGCCATCAGACAAGGAAAGACCAACCGTACAAGATCGCGCCTCCACCCGCGTCGCGCGACGCATAAAAACGCCATCACACAAACTGCGCTTTACAGACCGGTAAAACCAGCCATAAACTATCGAGCGGCCTTGCGGCTGACCAGCGCAGCCCTCTGCGGTCTGGGCCCGGTCGGGGTCCATGCAGTGACCACCGAGACGTCTGAATCGGTGCAGAATTTGCACCGTGGTTTCCGGCGCCGCGGGCGGACGGGTCGGCCAGAGACGAACGGGGCTCTATCAGGCTGCGGTCAGATCTCGGCTGCGGTCAGACACCCACGACCGGCGCCGGGAGCGCCGCCGATGAGGTGCCGCCTAACACAGACAGGCGAGAGATCTGCCACTTTAAAGAAATGGTACGGAACGTCGATACGGCTTACAAGGGGCTCCTCGGTCGGTATTTGCATTATTTACATGTCGTTGCTGCGCCTCGCAATGAAACGGAAGGAGCAGGCGTGGAGTCCTTCCGCTTCCGCGTCTTTTCTTTCTTTCATTCAAGGGTTCATACAACTGCCACATTCATTCACCACACCTTTGAAGATCGCATGCATTCCTCGTCAATATTGCACACCCCTTACGAGCTACGAGTGACCCAGCTCCTGGAATCATAACAGCTTGTACTCGGTCCAGCCAAACATAAATACTGAATCATGAATGTGTTCCGCGAATCTGGCCCGCTGTGCAGTCATGCATGTGTCAGTCACGAAACGGTCGCTGCCACCTGGATCGGCAGACGACAGCCGCTCAAAAAATACCTGAGGTCGCACAGGCGGCTGTCTGGGGCCGTTAGACGGGCAGCTGAGGAGTCCAGGGCTCCTCAGACCTGGGAGGCAGCTCGTAGATTGCCCCGCCCGGCCCGGGCGGAGCTCGGGACGGCAGCAGGTGCGTCGGCGGGCGCCGTGGAGCGCCGACCGACCCCACCTGCTGACCGGCGCAGGTGCGAGCACCGCCACACTCCCAGACGGCGGCCGCTCGGAGCCATAAAGGCTGCGCAGCGCGGACGAGGTGCCGGCCACCGACAGGTGAGCCCGGTGATTTTGGAGGGTAACGTCTAAGGCTAACGTCTGCTGTGACCGCCTCCCCAGCGGCTGCAGTTGGCGCCAGACGAGCCGTTAGCTACGGCCGCGCGCGGTGTGATCGTTGGGCTTTGTTTGAAACACCAAGGAGTGGCCGAGGCGTGGTTTTATGAGCAATTTTACTTGTCGTAGTGTCTAGAAATGAGTGTATGCGTTTAGTCTGGAGAACACTGGCAAAGACTTACAAAACGATTTCTTCACCAGCAAAGCCCCGAAAATGTCTAAACACAGAAGTACCGGCGTCTGAGACGAAGCAGATGTATAAATAATCGAGCGTGTTTTTATTCCTCGACAAACTGACCCCAGCCAAGTTCAGTGCTAAGGTCTCCTTTCAAGGTCGGTATTTCGCCACGTGGTCAAAGCACTAAACGCGAAAAGTGAACCAACAATCACAATTGGTCAATGATCTTTCAATATTATTCACTTTCCCACACGCCAAATGGGGGTCGTTGAGCCTACTCATGCTAGAAAGTGTGCTTTGTGTCGTTTTTCGTCGCTGAAACGAGTAACGGAAGGCATGCAGGAGAACGTCGCAACACCCTCAAAAATTGTTCGTCCTTGCCATGTTCTGCAGTGGCGTGCAGCGCAACTTTTAGGTCTCGGCCGCGTGTTTGCGACAATGTAGCACCCAGAAGCCGGTTTGCAGGGTCGTTGGTGGCCGAAAAATCAACGGCAAGGAAATTGCTCACGGCCAGAAGGCCGCCAGCAGATTATAGATTTGTATGTTTTTCACAGCCATGTGTCAATTTGACGGTAATTTTCAGATGTTCCCCGGCTTATTTTCCCCATTGTGTTCATTAGTAGCTTGAATGATGACACCCGACACCAATCGGTATTGTTTTGATGGCTCATCGATCATGTCGATCACCCTCTGTCTCTATGCCGAAGGGGACAAACTGTCAAGTTACAGATAGAAGCAACGTCAAGAGGCCATTGGAAAGGTGCGAGCACTTCATTGGGTGGGGTCGAGTTGCTTTGCAATGAAAACACGCCAACTGCATATACGTCTGCTATTAAATATGAGGTATAAACAAATTCAAGCACAAATCACAAGCTTACTAGAAAATCAGCAAAACATTGGTCAATTTTGCACGACCCATAAGCCAGGTGGGAAAACTTTCAAGCAAGTAATAGTTGAGAACTGTGGAAAGCACCCTGCAGTTGATCCATTTTCCATATAACGTGCCTAAAGCGGGTTTAGTAAACTGTCCAGTGCAAAGCACTGGCGACCGACAGGGCTGGTGCACAAACGGTTCATGGCAGCGCGGTTCCACACTGACACAATAGCCGGTGTCACAGTGGACAGCAGCCTTCAGTCGATTCAGTCTGCCGTCTTGATACGGACGAAATGCGGTGTGGGAACGGTATGCTGGATGAAATAATAGCGGGCGCAAAAATAATATTTAGCGTATCAGAAGCCGAAGGCTTGCGCGATGTAGGTGTGGAAGTAGTTATATTTATTGTAAATTGGTAACTAGCTGAGACGTCGAAAGACAAAAAAGTCAAATTTAACAGATTACAAAATTTAGCCCGGTGTTGTACTACGATATCATGTTATACGCCGATGCTTATATGAGGGAGACTGACAGTGAAAAGCAATACCTATGGCAATACCACACGCTATTCCCCTTTAGATGTCACTGCATCGTCATGATGTTCGGCACTTGTTCGGAAAGTGAACTGTCGCGTACCTAAACCTATGTGTGTGCTAGCGAATTCCAGGGCAAGACTTAGTTTCCCCGGAAAAGATAGTACTCGACAAGTGATACAAAAAAGGGTGCAGTCCGTATCGTTCCCGGGTGAATAATGAACAGGTGGTGGGCGATTAGCAAATCATAAAACACGTTAACATACAATCGGCTCGCGATTAGCTCGAGGTTAATGGTAATTAAGATATACGTGTTTGCTACATAAATGATTCATGGAGTATAATACGTTTCATTTATTCTGCTTCGTGTTTGTGTCAATTTATCCTCGGCACACGAATCCAAAACGTTATTTGTTAAACAATTAGCTCGATTAGTAATTTTACGGACAATCTCATTGTTCCCCGACTGGAGTTGTACCAGAGCTCGTCACTACAGTAGCCGGCACGTGCCGTTTCTCACGCAATGTCGCGTGGTAATCAAACGGCACGAGCCAAACCTACTGCTCAATACCCTGAGCCGTGCCGGCTTAACCATGACTGGACAATTTTTGAGGCAGGTTTTCTGGAAACGCCACTCTACTAGAGCAAAAACCATTCGAGGGCGGGCTTTACATTCCTGGTCGCACCTTACGGTGGGGACACTAGCAACACCACCGTTTACCGACGTACCGCTCACCAGCCCGTTACATTTTCCACCGTTACTTTCCGTCCCACACACCACACACCCGGTTGTGATATTCTAAAACAGCCCATTAATCATCACATCACAGAGAGCTAGCTCATCACGCGGCCGCTGGCTTTCCTGGTGATAATTTCAGCCATCGTTGCGGAAAGGCGGGCACATGACTGGGGGCCGCCGCGGCGCCCCCGTCGCGCACCGATGCTCATCGGCGATTGTATCGGTCACGTTCAGCGCCATACACCCGCGGTAAGGCAGATTAGGGAGTGCAGATAGCGGTCGCCGTCTCCGCGGAAGTGGACTGGTTTGTCGGAGTTTAACCCGTCCGCGATGGCGCCGAGCGGTTTGACCGGGAGCCTGGCCTTAACCGCTCCTGGATTAACGCGAACGATTTTAGTGTTTAATTCCGAAACGATAAGCTCGTAGCTGCTTGGGAGTGTATATAGACGAAAGCGTTATCATTATTTATTAAGCGAGCTAGACCGTTATGGTTGAAAATCAACATAATAAACAACAAAACCTAGCAAAGATTTTGATAATTAGAAAGTGCCCATTAACTTGGAACTTAAAAATAACAAAACGAGCGCCACCACCAAACGAAAAGATGTCCATCACCAAAGCCCATTGAACTTAAATAGACCATCACCAAAGTATGAAGCATCTACACTAATGTGCAAGAGGAAAGGAGCATTAGTGAAGTAAACCACACTTCTCAATGTCTGTCAAAACACAATTTCTTTTAAAAGCCTTTTAAAAAGTACGAAATAATAATGCCTGAATGGTCAATTAATGCTAATAAATGAATAACAATAAATGACTTTGAGGTTAAAACAATGAGTGATACACGATATCAATTCTAATGATTGCCTCATCATCCTGAAGATTCGAGGCTAAAATGAAAGGTAGGTACATCTTGCAGCGCCTTGGCTTCAAGTTACCAATAAGATAATGCTGACCGGCTGACATATTGTCAATGATTGCTGACAAAACTAATATCTAGGAAACGGAAACTGCAAATAGCGGACAGTCAGTGAAGAGACTGGTGCAGAATGCGAGCGCTGCTGGACGGCTCAGCCCTTACCGATTCGTCGCCGCCGACGTCTGTCGCCTCGTCGAGCCGCGGCCCGTCGGGCGCCTCGCTCTCGAGCCGGTCGAGCCTCATCTGCAGCTGCGCCAGCTGCCTCTGCAGCTCGGCGCCTTGTCGCAGCCGGTGCAGCTCCACAAAACCCAGACAGAGACAGCAGGCGGCCAGTGTGAGCAGTGTCAGCACCCGGCCCAGCGGACAGCAGGACCGGCGCGCCGGGGCGGCACTCTCCTCAGCCGCCGCCGCCGCCGCCGGCTCCACTGTGACCCGCTCCAGACTGGCGGCCTTCTCGGCGGCCACGTCCCCTCCTCTTGAGCCGAGCGCCATGGCAGAGACGTCCGTCCAGCGGGTCCGTGCGAGCGCAACTGACACTGACCAGCGCGGCACTCGACGCACGACCCGTCGCCACCTGCCTCTGGCCTGGGCGACCGGCGCGATTTGAGGTGACTCCGGCGGCGCGCCGAGTCGGAGGCGCCGTCCGCCGGTGGCGCCGCCTGGCCGGAGGAGCCTCCGCGCCGCCTCCTCCTCCGCGCCTCCTCCTCCGCAGCCACCGGAAGCTGGACCAGAGGGAGCGGGAGCCCAGCGGTGCCCCACCGCCCGGGGTCAGGAGCCGCCGGCACGTGCGGGGATGTTTGTTGATTTTCAGCAGGACCACATGCGTCGTGGTGCTGCCCAGAGACAGGCTCCCAGGCAGGCTCTGACGGATGTTCGGGAGAAATTTGTGACAGAGAAACACCGAGAATAGATTCAGACGCAGATGCAGAGGCCCCTGGCGGGTCAACTGGGCAGATGAGACGAGTTCCGTGTGTATTTTGCAGAAATTAACCGATAAATGACCGTGCCACCCCAGAGATGACGCGGCTGTCTGTTTGTGACCTTTCAGCTGAGGGATTTTAGTGAGAACGGCTGGGTGATTTGTTAGCTACCCGAGCGTCACAGGGCTCAATCATTGTTTACATTGCATTCATCTCGTACCAGGGTCGGCCGGTCACTCAGTCAGTGAGGCCTCATAGTAAACAACTGCTGCAGGCTAAAAATACGTGACCTCTGACGTGACGTTTGGCTGAATTGTTAGATGGTAAACATCAAATGACCCGCAACGGGGCCGGTGGTTTGAGTGAAATGAAAGGTTGAGTTCTGCGTCCTATTTTGTGACGTAAAAGTAAGGAAAATTAAATTTATGTAATAAGAGTTTCAAATAACCTTTTCCTCGATAATTAATTGGAAGTGCAATAAAAAGTAAATCTTATATTTGCAAAAATTAAATTGAATTTAAATTAATTTACTTTACTTTAATTTAATCTAATTTAAATTTAAGTATAACTTTTTGGCTCCTATTTCTGATTTATATTATGAGGTTACTGCTTATTCTAATATTATTATTATTCATCATGAGCCTCAAGCAGAGTATCAGCCTTTTAAGAAAAATTAAATTGTGCAACCCTGGCCGCCACTGTCTCTGGATCGCACAGTGCATCGGTATTAGGGAAACGCTTTACGATTGAAGAAAGGAAATAAGAGGAGAATGCTTTGGAGTGGTATAAGAAGCAGCGTAGGCATATAACTAGAAGCAGCGGCAAGTCATCAATAGGAGACATACGGCTGATATGAAAAGTTATTCAACGAAACACTATTGATTGAATTCATTTCGTCATCTGCCAATCAGCAATACCTTCCAAGCCACGAACCAATGTTCCCACAAATCCTTCCATCTATCTAAGGCCATCTTTGAGTGAAGCATTGATTCCTTCGTCACGACGTCCGTCGATGGGATGACATCAACCCATGTTCGACACCTGCGACAGTGTGCGTGTCTAACCTTACCTCACGCATCTTCCTTACATCGATCCGGCGTGCTGCGACGCGTCCCGCTACAAACGGTCCGTTTAGCGGCACCGTGCAGGTCTGTTCCTGCCAGGCATACGGCGCACCAAGGGCTCTCCTCTCTGCCCCCTGTGGTGCAGTCAATTAGCGCGTGGGACCGGACCGGTGAACTCGGAAGGGCGGCCTTTCGTGGGTTCACACGTGTCTGTATGGGGAACACTACGCGTTCGTGCCCCAACACGCGCCTGCTCGTTCCCCAGCGCGTGTCTGCTAGTTGTTACCACCCAACGGACCCTGTCTGGGTCCCCTAGCGGAACGTGTCCAAGGTCGCTGGTCCTATGGAAGGGGCTATCGATTTTCGACGGCACCATGTAGTTTAAAGGTCAATGCTCTGTGTGACAGAACACTAAAGTAAAATCAAACGTCGATTGGCAGTGGAAGGTTGAACTAGTTCAAGGACAATAAATAATCAATGAAAAAAGAACCAATTTAGGAATAAAATAATGCAAGCTCACTTAGCAGCGAGTCTTTGGTTACTTTAGCTTGGTTTCTTTCATAACTTCGTCTTTTTACAACCAAACCCAAGCGTCGACACTCGACAAGATGGAACATGCGGGATCATGTCCTGTTATGCTCTTACAAACGAGAGGAAACCAATTACAAAACAAAATGTATAGACGTGACTTGTGAGCTGAAGCGACCACATCAGTATACAATAGAAGGACAGAAATATATTGTAGTGCATATAATTACTGAAACCGTCTGAAGTGGTATGTGAGATTTTGGACACGTATGTTGGATAAGCCATGGGACCGTTTCAGCCCTATTGCGTCATAGAGCACAGGTGTGACCGTGCGCCCCACCACCTCGGACAGACGGGTTCTCACCGGGTCAGTGAGTTTTCCCGCCTTTTCCGGAGGTCGGCGGGAGACTCCCGCGGTGCCGGAGGGGTCACCGACTGCGGGACTCGGTGCGATGTCTGTGGGACTCTGAGCTGGTTTGTGGGACCGCCGGGCGGGTCTGTGGGACCCTCTGTGGGACCCTCTGAGCGCCGCGCTGACCCGGCACCTGTCCGCGCCCGGGAAGTGAGGAAGAGTCGTGGTCGTTTTCACGGTTACTGACACGCCCGCGCTCCCACCGGAGCAGCGGAAGTTGCGGCCTGTTCAGGTGAAGGTCAGACCATTGAAGTAACGGAGCGGTACAGCCGCCGGAAGTGACCTACACCCATCCTCAAGGGTGACAGGTCACCGGTACTGCGGGTGTCACCACTGCGTGAGCAGAGGAAGATGCACCCTTCACAGGCCACAGGACTGACCAGTGACCAGCTGCCCTTTGCCTGACTACAACTCAGAGGCGGAGCTTCCTATTCACTTGGTGGGGCGGCCGCCCCACCAACTTGCCATTTTGCCCCACCAATAAGAGTTTTGCCCCACCAACTTAAGCCGATTTACAGGACTTTACTGCCTAGCAATCCAATGTTTTTCGCATTGAGGAGCTTTGAAATGTCTGTGTAATGCAAAATATTATCTCTGTAATGAAAAGAATTGATTCATCGTTGTATTTTATCGAACTTAACAATCGGACATTGTAGGTTTGACAACTTTTTTGCCCCACCAACTTTCCTGGAAAAGCTCCACCCATGCTACAACTACTGACTGGAGTCCTAATCCGCTTACTGCGGCTAATCGAGAGGTTTAGGATCGACTTAGCTGATATCCTGGAAGTGGTGGGGTAGTGATCTGGAGGTGTGATCAGTGATGTAACTGGGATAGGAACTGGCTGAGTGCTGCAGGCTGCAGCGGAAATGTTATGTCATCTGTCAGATGGTGGGGTTTTATCGATGATGCTGGTCATCAGTAAATTGATGCTCATTGCTCATCATGTGCAGAGTTGCCAAGTGTTATGCCATTTGACAACAATTGGAATGGTTGATAAAAAAGGTGTTTTCTTTTCAGCAATGCCCAAATCGTTTGTTTTGATAGATTTATCTGCACCTGCATCTCCAAACGCAATTCAATTGCGGCAAACTAATTCTACGTGTAAAAATATCACACAAATTAAACGACGTTGAACGAACCGTCTGTCTGTCTGTCTGTCTGTGTGTCGGTCTGTCTGTGGGTCTGTCGGTCTGTCGGTCTGTCGGTCTGTCGGTCTGTCTGTCTGTCTGTGTGTCTGTCTGTCTGTGTGTCTGTCTGTCTGTCTGTCTGTCTGTCTGTCTGTCTGTCTGTCTGTCTGTCTGTCTGTCTGTCTGTCTGTCTGTCTGTCTGTCTGTCTGTCTGTCTGTCTGTCTGTCTGTCTGTCTGTCTGTCTGTCTCTCTCTCTCTCTCTCTCTCTCTCTCTCTCTCTCTCTCTCTCTCTCTCTCTCTCTCTCTCTCTCTCTCTCACCCTCTCCCTCTTTTCTCCCCCCAGTCCAGGTGGCTTTCCTGACCCGCTGTCTCTCCCTGTGAAGAGCCGCTGTCTCCCAGACCTACCGACAGCAGAGGTGCTCCTATCTGACACTGATATCGCTGACCAGATCCGATCTCCGAGCCACGACTGAGTCGTCTACAAGGTGTGAGTCTGTCTGATAGTATCGGAGCTCTGGCGACGTATACGGAGCCTTTTCTCAATGGGTGCTGCTCCCATATGTGCGTGTTTTTTTTTAGGTAAGTAGACATCTTGCTGTTACGCAGGTGGTCGATGCTCGGTGGCGCGTTGATGTGGGTATCGTGGCATGGCGTGTTGCATGACTATAGATATGTGATGATTAAATCTAATGAATGTACGTTTCATCAAGCAATCAGTTAAGCTCCATAACCGCTTTCTTTTTATACGGAAAGTTGACGGACCCATACGCTGGGGCGGCCATGCCTGGTCCAACAGCCCGCGGCCCTCATGACCTTGCGGCTAAGAGGAGGACCCCAGAGTCACACCACCTTCAGCTGACACGGTGCCACCGTGGCGCGACCTCTTGCGACGCCGCGGGCTCCGCCTTCCAGCGGAGACGCGGTCCTACGTGATAAGGAAACGCGGCATCGAACGAGCGTATGCACTATGCACTGTGCTGAATGTGCAAAGAACAAGTCAAGCCCACGGGCAACGTAACAGTGTCAATGTAAGTCCTTTCATCGGTGACAGACAGGTAAGCCATCCGATCAGGTAAGATGCGCCGGATGTTAAGCTATTAGCGTTGTAGATACCGGTGTAGTAAGGCTTTGTTTCTACTTGACATCATGCATCAATCAACTTATGACAGAGCATTGGCATATAAACGCTTCCGGCGCTCCATACCGAGAAGACCTATCGTGATGGATGGGATCATAGCGGGTTCAGGCTCTTCTGCAGACCGCAGCTGTGTTGTCATGTGGCTGTTTCAATCGTTAGCTTTCAAACGGTAAACGGAACTACCCACCTGACGACCAAATGTTCGTTTACCAAATCAGGTATCCTGCAATCGTATGCGACTGGGTCTCACACCGGGCTTGTTATAGGTCAATGTCATACAAATCTCACAACCGGTTTGCACTCCCAGTTGCATGAACGAAAGCGTCACGGCTTGGGCCTGGCGTCATGTATACCGTAACATCTGAACACGCTCTGAACCGGGCTCGAACC